AAGGCTTACTTTGTTTCACGATAGAGGGATGAATGGGGTGTTTGTTTAGCCAGCAAATTATGGACCCAAGTAGTGCTTTTCAATTATTTCAGTTCAGAGGAACTGAAGCAACTTGTTGCGTTCTGTTCCCCCTTCAGGTAAACAGAGACTATGGGAATAAGTCAGCATTCCCTCCTCTAAACAATAAATAGTGAATGATCGTTTCAGGAAAGGATGAGGCGAGGCTGGTTTACGTCAGTGAATAAGGGGGAGGAATGGCTGGAGCACTTCCACTGGTGATGTATGGAAAGTTTGAATGCATGGGAACTCAGGGGTTGTTCAGGAAATGGTCCTGAGTAGAGGCTACAGTACACGCTTACTTACTGTCAATATACTGTGAGATACATCACACATTTCTTGTAAATGATGATTCTTGTCATTTTCCTGCTTGCCCAGGCTAGTGGGTAGAGAGAGTGACGGTTGGAGGCTGTAGACATATGTACATATGCATGGTAAATAAAACAGTAGATAAACCAGTCACCAGATAGACTGGTTGAATTTTAGTTATACACATTTGAAAAGACAGAGAAAGAAAGAGACTATTTAAAGGTCTCAGTCATCATTAAGTTATTATGGAAGTACTGCTTGTTTCATTGAAGTGTTGAAATCAATTTCGCAGCAGCAGTGAGTGGAATAAAAAAAAAAATCTGACATTCTTTTCATCTGCTTCTTGAGTCAGCTTGAACTCGTGCATTGTCAGTGTTAAAAGAAAAATGTGTGTTTTACCACAATAAAAAGGCTCTTTCTTTAGTGGGGACGTGTACATATATTCTCATTTTTCATTTCCAATGTGTGTGATGGTTGTGTATCTGGGTCAGGGACAAGCTGCCCTGTCAACCATTGGTTGGATGAAGTAGAGAACACCTTGCCTCTGTTAAGCTGTTAGAGCGGCCCCGTGCTGATGTGCAATTTATTTGCCTCTTGTCGTTCCTTTGAATTTCTCCTGCCCTTATTTGTAGTTTGTGTATATTATTACTGTGTTTCTTTGTCTGCCTTTGGAACAGCTTTTTTAAAACCCTTTGAAATCAGTCTCCTTTTTGAGCTTACCTTTTTTTAATCTGCACATCTTCGTAAAATGTGTGCAATAAATGCCAGGACAGTCATTTGTTCTCATTTCCATATCACAGTGGTCTACACTGCACAGTATAGACCTGGCTTGACCTGAGTTTGTCTGCATATTTATGATACATTTTTCTCTTTTAATTGGGGCATTCAGATTCATCCCTTCTCTTTCCTTACAGCATTTTTAAAATATTTATTATGGATTTTTTTCCCCAAATGCATGCTATGAATTTCCATTTTTGCTTTATTTCCATTAATATAACAGAATAAACTTTAAAATCAGTGATCTTAGTGTAAGGTTTAGGGGATAGAATGGTTATGTTATTTCTTGTTTATTTTTATTTTTTTAAATTTTTTCTACTTTACTGGTATGAATACTATTTCTGCGTTGTGTGCAGCCGTTGTGATGAGCCAGTGCTGTGCTGTTGTGCATGCATAGATTTGGGTTTCTTTAGTTTCTTCAACTGTGTCATTAGATGGCCAGTGCTGTGTCATTATGGAGCACAGGCATGGGTGGAAGCAGCAGGAGAACAAGGTTCAGCTCTCCCTCTCTCTCTCTCTCTCTCTCTCTCTCAAAGATCCTCCTCCGCATGTCCCCCTCTGTCTTTCTGTCCATCTGTCTGTGTCTTTTTGTCTGCTCTCTCTCCTTTTCTCTCTCTTTCTTTCTCTTTCTCTCTCTCTCTCTCTCTCTCTCCCTCTCTTTCACACTTCAACTTTCAGAGTGTACATGCAAATGCGGAAATGCAAATTCTCTCCCCAGGCTCAGGTTTAAAATGCTACGCCATGCCCCTTTCTTCATGTTCTCTTGTTTCCAGCTGTTAAAGCTGCTGTTTTTTCCTTATTAAAGCCCATGAGATGATCTTAGATGCCTCAAAATAATTAGCTTGATAAACCGGTATTTTTAATGAGGAGCAGAGCAGACAGAAAGACCTGGGAATATATTCTCTTGGTGAATCTTACACAATACACTGAAATGGTTGTTCCTTAATCCAGCGACATGTTTTTTTTTTTCTTTTTCTGCACATCAGTGTCCCCAAAGCAATCTTTCTCAACAATTATCTAATTGTTTATTTTCCTTGTGCTTTATGGAGGGCCTTGGGGGGCTGATATGTGGCTATTGCCCAAAGGGGACATCGTGATGTGCGTGTGTGTCTTATGTTTTGAAATAATGCTCTTTATGAGTTTTTAATGTGTTTTTCTCCCCCATCCTCCCCTTAGATTAAAGATCCCAACTCTCAATCTATCCCACAGCTCAACTCTTTATTGGGCTATATTTCCACTTTACTTTTCATCCTCTGTTGTACACTCAAGTGGAAAAGCTCTCGCTTAGAGAAACATCAAGGGCAAAATGACCTCTGAAATTATCGTCCTCTCCTGGGTAGATATCACAGCTTCTTCTCACTGAGTTCGAAGAGGCTTTAAGGACTTTGATGAATGAAGAAATGCATGGATGCCTGGATATAGGGACGTATGTCACCCTGGATGTCTTAGGAAGAAGACGAAACTGGAGATTTGGCAAAGGATAGAAAAAGACTGTCTTGGCCAGGTGCAGTGCCTGATGGATTTGGTTGTAAAAGAGGACATTAGCTTGAGGGAAAGCCACATTAAAGCCTTTACAATTTTGTTTTGTTATGAGGACAATAACTTGCCATAGTGGAGCTCTCTCAACAGAACCAGTAACACTTAGCTTTCTAGTTATTATGCCTTGTGGATGTGTGCTTGAACACTGATGGATTTAGTTCTTTGTAGAAGGAAGGTTATACATTTGAATGTGTCCTTGGTGGTGATATTGTTATTATCATTGTTATTATTTTTAGATTAAGTGCGTAAGAATAGTGCATATCTACACTATAAAAACCAATAAAAGGTGTACTGTGGTTTCTGATAGTGACCTTTGAAAAAAGTAAGAAGAACCGTTTGTGTTGGTTTTAAGTGCTACGTGAGTCCTTTGGTTCTGCCAATAAGAGGTTTATAAATGAATGTTTAATTTATAACTGCATCTTTTCTTATCGAAGGAGAAAACAATATCCTTATCACGTCTGCCTGCCTTCAAGTTTTTGCTGCCTAAACTGCAAAGACGCAAAGAAAAAAGTTTTCCTTCTAACTGTTCTTAGTCATCATTCAAATGTAAACTATTTGTAAATGGTAAATGGACTTTAAAAGCACCTTTTTAGTCTTCCCAACAACTCAAGGTGCTTTACACTATGTGCATCAGCACAGCATAAGTATCTTGCTCGAGGACACCGTTACTTCCCAAATCTGTTATTTTTTTAATGAATAATAATATTTACTTTAGCAACAGGTGATAATGATTTCCTGGGCTTTTTACCACCATGGTATTGACTGTTTGATTGCTCTGTGCATGAAAGAACTCATGCAGTCATATAGTCAATTAGCTCAGTACGACTCACCACACACACACATACACACACATACACACATATACACACACACTCTCTCTCTCTGTGTGTGTCTCTCTCTCTCTCTCTCTCTCTCTCTCTCTCTCTCTCGCACACACACACAAAATCTTTTCTTCTTCTTACTTTCCCATATGGCTGCAAATATTGCAGGGCGTCTCTTCTCTCCAGCAATTCGTCATTTTCCAATCAAAAGGTGCAATTACACACTCCTGGGCCTTCGCGGGCCTGGGGAGCTGTGCGTATCTTGTGTTTTCCATCGTGTGCAGAAGCCTTTTTGTTAGCAGGTTGCTCAGAGCGAAGAGAGCCTTCAACAAGTTGGAGCGGGCTATCAGCTTCAATGGCTGAACACACTTCACAAGTATATGTGTTTGCTCACATCTGCTTATGTGAGAGGGAGGGAAAAGACAACGGACCCTGTGTTGCCATAGCAACAAAGAGGAAAGTTACCCCCACCCCCAAATGTTGCTGGGAAAGTGCTGCTTGGTTTTAGTATGTGTGTGTCTGACCATGTGGGCTGCTGGTATAGCGTCACTCTGGAACCCTGGGAAGACCCCCCCACCACCACCATCTCTTCCTCTTCCTCTTCCTGCAGACAGCAGACAGGAGAATAGATTGCACTTGTTCTGCTTCTCTTTCATCTGTGTAATATGCGGGGACCACCAGCAAGTCAGGCCTGGTGTTTTTCATCCTCGACCTGAGTCATCCACTCTTCCCTCCATAGGATGAAAGGAGAGCTACTGAGAATTTTCCCCTGAGGTGGTCAGACAGGAAATACAGTCACCTTCAGTCCCGCTGGTTATGTGTCTGTACACATGTAAGAGCTGTCTGAAGAGTGTCTCTTTGTCATTTCCATCATGTCTCCCCATGAGCGTCCATGTCAGATGGGCGTGTGAATGGTCTAATAATCCTAATGATCCGGTTGGCAGGTGTGTATTTTAAGCCTGCGTGTACAGTAGCTGTATGTGTGTGCGTGCGTGTGTGTCCCTGTAACAGGAGGGTGCCAGAATGGAAAGGGAGAAAGAGCAGTAATTATGGCCCCCCATGTTCAGCAGAAACATCAGAGGGAAGTAATTTGTTGCTCTATATTTAATCAGTGGAGATAACGAGACTGACTGCAGCTGTCTGGGCCTATGGGCAAGCGGACAAGCAGGAACACCATTTCCTCCAAAACCCATTAGTCTTGAATGCAGCCAGAGCCAGTGTCTTATTTCCATACTTTTCAATGTTCAAATAATCATTATTACCCTTTCTATCTCCAATGTGTTCAATTGTACACTTTTTATTCCTCACCTTTATTCCTTTCCCTTTTATCTCCCAGCCCTCCACTTACTTGCTTCCCCTCTTCTGTCTCTTGACTTGACTCCATAAAAGAAGTATGTCATCTCTTCAATCACCTGCAGCGCCTCCTGCCTACTTTTCTTTTTCTTTTTCTCTTGCACCCACTTTATCTCTGTCTCTCTCTTTCCATCCCTCTCTTAGGGTGCAGGTAGAGTTCTATGTGAATGAGAACACTTTCAAGGAGCGCCTCAAGCTGTTCTTCATCAAAAACCAAAGATCCAGTGAGTTGCCTTTGTTTGGGATCTCGCTTTCTCTATCTGTAATTAGTTGGGCGAATTTCCTGCCTGCTGTCTGTTTTCTCACACCATGAGACGCTCTTATTTTTGATTGAGTGTTTCGTTTTAGTCTGTGATTTGCTGTCATTCTTGCTCTGCATTTCATCACCAGTTGTTAAACTTATCCGCTCTTTGTGACTGTTTTATATGTCTGTGTAGCGATTTAGATGATCTGTGGATTAATTTATAGAAATGTCATTCCTTTAATATGTATTTTCTCCTGCATGCACGAAGTAATCAAAACAGGTAGCCTATTCATAAAACCTTAATTTTAAGTAGATAAAGAATTTTTACTTAACTTCAACAAATAGTTATGGCATTCATTCCTGTTTATTAACCACTACATAAATAACTGTAATAGTAATATAAGCAGAGGTGTAAGGAATGCAAGATTAGCTCTCAGCAAACAAGATAAAATACTTTATGCATTTTCTGCTATATTAAGCCCACCATTGTCAGTCCACCATTGCACATGCTTTATTGGAAAGATGTGATGAATTATGATTTGGAGAACAATTTTAGGGACTGGTGAACTTTTTGGTAGTGATTATAAATGGCTTATGATCTGCTATTAGTTATTCTGTTTTTATTTTTTGTGTCTTTTAAAAACGTATTTGTATTTTAATATTTTTTTTAGTAGTTTTGTATACAGTGTTACACCACTCCAAAGAATCCCACAGAGCTTTCTTCAGAGATTTTTAAAACATGCATGAAGCATATTAAAAACATTTGTAATCATATTTGAAATGAAATAAAATGTGTCTATATATTCAGCTGCTGATATTCAATTTTAATGATTATGTCTTTTTTTTGCATTGCAGGTCTGCGAGTGCGAATGTTTAACTTCGCTCTGAAAGTGCTGAGCTGCCTCCTCTACATTGTCAGAGTCCTGTTGGACAACCCGCAAGAGGGAAGACAAGACTGGTGAGAGAAATGGTGATAACAGGGGCTTAATGATGTGAAAAAAGTCTTTGTGAGTGTGGAGGCCTGATAGCAAGAGCAAGTGCATCAGGTCAATAGACGAGATAACAGTGTGTATAGAGTATCCCGTAAAAGGATTGGTGGGAGAAGAGAGGGGGTGGGGATGTAATCAGGAAAGTAAACTGATATTTGGACTGAGATTAGTCCAGTTTTCCGTGAGAGAAGCTGGACAAGAAGTTACCTTCATTGCCATTTTTGTTGTTTTTTTTTCCCTCCTGCAGCATGAGCGGAGTGAACTGCACCAAACAAAACACATCATCCCGTCCCTGTAGTGAGTTTGACTGGTGAGTCTTTAATTAGGAGTGATGGCTTCGGCCTGCAGACAAGGACCATGAAACCGCACACCCTGGAGGACTGGCATCCCCAACACCGCCCCTCTGGTCGGAAACGTTGTATAACGCAATCAATGCAACTTCACTTAACTGATGCAATTCACAGTGCTGATATTGAGCATTACAGATCCACATTCATTCGTCACAATCCAACTGTATGGATTACCTGTCAACATAATATGTATGTAGTGCCTGTGCAGCCTAATCAACAGCGATCTAGTGGAGATAAAGTGTGTAATATACAACAGCAGAGAGGGAGAGAAACCAGGAAGTGTCCATGGACCTCAGGCTATGCCATGTCTCCTGCTCGGGGACCTATTGATCTAATTGGTGGCTGGTGACACTGGCTAAGCTCTGGCTCCACATGAATAAGGAGGCTGACAGAGTGAGCTCAGGAAAGGGATGGGCCGCCTCCTGCTCTGGGCAGCAGACTCGTAGGAGCAAATCAGAGCGCAGGCAAGCAGCCATCATAAGCCCCAGGGTGTCTTTGGCACAAAAAAAACTGCCTTTCTCGCACAATAAGGCTGTAAATTTCCATTTGACTGTGTGAATATTACTTTTTTTTCCTACAATATGAGCACACTGGCAGCTGTGCACTTCCACTGTTCTTCAGTTGTAAACAGCATAATTAAATTTTATGTAGGGCCTAGTGACATGAGCTGTGTTCAAGGTCCCTGTCAAGTGTCATTGTGTTCAGCAGAAAAGAATATTTTAGTAGCCTCCAGCTAATTTTTGTCCCTTTTTTGCCACATCTCTCTCCTCTGCTCTCCATCTTTTGCTTTTCTTCCACTCTGTAGGAAGCTGATCATCTGGGTGGATAGACCTCTACCGCTGTGGGGACTGCAGGTCAGATAAATCAGTACAGTGCTGTGCAAACAAGGCCTCAGTCTGTTTACACAAATATCTGCACGTCATAGTTTCTGTATTCCTTTTATTGGTTTATCAGCATTTAATTTATGTCACATGATTCTAGGACGGAAATACATGAAATCAGATCATTTTACTTGACACGAGTATTTACACAGAATGATTACACACGCATATATGTCCACAATCAGACACCAGACCGTTTCTTGCTTCACTTAAACCTGCTCCCTCTGAAGCTTAATCATCGGCACGCCTACTGATTCCTCCCACGCTCTCTTCTTCCATCTCTGCGACTCCTAATTTCTCTCTGCTCTGGTCTCTCTCCGTTTCTCTCAACTGCTCTCTGTGTCTGCATCTCTCAATTTCTCTACAACTCTGTCTCTCTTTTTGCAGGTGCTTGTGGCTTTCATCAGCTTTTCAGAAACTATGTTGCTCGTGTATCTCAGCTACAAGGTGAGTAACGCACGGCCCCCAGCAGCCAGTCTTCTTTTGTGATGTCTGTGGCTATAATGTCTACATGTGTGGTGTGTGTATGGGGGTGTGCATTCATGCAATGTGCTTAAGGGTTGTATTTGTCCACTTTGCACTCCTCTGTGTGTTCAGTCCACTAAACTGAAGTTGTCCCTTTCTCCCCTGATGCTGCTCCTTTGCTCATGCATTTGGAAAGCACCTCAGTGGGCCTTGAGGCTTCCTCAGCACTGTCCTGTTATTGACACATCAGACAGACTTTAGGGGAGGCCCCTGTGTTGCTGTAGTGGGGGGCCGATCCATCAACGGGTCGCCCTGCCTTTGATGTACATGACACTATAAGCCTATAAAGGGCTCCCTCTGCAGATTACTCTGGAGGCTAGAGGCCTTAGCATTTAGAGCTGACTGATTCCTGTGGACATAGCCTGTGCCTGTCCACCTACACTAGTCAGATTCAGGTCAGCCATATGTAGGTGGCAGACACATAAAAACAGCCATGGCTGACATCTTAATTGAACGACAAGTTACGCTGCTTCTCCTCTCAAAGGGCACAAGGGAGTTGTATAACTCTTATATATCCCGATTTATTCTATGGTGGAAAAGCCGGTCAATTTGTTCCCTTCTACTCTTCACAATCATGCCTGTTATGTGGTAATCCCCTAAGGTCGCCATGACAATGGAGTTTCCTGACCCCTGTGTGTGGTTTTTGTTTCCAGGGCAACGTTTGGGAGCAAGTATTACGTGTCCCCTTCATTCTGGAGATGATCAGCGCTGTTCCCTTCATGATCACTGTGAGTGGAAGGATATGCATTACTGAGTATTCACAGCACCCAATCACTGCAATCCCATCCTCCTTTCTTGAATACACATCACGCATTTAATACGGAAAGGCTATCACAACAAGCACATGCTCACACAACCTCTATCCTTGCAAGAGTTCCTGTGACTGTATACAACATATGAAAGAAAGTGATGAGACAGAGAGCCAAGCAGACTGAAGCTTTCTCTTCTTGGCAGGTGATTTTGCCCTCCTTCAGAAACCTCTTCATTCCTGTATTTCTCAATTGCTGGCTGGCCAAACACGCTTTGGAGAACATGATAGTGAGTGAAGCACTATCTCCCTATCCAATTGTTCCATTACTTTTATTTCGACATCTTTGTTATTTTATTTTGTTGGCATGCGATGGCCCCTCTCTGTCTCTGCCATTTCAGCTCACTGGCGTTTTCTGCCATGAAGGTAAATCAGTCACAAAACATTTAAATTGCACTTTGTTGGGTTTGTTATTGAAGCTTTTCACGTTCCCTGCCTCCATCCAGCTAGCGAAGCCTGCTCCACATTTTGTAATAAACTGTGGCTCTCTCTGCTCCATATATTTCAACACTTTGCCATTTTTATCTCCTTATTTAGTGCATTTTTATATTCCACCCATTGTTTTTTTGATGTATTTTTTTCCTACTATCCATAACTGTAGTTTACCCTTCTTTTACACCTTAACAATGCAGCGCTTGGGGTGTTGCTTCTTCAATACATTAAGTCATATCTGTGTCTGTCTCTGCAGAATGATCTCCACAGGGCAATCCAGCGGACGCATTCAGCCATGTTTAACCAAGTGGTGATACTCATCAGCACGCTGGTGTGTCTCATGTTTACTTGGTGAGTACCCTTGCTGCCACTGAACTAAAAGGGGGGGGGGGCAACAAGGACTGAAAAGCGGGAAAAGAGAGACATTAAATGGAGGTTGAATAGGAAGTGAAAGGTGTCACAGTCGTGGACAGGGTAAGGAAAGAAGCAGAAAGAGGGTGAGATGGACAAGCGACGCAAAGCAATAGTGTGATACATAAAAACTGCTGCTCCTGGATATAAGAGGGAGAAAAGACAGAGAGCAGAGAGGTAATTGGTAACTGTAAGAGTGAGATAGTGCTCTGAAATGACAACTGGCGATGTCTTCAGTGCACTGGAGGATGTGTCAGCTCATAGCATATCTGGTGTGAAAGCCTGGACTAATCCAGAAGATCCTACACACAGCCTGAATTAAGCTCTCTGACCATGTCAGATTTGACATTTGCCTGTTGACTCATCTATCCCTTAAAGAACACAATTATACGCACAGCGGGCACTCGCACACCTATATACACAAATGTACAATGTCCCACATATGCGCTCAAGCATGCATCCACCCCCATTTCCACACACACAAGTCACACATATACGCACAGGTGTGAAAGACAACTCTCCATGTATAAGGCCCCCAGAGGCACCTATAGTTTACCCAGAATATGAAGTCTCTCTCTCGCTCAGTGATGCTTTCTACATCTTTCCCAACCTGCCGACCTCCATCAGCATCTGCGGTATCCAACACCTCGAACGAGCGGGGAACAACCTGACCCTGTTCGACTCTCTCTACTTCTGTGTGGTCACCTTTTCCACTGTGGGCTTTGGAGATGTCACCCCCCAAATCTGGCCCTCGCAACTCCTGGTGGTCATCATGATCTTTGTGGCGCTCATTGTGCTTCCCATTCAGGTGAGAAACAGCAGTGATAACCTCTAATATAATCACATATAGTAGAATAAACAAGATATGTAACTAGTAGTAAAGGCTGACTGTTCCAACAAACATGATATCACTATACAACATAAAGCTCTAAAAGCGATCGATGAGTGACGGCACAAACCCATCTCACCCGGCTGTATTCCAGTTTATATGGTGGTTAACAAATCTTAGATAAAGTGAGCACAGGCGTCCCTTTAAAGTAATCAGAAAAATCATCGTAAAATAAACTCTTGGGATAGCTTTGCAATCCACAAAATCCAAATTGTTTTCTTTTGTGCGCTCATTACAGTGAAGTTTTCTCTGTTAAGACTAAAAGTTGTTGTATTTCCCCACTTGCACAATAATGTGATGACTCATTGCATCCTACGTAGATTTACAACCCTATTTTTACTCCGAGAACAGTGAGAGTGTCTTCCTTACTCGCTCAATTCCCCAAATCCCTCTCTTGTCATTTAACTGTTCCACAGAGGGAACTTTAGAACCCTTTTACTCACACATACACACACTACTTGTACAGGGACTGCTAAATACACCCTGACAAACGTATCAGTTATATTGTATCCTAATGGTTGTTCCTCATACTTGTGTAAACGTTTTATCCCTAAGGGAGCTGGCGCACCTGTGTGCCTCCCAAAAGATGTGAAAGTGCTAATAGGAGGAATTTCCTCTGTGTTTGTACTGTACCTGCAGTCAGAGGAAGGCAGGAAACCACGCTCACACACTACTGATAAACAATTCACAAATAATTTGGTTCACTGACATTCTTGTTTTCTTGTAAATTGGATTTCTTTTGTCATGACGCTACACATCTTTGATAGCTTTTCTGTTTTTTTAATCACGTCACATAAGCAGTGGGTGTAGGGCTGCATCCTACGCATGCCTGTTCAACTGGCTGTTGAACAAGCTCCCAGTGCATTGTTTTTCCAATCAGCTGTGGCCGGGTGGTAGCAAATATGTTCACAAAAACAAAAGGCACAAGCACGAAGATACTTTGCTGAACTTACACGAGCAGACTCGTAAAAAAAATGGCGATCTATGCATCACCAACAGGAATGCCATGTCATCCTCCCCACTCCCTCTCCCCATCTTTCATCCATAAATACCCCATGACATTTAGAATCTGGCCCCCCTTAGCCCCAACCCCCACCCTGTGTGTGTGTGTGTGTGTGTGTGTGTGTGTGTGTGTGTGTGTGTGTGTGTGTGTGTGTGTGTGTGTGTGTGTGTGTGTGTGTGTATGTATGTGTGTGTGTGAGTGAGTGAGTGTGTCCGTCTGTCTGACTCTGAGTCCTGCCATGACCAGTCTCCAGGCTGCAGGGGAGCCACAGAGCGCATCAGGATTCAGCTACTGTTGTTTTTTTAGTGCTGCTTCTATTGGTTTTCCGGTACCCGTCCACAGCACAGCACCAATATACCTCTTGACAAGTCATTTAATGTAATTTTGAACCTTAAAACGATATTGATTTGAAAATAAGATAATAAGCCAACCGTTTAGGTTATTTGTCTTGTTTTTAATTCAGTTTCACCAGCTTGGAGCATTTCCTTGAAACAAATCACAATGCTATAACTGAAATTATTACGTCACAAATCTACCAGTTGGTGCCATCAAGAACTGGCTGTGCTCAAATGATGGCTAAATAAAACACTATTGTCCAACAGAGCCGAGTGGCCTGAAGATGTTTTCCAATAATAATAATAATTATCTCATTATTATAAGTTTATCTGGGGCAAAATGATTGCCTCCTAGACAAAAGCAGCATACAAATTAACCGTGTCGTGGCTCAGGTTTATGTTTAGAAACGTTATCAGCCGTTCATTACGACTTTTCAAGAGCTGAATGCATCACCTAGAAGATATATATAGAAGATATATATTTTATTAATCCCCTATTGGAGAAATTGTTCTTTTCACTCTTTTTTATTTTATACACACACACACACACACACACACACACACACACACACACACACACACACACACACACACAAACACACACAGGCTGAAATGCACACTTTATGCACTTGTGGACAGTGGGAGAGAGATGGTGGAGTGATGGGCTCGCCACGTTAGCAGCGCCCCATGAGCAGTTTCTTGGGATTAGGTTGCCTTGCCCAAGGGCACCTCAGCAGTGCACAGGAGGTGAAACTGGCACTTCTCCAGCTACCAGTCCACACTCCATATTGTGGTCTGTGGGACCTGAATCGGCGACCCTCCGGTTCCCAATCCAAGTCCCTATACACTGAGCTACTGCTGCCCCAGTATCGACTTCATGTCACTTAAATCAAGGTTCTTGGAAAGAAGCGCTGGAAACACTGGAAATGAGGGAAATTTGCGTGTTGTGTTGTTATGTCTCAGCACCACTTGTATGAAAAGGATAGTTTGGATATTTGGGGGTACTTCACATTTCCTACACAGAGCGAGACAAAGTTGCGTCATAATGGTTCTTGCTTGGCCAGTTGAAACGACCATGAAAACTATGTGTATAACTATATATGTGTGTGTGTGTATGTGTATGTGTATATATATATATATATATATATATATATTGTACTATACAGACATGAAAGTGGTATTGATCTTACTCTATTGCACAATCAAAGGCTAATTTTTTTTTTTTTTTTTGCCAATTTATCTTTTCATTTTCTAGTAATGAAAGGTTTTCTGAGCTCTGCTTGTTCATTTACTGCAAACAACAGTGATTGGCATTTTTCTCAAAACAGCAATCCGTGCCATGAATAAATGTAAAACAATGTGCTAAAATATCTGAATATTTTCTGTAAGAAATCTCTTAAATCTCTTTTTTGCATCTCTTCATCTGTAAATCCCACCATCTCTCTATCCACCAAGCCCTCCCCAGTGCATTAAGAAAATCAGTGTAATTTTGCTCAGGCCTACTGTTATTTTCGTAACGTATTTCCGTTCCATTCAACCGCCACCCTGAACCAAATCTCCACTTTTCTTAATTCCTCCAAATACTCTCCCTAATGAAACGGAAACACTATACAGTACAAGGCATTGTTTTCACTTCACATACCACCTGGCTCCTCCCTGTATTCCTGCTAACTTAATCCAATTTCCATCTGTTGCATGTGATCTATGTCATCCTGAATGCAGTTTGAGCAGCTGGCCTTTCTGTGGATGGAGCGGCAGAAGTCCGGGGGGAACTACAGCCGCTACCGGGCACAGACGGAGAAACACGTGGTGCTGTGTGTCAGCTGTCTCAAGATCGACCTCCTCATGGACTTTCTCAATGAGTTCTTTGCTCACCCCCGACTACAGGTCTCTCTAAAAGGGTTTTAAATAGGACAAAGGGGTGCTGGGGGGTCTTGTGTTTGTGTTTGCTTGTTTTCAGTAATCCTCTTCAGGAGCCTGAGCAGCTGAGGTTAAAGAAGAGGATTAATTAAGCAATAGCGCGGATCAAACTGCTGTCTTATTCATGTTGGAGCAGATGTGTGTGTTTGCTTGAGTGTGCATCCATGCATACATATCCAATATGAGTGGTGAAACATCCTCAATGCTAGTGTCCTTTGACTTAACACTTACCAAAATATTATGACCTGAAAGCATGAGAATTGTCACAGACATAGACAGAACCTCCATGTTGAAGTGAATTTCCTTTAGGGTTAATTTTATGAGTCACAACTAATTTCTATTGTATAGAAATTATAAAATATTGAAATTTACTTTAAATGAAAATAATAAAAAAACATATGAATAAGTCTTATGTCTCGTCACAGGTAGTAGCCTACTGGTAAAATGATTTGTTTTTAGGTCTAGGGGAATTACCTCTAGTATCAGCTACTAACAGGCCACAACATTCCCCGAATGTCTTGATTGCCAACAACAAGAAATAGATTTACTTGGCCTTACTTGAAACCATGTGAGGTTAATCCGCTATCCACAGTGGCTTCATTCCTCTTCCGCAGCCAGCCCTCTTTAGTCCTCTCTTGCGTCGCCAGTGCGTTCACTGAGCTCAGTGTCTGTTTTAGTTCATTAAACAAGTACACGTAGAATGAAACTAGACCCAAAACAGGAATTAGAATTATCATTCACTGTCACGGTCTCAACGAAAAGTTGCTCTTTTCTATTCTCTGTTGTATGCCACTCTAAAGTGTCCATGTCTCTACTGTATCTCCCCTGGCCTCTTGCAGGCTCATATTATTAAACACATTCTCTTGAAGACTGGCAACCAATCAAAAATAAATGATAAACTTTCACTGCAACACTTGTGAATGTCCTGTCTGCATATCAAGTGATTCTACATGGTGTACCAACCCCAAATTTAAGACTACAAATTGACTATAGTCAGTGAAATATTTCGTATATGCTTCTCGGTCTAAACACATCCGATCCAGCAGACGTATTACTGATGTCTTGATTGTGGTTTAACCCTCATCAGCCACAATACAAATTCTGTGTGTATGTTTGTGTGTGTGTAGGACTACTATGTGGTGATCCTTTGCCCAGCAGAGATGGACGTCCAGGTTAGGAGGGTACTTCATGTCCCCCTGTGGGCCCAGAGAGTCATCTACCTGCAGGGTTCTGCCCTCAAAGACCAAGACCTGATGAGGGCCAAGTGAGTCACTGTGACCAAACACAACAATAATGAACAAACAAGAGTCTAGCATTAAAACACATTTTATTAATGTATTTAGTTTCCTGTCTATCTATCTATCTATCTATCTGTCTGTCTGTCTGTCTGTCTGTCTGTCTGTCTGTCCGTCCGTCCGTCTATCTATCTATATAAAATAATTCTGCATAAAATCGAGCTTTGAAAAAAGAAAAAAACCCTGAAATAAAACACCTTGAAACACATGGAGAAGCAGGGACTCATAATTAATACCTAAAGCACCTACAGCTTTGAACTGCTGTAATTACAGTTTGAGTCATATTGCTTATTGTTTACCCCCTGGCTTGTGATATTACAGTCACAGCACCTTAGTCTGTCTTTGTCACAGGGAAAGAAAAGGAGCAAAAAGCTTGTATTCTTAATCTCCCTGTCTCCTTGCCTCCTGCTATCTCATCCATAAATGGCGTGGGCTTGAAAGACACATTGGTTTGTTTGTTGTTCTATTGTCCTGCTTTTTTTCTCTTTTGTCTTCTCCCTCAATAACATGACAACACCCTCCTTCCCGTGTCTTCTCTCCTTATCGCTTCCTGATTTTCTCTCTCTCTCTCTCTCTGTCTCTCTCTCTCTGTCTCTCTCTCTCTCGCCCCCATGGCCACATGCTCTACTAACTGCCTGCAGGATGGACGATGCTGAGGCCTGCTTTATCCTCAGTAACCGGTTTGAAGTGGACCGCATTGCTGCTGTACGTTTCTCGCCTCCCTGTATCGCCATGACTCCTCATACTGCAAAACATTCACATTTAGACCTCTTGCTTGATAATAAGTTTAAAATTTAGTTTTTCTAAAAACAGATGAAAATCTCTTGTAATTTGCTTTTATCATGTTTCTGGAGTGAACTGTGTGTTTTTTAGACTATTGCTTCATAAAAAAATCATGAAAGCAGCATTGGAAACAAGTGCTCACTGCATTGGCTGGATTTTCATGCTTGCTGGATTATGGTTGGGGATTTCTGTATCTTTTTACTAAAACATGAAGTGCACAGTGAAAGGCTGGACAGGAAAATATAAACTATACACAGACATGTGCAAAAAAAACAATAAACTTTATAGGTGTGGTGTTATACAACAGCGCACACCATGACAGTGTTAAATCAACATTCTGGACTTCACAGTGAATAATTTGGCAGCACATGCCTTCCTTAATGTCAGTAAACCAGAACTGAATTCAACATAAGTGAGTCAAAGTGAGTGACGAGAACCAAATTAAACCTTAATAATTACCTGTAATTTTTAAACTAAACCCAAGCCGGTTAGTGGCATGGTTCTATGGGTGGCAATGTCGCTCTACCACTTAAATGTCTCAACAATTATTGGATGAATCACTATGACAGTGAGTACAGACATTCGTGTACAGTGACTGTCTTTGGTGAGCCCCTGACTTTTCATCTAGCACCACCATGGTAACAATTTAGATTTTTAGTGAAATGTTTCAACAACTGTTTAATGGATTGCCATGAAATTTTGTAAAGACATTCATGTCACCCACAGGATCATTTTGAATCACTTTGGTGATTCCTTTAGTACCATCATCAGTTTAAAATTTTTATTTGTTCACCACTTTAGTTTATTCCCATCAACTTCAGCTGTACTGCAATTAGTTAGTATGTTAACTAAGTTGAAATGGTTAACACAGTAAACATAGCTATGTTAGCATTCTCACCATGAGCATGTTGTGCCGTGAGTACACAGTCTTGCGAGGGCCATTCAATTGCTCTGTGCAGTCAGTGTTTTAAGAGGATTATTAGAGAGGAGCTACAATTTGTTGCTGCTAATGATGGGTTTCTACCTCTCTCTCTCCCTGTCGCACTTTTCCTCTCTATCTCCCTTGTTTTCACTCCATCCATCTCACTCATCCCCGTTTCCAATTTTCTCAGGATCATCAGACCATCCTCCGAGCCTGGGCAGTGAAAGACTTTGCTCCAAATTGCCCCCTCTACGTCCAGATTCTCAAGCCAGAGAACAAGTTCCACGTCAAATTTGCAGGTGGGCAGGGGGTGTGAAATCAGATACACTGGTTGTCACTTGAGGTGTCAGCTAAAGGTTTGTGTCTCTGTCTTGTTTGTATGCAACTACTGTTATTTGATCACATCATGATGCAGGAAATAATGGGATGGCCCCTGCTGAAAAAATACATCTCCCTGGCCCAATTTGACAGGTGATTTGGAATTGTCACCACCAGTCATGACACACAGCAATGTAAAAGATGGGTGATTAGGTAAGCATTGTTATTTTGCTACAGCAGGGTTGCATTGGGATGCCACGGGAAACTGAGCTGTCCTGTCGGCACTTTATTTCAAGTGTGGGTCCTCAGCTGTCGAGTCCCATTTTCTACCTGAGTTTGTCAGCTTTGTCAGCTTGATTTGTAAGCCTCCTCCCAGCTTTGAAAAAGTGCTGGACAGATTGGCTCGGCTTGGCTGTAAGCTTTTGAGGGTGTCTGTGAGTTTTTACATTGCCTTTTGGAGAGCGTCCCTTCTTCTCCTGCTTAGCAGAAGACGCCAGTCAATCATCTGTGAGTGAAAGAAGGAACCAAACTCTCTCTCACCCCTTCCTCTCTCTCACACATCTCTCTGCCTACAGCCCTGGAGACCATCAAACTCAATTCTAGCTTGCCGCCCTCATCCCAGCTGTCTCTATCAATGATTAATGTTTTACTTTGCTACCTTGGCAAAGGAAATGCCCTTCTTTTGATGAGTTCTGCTGTTTTGCTAACCTGACCCTAGTTCTGCCTGCAGGCAATTATTGTTTGCCCCTGCAGTGCTGTTTAAACAGCTAGACTGAGGCCTTTGTTATTCAGGGGCATTGTTAGGTAGAAAGATACATTTGTTCATCCATGATAACACCAGTTCTATATGGTTATCAGTTGGCTCTGTGAGGTGAAACTTCTTTAGACAGCTGTCACGTGTATGTCAATTGCTTTGATGTGTTATCTTACACTGACATAGTTTTGGGATTTTCAAATATCCTCAACTATCTATCTATCTATCTATCTATCTATCTATCTATCTATCTATCTATCTATATCTATAAAAGCAAGGAATCTCTGTCTGTGTGTGTGTGTGTGTGTGTGTGTGTGTGTGTGTGTGTGTGTGTGGGCTCAAATATCTCTGCAGATCAGGATCAGACTGACCTGAGAGTTTCAACATGGCTGCTGTGTGGTTTAAGGGTGTGCAACGTCGGCTTTGTTTGGACTACAAAGATACAGTTAATAAATTATTTCATAAATAATTTAGAAGTCCGCTAGCATTACCATAGCCACCATTGCCACGTGCGCACCAGAGCCAATCACTGCAGAGCCCTAATGTGTAGTGATGGAGATCCTGACCCACCAAACATCCTGGAAAGTGACGAAGTTATGTTTTTCACTCTAAATTATATAATTATACATAATCACCAGCAGTAAACTGGACGCTGTCTGACTCCCTCACTCGCAAGATGGAGAATGTTTCTCTTTATTAAGTTGAGTGAGAGACCTGTGCAGTTATCAGACTGTCTGACCGACACGCCCTCGCTCCGCGCTGTCGGCTTATCTGTTCACACTATTTTGGTAGTTTCAAAAAGATTTTTTGATGTGGAAACCCTTACTGCCATTGCTCTCTCTCTCTCTCTCTCTCTCTCTCTCTCTCTCTCTCTCTGATGTATGCTAGCCTATATTACAGGGCTAAATAATATGTGCTGCCCATTTCATTTACTAGGCTATGCTACAAGTTATTCTGTTTATGCTGTCAGGTTTCATCCCATTTCAGATGTAGTTAACTTTCTTCTTTCAGAATTTATATGCGCTGACCATGAGGTGTGGTACTTTCACATTAGTGGAATGGGGTTCATCTCCCTACAGTGTCCTTGCTGAAAGACAAATTATATGAAAACACAATAGTTATCAATCTACACATTTCACAACAAACCTAAATGTCCCCGACGTCACACCCTCAAACACAACCTCATTTAGCCATCCATGAAAAAGCTACTTAACCTCCTATTTTCTATAGCAATACATACTTCGTACGGGCACTGCACTAGTTCAATTTTAAAATATGATATTGTTTCTTCATAGCCAATAGCCAGTGGTGGACTGAGGCAGGTTTGAGGGGCAAAAAAAGAAAATCACCAGCGTGCACACAGTAGTGATTCATTTGTGATGCTGAAACATCTTAGTCAGGGTTAGGATTAGCACCCAAGAGGGCACTCTTACCACATTTTGTCCACTGGAAGGGCAGCCTGTACAGTAGCAGTGGTTCAGTGCTCCAACCAGAGTTGAATAATCAGGTCTAACATAACACATGAGAGCTACCAACCTCACAGAGGAAGACCATTGTTATTACTTTGCTCACAGATAACAATTAATTCCTGTTTGAATGTCTTTAAAGGGATGACATCGCTGAGAGCTGCTGCCTCCTGCCTCTCATTCCATGCTGTTTTCCCACATTATGTTAATTTATTTTATTCTCTACAACCATTTGGCAACCCCCAGAAATTATCTCGCAACCCCCTTGGGTGTCCTGACCCCCAGGCTGAAAATCACTTTAACATGTTTTATCCACTGAGTGCCCCTCTGGTGGTCAATCCATCACTTTTCACCGCTGAAAAGGAACCTTAGAGGGCACTTCTATCTATCATGTTTTATCTAGCATAGGGGCATCCAAGAGGGTAAATAAGAAATTCACTGTAAGACTATAGTGAAAAGTAACGTACCCCTTTAAACTGACAAAACACATGAGTTTGAACAAAGCAAAGGTCATAATCACCTTCCTATAATCCTGAAGACACCATAGGTAGACTCAAAAAACGAATCAGTATGCAGTCATATGGGCTTTACTGTAAGTACAGACGCCATGTTTTGACACCACTTGGAAAATACTCACTAAGTGCTAGTGTGGGAGGCATTAATGAGCAAGAGATACAAGATTTAATTTGATCTGCAGGAATAGCTTAATAACAGCCCGGCATTCATTAGGGAAGATCTGTCGGTATGATGCTGCAGCAGGCCAGGAAACCCTGAGGCATCTGAGTAACAAAACAGAACTGGGTACAGAGTGTCGATTGATTATCTCCCCAGTTTACGTTTTGAACGACAATAGCCAGGCGCCCCCGTGAGCTCGGCTCATTGTAGCCACATCAGCCGACTCATTCAAACAATAACGGCATACTGATTTAATTAGCTCTACCGGTGGACCTGTGGTCAGGTTGTAATTGCACTCTTACAGAGGGTGCAAATAACCACACGCATACACACATATTTGCACACACAGAATTACACCTTTAATACCAGTCTGTGATAGAAAACCACACGCAGTCGGGAGAGATGGAGACAAAAACCCGGATCTTCTAAGCAAGGGCGACAGAAAGAGAAAAGAGAGAGCGTGTGTGTGTATGCTCAGTGTTGGTAATTGGTTTCTCTCCTGGTCTTGGTCGAGTCACCTGAAGGATAGAGAGCAGGACGGAGGGCTGAGGTGAACGGTAAGCAGAGGAGAAGATGTGAAATGAAGGGATCACAGTGGTGAAGAGAGGTTTAAAAAGGACACTGGAAATTGGATATTGGAAAAAAAATCAATTTGGTGTGTCACTACTGTGTGCTATGGGAGTTAGGAATGTAAGAGATTGAGAAAGTGGAATGTGTGTATTACAATAATGAATACTGTTCTCCGTAGATACACCAGCAGTGTTTTTGTCTCTGCATAGCTCAAAAAGCTTTCGCTTCAAAAGAAATTCACAGGCTGAATAGCAAGAGGCTATTCTTTGTGTTTGTGTGTGAGCTGCATTATGATGTACTGTTCTGAGCCAAAAGAACATTGGTACTTCAACGGAAGATCCAAAATCAGCTGTTTTAATTGCCATGTCTCTCACCTGCTCAGCTTCAGGCTCACACAGACATGACTAATTTATTAAAAACTGCATTTACATCTCAGCTGGCCTCCTGTTACTCAGACTGGCAGCTGATTGAGTCTGATACTTTATGTCAGACTCTGACGTTTGCCACCAATTATTTCCTAATACGGACCACATATTGTGCTTTTAGGACCTAGCTCAACATTGTTGGTAAACAAGCCATAATATGACTGTGTGCTCATCACCGAAGATAATGCAATCAAGAATTACACAGCAAAGGAAATGGATGCTCCCTGGGCCTGAATCATTGATTGGTTTACTAGAAACATTAATCGCTCTATTGGTTTTCCCTCTCAAAGTGGAGGCTGCCTGGCAAGAGGTAAACAAGGGGACTTTCATCTGTGTTTGTTCAGTTTGGTTTGGTTTGGTTGGCTCAGAGGCAGCGCTGCGTTAAGTGTTGGATGGTGTGAGTGAAAGGTGGTTTAATAAGGCTGTCATTGAATAACTGGCTTGTTGCTAGGTCTTCCCACCATCCCTTAAAAACTGAACAGTGGGCCACAGCGATGACATATAATTGATCCCATGGAAGTAAACAGGGAATGCGTCTAAGCAGGGGCGAGAGGATGATGGAAGACGTCTGACACGGCTGTCTGTTTGACTCATTTGTTTGTTAGACAAATATGAAGTGACAAGACATTTTCCAACATAAAATAGGGACATGATAGCGTGTGTGCTCGTGTCTTTCGGTCGCACTGTAAGCTGCAGCCATTAACGGTGAAATGCATGACACATTGTGCATTGTGTGTGTGTTTGCACATAGAGCCACAGAGCACCCATCAACCATTTCTGAGAATATGTCGGCAGTAGAAAGTATTTCTGTGCAAACTGTTCATATTTTGGATTATAGTGAGTAACCTGGATATTGTTTTCCAGGAAGAAGTGTTGCTATTTAGTTTATCAAATGTTATTTTTCAGTTATTTGAGCTAGAGATTAAACATTTAGTCAATTAACTGCTAGTGATTAGCAGATAGCGAACCGACAACAATTTTGGTAATTTCCGTTTCAGTTGTATTCAAAGCAAAAAACGCTTGCTGGTTCATAAACGTCGGAGATGTATTCAGATACAACTCTGCATGGCTAAATATTACTAGGAATTAAGTGAGATCAATTGTGATTTTTTTGTGTGACTTGGTTGAGTGGGCCCTCAAGAGGATGTTATTTATTTTAAGCCCTCAACCTTTTATGTCACTTACACCTGTATTAATGGGATGAAGCCATCAACTTTCTCTGTCACTCGCCCACACACTGACCAAGGCCAGGAGAGTCTTTTCAGTCAGCACATTTGTATTCACTGCAGTGTTCTTGGGTTTCAGAATTTAAAGTTTTATGGAGTACAATGTGAGTGGTTGTGTTTTGCCAAGGCATGTGTGACCTGGGTCACTTTGCCCCTCTTGTTTCCTATTTCTGCAGATCATGTGGTGTGTGAAGAAGAGTTTAAGTACGCCATGCTGGCTTTAAACTGTGTGTGCCCCGGTACCTCGACACTCATCACTCTATTGATCCACTCTTCCAGAGGACAGTGAGTTCACTTTCTTCTCCCTATCCCACTTTCTTTCTCCCTAGCCCGCTTTTCTATTTGATTGTTCACAGCATGGTCTTACAGTCTTGACAGTGAAATATACAGTAGATATAGTGAATAGAAATGAGCTTCTTCTTGTCTCCTCGCTGTCACTCAACTTTGTTGTATTTTTTTCAGAACGGCACCCCAGGAGGCCTTCAAGCAACGTGTAGGAGCTTTTCAAGCCCTCAACAGGTAGTATGCATCTGATCTGTATTCACAGCGAGAAATTCTGTGGCACATTTGTGCTCAATGTTCACCCAAATCCTCTGTCAGCTTCTATAGTTTGCATGCTGTTCTGTGTGATTCTGTGAGAGTTGGTAAAAGGGGGGAAAAAAGCTTGTAATATAGAAATTGTGCTTAGAAGATGTTCAAAATGTTTTATAGATTTTAAATAACTGTCATGTTTGTGAAACGTTACACAAGAGGCAAAATATGAGTGAGTTTTGTTGGTTTTGTTTGGTGGTTCATTCACATCTCTCACTTGCTGGTTGAAGAGCAATTTTGGTATTTTGCTCACAACCAGAATGTTATTTGGGCAAAACTCCTACTCCTTTTGATCATTACTGCATGATAGCAGAATTATTCCAGTGATTAAAATGGTGCTTAAATATGATTCGTTGTTGTAGTTAAGGAGTTGATGGTAGATGTCCTCATAACGACAGGATATCCACACAAAAAACAAACCTGCTATCACTCCTAAAATATAAAGTATTAGTCGTATTAGTAAAGATTTAGTAATGTAATGTTTTTACATAAGAGAGTACAATATACCTATCCTTTAATTATGGATAGTCAAGAAACACATAAATGACAAACTCTTTCATTATATGTGAAAATACATTGTTAAAGAAATACCAATTCAAATACTTTACTATAATAAATATCACTTGTGTCTGATGAGTTCAACATTTATGTGTTTCATAAGTATTCTTCTATATCTGGACTTGGTTTATTGGCTGTGACAATGCAACATGACTAGAATTTGTCATCCTCCTTTCCTGCCTTGCACTTAGTTCCTGTAAACTGCAAATTCGCTATAACACTTGTTTATATAATGCCGTCTTTGTCGTAGGCCACCCACATTCACACTGCCCCCACACCCTTGCTTCCTGTTATCACCTCTTTAGCCTTCTCGGTTAAAGCCATATCCCCCTGAGAAAAAAGTTGTCCACTTAACTGTGTGAATGTGTACATGTGGGGCCTATTGTTCAGACAGCCTGGGTGTCCTAGTGTACATCTGTGTGCTGATTGAAGTATTGATTAGCGGCTCTGACAGAGATGTAAGATGTTACCTCTGCAACCGTGAGTGGAAAATCTTCTGATGTGGTCAATGTGCTGAGCTGGATTCTTCTTCTGTTTCAAAGGTCAAGCTTTCCCCACATGGCCAATCAATCCTCTTTTTTTGTGTTAGGGAGGGCGGTGCGTGTTCAGCAGACCAATGGCACCGAACCTACCGGCGCTGCTCAGCTAATGAGGTACATCACATCCGCCTGGAGGAAAGCAAATTCTTTGGGGAATACCAGGGCAAGAGTTTCACCTTTGCCTCCTTTCATGCTCACAAAAAGTAAGTCATGACATGAAAAGCAAAGAAATGAGAACACACACCAACCTGTACGGTTCAGACCTGACCATGTCTCTCCGGCTGCAGGTATGGAGTATGTCTGATCGGAGTACGCAGATTGGACACCACCAACATCCTGCTGAACCCTGGTCCCTGCCACATCATGGGTGCCTCTGACACATGCTTCTACATCAATATCTCAAAAGAGGAGAACTCTGCATTTGTCAGGGGCCAGAGGGAGCCATCGTGGGGCGGCACTGGAGGAAATGCCAGGGGAGTGCACCAAACCATCTACCATGGACTCACCCGCCTGCCAGTCCACAGTATCATTGCCAGCATGGGTCAGTCAGATGGGCACGGCACAAAGACTGTGTAACATTTGCACACTGACCTTCTGTTTGCAGTTTCTGTTGGTCAAACATGCAAACCATTCATTAATCTGTCTTAGACCGCAGCACAGTCACAGCTGTCAGAATTATTCATTTCTCACATTTTAAACCTATCTGAGTGAATAAAAATATTCATAGCTTTTCCAAGGAATTATCCTGTATCAGATTATAAGTCACACTTGATAAGAGCAACTGCCAAATTAACTGAAATGTCACATACTGTAGTTTTACAAACACTCCACCTGGTGGACAACAATGAAACTGTCCACCTCACAGCTCTCACGACAGTATGAGTTATCAGGGATCTGTGCAAACATATCACGTATAGTGTTTGAAATTTTACCTTCATGTTTGCATTGATAATCACTGTCACCATGCGTGCATGTTTCAGGCACAGTGGCCATCGACCTGCAGGACTCCAGCGACAGCAGCCCAGAAGGCCAGGACCCGGGGAGCACTGGGCTGGGCAGCGGGAGAGGAAGCAGGAGCAGCTCCAGGACAGAGATGGGTGGCGCTAACACTTTGGCCCTGCCTGCCATGGGAGACTCAGCCGAGGAGAGGAGGCACAGCATCGCCCCCGTTCTGGAGCTGGTGGACGGTGTCAACAACCCCACCTTTGACCTGCTGGGAGACCAGTCAGAGGACGAGGGAGGGGAAGAGGGAAAGGAGGACAGTGACAAAGATGAGAGTGCACACTGGTGGGGTCGACACTGCGAGTAAGCAATGAAGATGCTGTTTGAATTTTCTCGTATGTAAACTTGTTCAGAGGTAACTGTCAGCTTGTGCCGCAGGTGGGTGAAGGGATACCCGCTGAACTCTCCATACATCGGCAGCTCACCTACGCTGTGCCACCTTCTTCAAGAAAAGATGCCTTTCTGCTGCCTGCGCATGGACAAGGTATGGGATTTAAATGGCTTGCTATTTTTATTTTACAAGTTCACATTTCACGCCACCTTCATGGCCCCTCTGCTGCTCTCCTAGGCCTGTCATCACACCCTTTTTGAGGATGCTCGCTCCTACGGCTTCAAAAACAAATTGATCATTGTGTCCGCTGAGAGTGCAGGGAATGGTCTGTACAACTTCATTGTGCCTCTACGGGCCTACTACCGACCCAGGAAGGAGCTCAACCCCATTGTGCTGCTGTTGGAGGGCATGTAAGGACACATTTCCGTCATTTGGTGTGATTCGGTGCTTGTGAACACAGCTTCGAACTAAAATAGATTATTTGTTGTGTTGCCCAAAATTGTTGCTGCGAGCACAACGGCTACGCTACAAATCTAGGTTGCCGGGGATGGTAAAATGGGTTCCTCCTTAAATAGCCAGCAGAAGAGAAAAACTGAGCTATTTAAGGTCGCTGTAAACATGATTTGTGAAATGCTGAATGCTTTCAGGACAATGCGCTCCGCAATCCTGTGTCGTGTTTTGTGGCTGCTACACAAACGCAGTCAGCCAAATGAGAGTGGAATCCAATAAAAAGGCAATAAAATGCTGAGTCACTCCAGTGTAGTGCTGTTATTTTCAGCTTTCTCTGCGGGCAGTTTGGCTGTGTTGTATTTCTCAGGCTGAGTGAGGGGTTTCTGTCTCTGTGGGAAAGTTAGCTCTTCATCATGGCACGTATAAATCTCTACTGGTGGGAATCTCAAGTCTATTTGTGTTTTGATTGGTTCAGACCTGAAGCTGACTTCCTGGAGGCAATCTGTTGGTTTCCTATGGTGTTCTACACAGTGGGCTCCATTGACAAGTAAGACAGATCAAACCTCCTGGCTGACTTCATTATTTATGCTCCCTTTTTTTATCTTTTTATTTTACTATTTCCTTCACATCCTTTCCTTCATTTACGTACTTATGTACTCAAATGACAGTTTACTCCTCTTATTTTTAGATTTATACTTACTGCCCTTAAACACTGCCCTTATTCTTCTTCATTATGCACCCCCCCACCATCACCTCCACCGCTTCTCTCCCACTCTCGGCACAGTCTGGACAGTTTGCTGCGATGTGGAGTGACTTTCGCAGACACCATGGTGGTGGTTGACAAGGAAAGCTCCATGATTGCAGAGGAGGACTACATGGCCGATGCAAAAACGATCGTCAATGTCCAGACGCTCTTCAGGTCTGCTTTGCTCAAAATTGCTCAGCAATCTCACACACTAGCTTAAAGTGAGTGTTTTTTTTTTTTTTACCCATTATTCTCTCTCTTTGTCTGTGTGCCTCTTCCTCCCCAGACTGTTCCCAGCTCTTAGTATCATCACGGAGCTCACCCACCCAGCCAACATGCGTTTTATGCAGTTCAAAGTCAAAGACCACTACTCTCTGGCGCTCTCTAAACTGGAAAAGGTAAAAGCTTCATACCTTCAAACCTCCACTTTCTTTCTCTCTCATCTAAGGTCACAATGAAAAAAAATGACGAGAACAAACACAGCAGACTATTTAGCAGTATGAAAGCCATCCTTTCAGATTTTTTTTTCAGAAAGGATGTTTTTGAAATACATTCACTGAATCACTGCTAATGTTGCTTTGTTTTGATGAGAAGCTTCAAGCTGAAAAATAGGTTGGGTTTTTTTTGTCACAACCACTGTGAAGTGTTGCAGTTAACATTTCTAACTGATTGTAGCCTTGTAGTTCTTCTTTTCACCCCACTGCTGCTCGCCTTTTTTAACTGCTTTTGTTGTTAATGTCGCTCTCTGTGTGGCAGCTAATGAATTTTCCCTTTGGGCATCAATAACATTTATCAAGAAATCAGCAAAGGGATTAACATTATTATTTGATAATGGTTTTTGAAATTTCTAGCAGTGATCCCTTACAGCAGGAAGGACCTTTCTTTGTTTGGGCAACGTATGTTTTTGTGTTGTTTCCTTAGGATTTTCTTCCTTTAATCCCACGTTACAAAAAATGATAATGAGAAGAAGAAACATTCACCACATCATCTCATCTCTACAAAGACCAGTGTAATCTTGGAAAAATGTGTGTGTGTGTGTGTGTGTGTGTGTGTGTGTGTGTGTGTGTGTGTGTGTGTGTGTGTGTGTGTGTGTGTGTGTGTGTGTGTGTGTGTGTGTGGGTGTGTCGGTGTGTGTGTGTGTGTCGGTGGGTGTATGTTTATGTGTTTGATCTGCAGAAGGAAAGGGAGAAGGGGTCCAACCTGGTGTTTATGTTCCGCCTGCCCTTCGCGGCAGGGAAGGTGTTCAGTGTCAGCATGCTGGACACTCTCCTCTACCAGGTATTTTAAACTCTTCTCTTGGACTGAACACAACCAAAATCCTGTTTTTCAGTGTGGCAAAATGCCAAATATGATCTAATTCTGTTCACTTTTTCTCCTGCCAGTCATTTGTGAAGGACTACATGATCTCCATTGCAAGGCTGCTGCTGGGTTTAGACTCCATGCCTGGCTCAGGTTTCCTCTGTGCTGTAAGTATTCAATCACAAACAGCTGGAATTCTGAATCTGTGTGTTTGACCTGTGAAGTGCCTTTGAGAATGATTATTGTGTTTGTGTGTTTTCTAGATGAAAATCACAGAGGATGACCTGTGGATCCGCACGTACGGCAGGCTCTACCAGAAACTGTGCTCCTCCAATGGAGACATTCCCATTGGCATCTATCGGACAGAGGCACATAAGCTTCCAGTCTCTGAGGTCAGCTGCTACTGTTGCTAGTTCTGAGTTTTGTGGCCAAAAGCCACTGGATAGCAACCCCCAGAGGCCACAACGTTCATTGCATCCCACAATATGTTGGTTTACTTAAACCTTAAACCTAAACTTATAAAGAGAGGAAAGATTACAAGGTTCATTCAATTCCCCAGAAATGTAATGGTTTCTTTAATGGTTATTATATAAAATCAGAGTTGTTTCTATTAGCTATATATACTTTATTATTATATTTTCTCTACTGTAAGAAGTCTCACTCGCTTGCTTTCAGTTACAAAGTCACAATTTTTGTAGTCGTTAACTACAAAAAAGTTACAATAAAACACAAAAAAGAGTGAGTCACTTCCCTTAAAGGTTTATTTAAACTGATGCATCTCCCCAAATGTTAATTCAATTTGTCTATGTTTTGCCAACCGTCTGATATTAGTTTTGATATATGTATTTTTGACCTGAGACAGACATATTACTCATTAGACATGATGCAGGAATACGTGACAACTTTCCCAATGTGCTGCTGATATCTATTTTTTAAGAAATACCAGAGACACAATGGTTTTGTCTGTTGGACAAAAGATATTTAAGAATGTTGGACTATTCATTATATCTTGTCTCTCATTCATTAACAGTGCGATAACAAAGTATTAAATCTTATTCATTTAGAGAAATTGGAGACCAGTAAAGAACGGATTTAATAAAAACCAGTATGATTGTAAGCTGATTAAGCTGCATAAGGAAATTAAAGGTTTGTGTATGTGATATTATGTGCGTGTGTGTGTGTGTTTGTCTCAGTCCCAGGTTTCCATCACAGTGGAAGACTACGAGGATACCAGAGAACCCAGAGAGCCCCTGTTGTCCCGGACCGGTGCTCATCGCAACTCCACCTCCTCGGAGCCCGTCTCCACCTCTTCCCACTCCTCGGACCACCCGCTGCTCAGGAGGAAGAGCATGCAGTGGGCACGGCGGCTGAGCAGGAAGGGGGGTCGGAACTCTAGCGCAGCCAAGGGGGGTCCGGGCAGCGCGGCAGAGAGGATCAGCCAGCAGAGACTGACACTGTTTCGGCGCTCGGAGAGGCAAGAACTCAACGCCCTGGTGCGAACGAGGATGAAACACTTGGGCCTTTCTCCAACTGGATTCAGTAAGTCTATGAAAGTTTTAATTTCCTGATCTCAAGTGTAGGCCTACTGCTAGTGGTTGAATGTAACTAAGTACAATTTGTATGTACTTTACTGTAATTTTATTTATATTATATTTATATATTGTATATTTTATGCTAGTTTGTACTTCTACTTACTATTACTACTACTACTACTACTACTATACTATTATGCTATTAAATTGAAACTAAAATTACTCAACGTTTAACAAAAAGCAAGATTAGGGAAAAGATTAGTATAGCAGAACTTTACTCATTAATCATTGCATGACCCCTTAGATTTCTCTTGTGACCCTTTGGAGGGGCATGACCCCCATTTTTGGAACTTCTGGACTAAACTACCAAACTATATATAAAGTAGTTAAAACTTGCTCCACCTCAACCAGAAATTTTTTTCTCAATTATGACTACTTTTACATTTGATACTTTAAGTTTTGTACTTTTAATTAATTTGTATTTGAATGCAGGACTTTTACCTGTAATGTAAAAGTATTTTTACATGGTTGCATTACCAATACTCACTTAAGTGAAGGATCTGAGAACTTCTACCACTGCTGTTTACAGTCTGCAACTGTCTATGTATTCTGCTTGTGTCCATTTTTATCAAAATTTGTCTTCCTGTGTTGTGACTCATAGTAATGTAGCCTCTATTCTGTGTACGGATGTTGCACAGCCTGCTGTATATCCTGTGCCTATTTCATTTCCAGCCTCACTCACCTCTATTCTTCCTGTGTCAGATGGGATGACAGACCAAGGGAACAGACTGTCTTATATCCTCATCAACCCTTCTCCAGACACCAGGCTGGAGCTGCACGATGTTGTGTGAGTGCATTCCACCAAATATAATTGATTACACTGTAAAATTAACCCAGCATGAAAACTACAAATATTACAGAATTTCTATTTGTCTGTAACCCAATCTGCAGGTACCTGATCAGACCAGATCCCCTCTCTCTGGTACCCAATCAGGGCAGCAACAGAAAGTGCAGCGGCGGCATATCAGAGAGTCACCGGTTCGATACGCAGGACAGCACCCATCTGTGAGAGACAAAAAAAAAGACAAATATACTGTCAAAACACTGCCAGAGAGAGGAGCAACAACAACACACTCACAAGAGAGAATCAGAAATCAAGAAATTGTAAGACGGAAAGGGATGCAGCGAAATGGAGCATGGCCCTCGTATTGTCTCCACATTCAGTCTCGGTGAACTCAGAGGTGCCAGACATGCATGGACCTTTTCTATAACAATGGGAATGTTTTATTTATGCACCTTCCTATTTTCAAAGCGGAGAGCTGCGGACACAGAAGTGCATTTAATGAAAAACTGTTTGTATTTATATCTGTGTATGTGCATGTTATGTACTGCATCATGTATGTGCAGCGTGTATGGTTGTGTGTACAGTATGTATGTTCAAGTGCGTGAATGAATGTTTGTGTATGCTTATGGATCAAGAGCAAGACACTGCCACATTTTATCCGGACAGCCAAAGGAATTTAGCTGCCGAATGAAAGTCAAGGGATGTATTTTTTATTTTATTTTTTTGTCCTTTTCTGTGTCGTAGGTGTGTTTCGTCACACTTAATGTTGTTTGACGTATTTAAAAGTGACACTACAGCGCACAAACCCTGTGAGGTTTTCTATTTCTTTCTCTTTTTTTCAGTCATCACAAAGCCTTTTGGAAACTTTTTACCTGTTGCTTACACAGTCAAATGCACACATTCGTTTTATGCTCACCAGCAGCGGAGGAATCCAAAGAGCACCAGTCTCAATAACGGACAGCCAGCATGCATTATCAGTGCAGGGCATTCAGTCACATTGCTGTCTGAAATATTTTACTGTCTTCAGTTATATGAGTTCTCTTAGAAGAAACCTGTTCCTGAGTTTATTGTTTGCCTGTCCCACTCTCTCTGCTGTCAGTCAGTGTGAGCCGTCCTGCCACCAGCTTGCTTTTGCTGACGCGCATGTTAGAGATGCAGGGGATGGACAGAATAACAGGAACATATACCATAATAATGCCATCCAGTACAATAGCCCTGCAATAAATATGACCTTTGTGAAGCTTTTAATGTAACATTTTTGAGACAGTGTCAGAGAGGTGTTGCTTCAGCTCTCAGTTTTGAAGCTGATTTATAAGCTTTATAATTAAATATTTGTTATATTTATTGCACACTGCAATAAATATCCACTTTTTCAAGTCATTAGTTAACTAATTAGGAATTAAAATCTATAATATAGTTGGTTTTCAGCTGGAAGAAATCTCATTTCTCTAAAAACAAGTGAAAAATGTGCCAGTGGAGTGAGATAATTCTGCTTGTTTTTTTCAGCCTAGTCTACCTTATTTCATAGATTTTCATTTGTTTCAAGAAATGTGAGATTTGAATCTGTTATATTGAAGTCAATTACTTGTTAGGGTGAACATTTATGCTGTTTGTTTACCAAGGATTTGAAAGCCTCTGTAAAATCTTTTGTCAAAAATTCAGAATGTGCCATTTCACACAGAAATGGTGCAGCCATGTGTTGGGAATGTTAACTGGCATCCCTGCCAACACCACTCCTGTAGCTTTAGTATACATGAAACATGAAAATATGTATATATTAAAGTCAGTCATTATAGCTTGTCATTGTTTCATTGCTTTTTTGGTGTCTATTTGTGCAGCTATAACCAGAATCTCTTTGCATGAGTTCACTAATTAGATTCATAATTTGAGCCATATATGTATAAACCACTTCACATCTAAATAGTCACATTATTTGTATTTCTAAATGAATCCCTTAATTGTCTGACACAGTATGTCTTTTATGTAGTTTACCAAGCTCACATTCGGAGCTATTTTTGCCTCGATACATCAACACTGTGTATGGGTCACACTAAATGGCTGTAATTCATCATACTGTAATGTTCTCAAGCTCACCAAAGACCACACAGTACTGCAATATGTGTTACATCAGTTAGTTTATGCATGCATATGACTTGAATTATCAATGTGTGCTTTGTGCGGACAAAATGGAGAGTGTATTTTTAACTAGAGCCCAGCTCACGGGACTTGTCACCAGGAAGGCCTTTGCCATTTGTGTTGCTATTGCCCAGATTTACACATAATATTATGGGCAAACTCCTCTTGATCTAGAACATACAAACATGATATCTTCATCTTATCAGTACTTAAATAAGCCTGACTAGTCACAGTGACTTGCGCAAATTTTGAGGCAGAGCGGAAGCTGAGCTCTGCACAAACTGCCATATGAGAACGTGGGTGTGGCCAGGCCAAAGACAAACATTCCGCAGGGGCTCAATATAAAAGCCCAAAAGGAGAACCGTGCAAACAGAGGCAGAGGAAATGGCAGGGCAGGCAGTCAACGTGCTAATCACAGGAGCCAACAGGGGCTTGGGCCTGGAGATGGTTAAGCAAATGCTGGAGAGCTACCGTCCAGTGAAAAAGCTGGTCGCTTGTTGCAGGGACCCAGATGGACCCAGGGCTGAGGTGAGTCTTTACCCCCTCTGAGCCCCATTGAGCTCTTAAACAAATAACTGTATTTCTACTAAAAGTGAGTGCAAGTGATCAACAGTGTGCTTCCCCGGAATTACAAACTTATCTTCTCTGTGTATTTGCAGGCCTTGCGAACACTGGCAAAGAAGCATCCTGATGTAATCTCCATCGTTCGCCTGGGTATAAACTCTCTGTCCCTCTCTTATACTCTATTAAACTTTCAATCCTGCTCTCATGTCCAGACACACACACACACACACACTGGCCTTGACTCTATAAATAGCGTTGTGTTGTGATATTTACTGTTTCTGACTGCCACTGATGGTCCACTTTCTTTCTCTCTCTGTCAGACGCCGCTGACCTTTGTAGTATAAAACAGTGTGCACAACAGGTGGGTGCTCTGGTGGGGACAGGCGGTCTCAACCTGCTGATTAACAATGCAGGGCTCCTGTGCAAAAGCACCCTGCAGGAGACCAGTCCTGAGGACATGCAGAACAGCTTCACCACCAATGTAATGGGCCCTTTCAACATCATTCAAGTAAGGGAGAGGGAAAGTGTCATGTCTGAAACACAAAACTTCCAACACTGCCTTGTTTTGGAATTTAAAGGAAGGAAATTAGGTGGTGCCATGTGTACACTGAAAGTTCCTCTTGTTGGTGGTCATTATTAGGAGTTCCTGCCTCACCTTCGCACTGCAGCGAAGGGCAGTAAGATGCCAGGAATGTCCTGCAGGAAAGCGGCAGTCGTCAGCATCTCCTCAGTTCTGGCTTCAATGCAATGTGCGAAAGATTCATATTCCATTTTCTCTGCAATCCCCTACCGCGTCAGCAAGGTAAGAGACAACCTGCTAACACTGTGACCTGCTACTCAAAGGCTTCATCTCTCAGTCATAGAGGGAAACTGTTCACCTCAATTTCTCTGTCGCTGGTCGTTTTCTTTTCTTTTTCTGTCCCATAATTTCTTCTGTTCTCCTCTCTTGTCTTCTCAGGCAGGTCTGAACATGCTGACAGTGTGTGCTGCCGAGGAGCTGAAGAAGGACGAGATCCTGTTTTCTTTGCTGCACCCGGGCTGGGTTCGCACCGACATGGGTGGAGAGGAGGTGAGTCAGCAGTTTTCACTGACCTCCCCGGTCCAGTCATAAAGGATACAATAAAACAATGAATACGAACCAGTGTCCGAATGATACGTTCACTTTATTTATTGAGAAGCACAATATTAACATCATGTTGTATAATTTCACTACAAAAACTACAGTAGTTATTGTTGAAATCAGTACAATCAACAGACGAAGACTAAGCGGTTCTCATGGTGACAGATCTTTTTTCTTTTTTTTTTTTTTACAATCCAAGCTTCATTCACATTGCAGGATTTCACTTCACACGTTTTTCTCAGAGCTGATTTTGTTTTTAGGTTTAAGTGTTGTATGGGTCCAATGTCTGATACAAGCCCGAACGAGTAATCTACCTGTGATAATCCAGAAAGTCAAAAAACAACACCAAATATGTCACACAAAGCAGGAATATCAAGTCAGACAACATATCTGTGTGTCGACATACATCAATCAATCATACTCATAATTTGCAAGTCATCGTTATATAGCATAACCATTCCCACAGCTGCATGCATCCTAACTTGCTCATTCTGCTTTGTGAAGCTACTGTGATGGATATACACAGTTAGGCCAGTTTGATTAAACTTTCTGAAGTCAACACACAGCTCCAGTGTTTTATAGGATGTGTAACTGCTTTAGAATATTAATCCTTGTAAAATGGACAGCATTGCCTTGTTTTATTTATAAGCATTTATAGATTTTACTGTCCCGATTGCAGCTGTCCTCCATGCTTTCAGTTGCCGACATAGATTGACACAGAAGTGGATCACATATAGCACATATTCAGCACATACTGTGGAATATGTTTACATTACATTTACTTTGTATATAGGCTCTTATTATTTTACTATATTTTATTTTATATTTCCATTTTTTTTTTTTTTTTTTTTTTACTTATATGTATAAACCTATACATACATTTCTATTCTATATATTGTGTTAGATTTTGTAATATAAGTATTATCTCTATTTACTCTATTGAGTGGAACAACTGTAACAAACAAATCCCCCCCCCCAGGGATCAATAAAGTTGTTCTGATTCTGATTAAAAGTGGCCCAGGTCAAGGCTGAAAATGCAAGATTGAGTGTGTTTTTATTTTTTTAAAGTTCACACAACATTTCAGTTTTGATTTGAACCACTTTTATCGCTTTAAGTATGAATGCAGCTGTAACATCTCGTCTGTGGGTGGAAAAATTGGAGTGTCTTTTCCTTAACTTAAGTTAGAGCAAGGAGAATTGACCTCCAGTGTGAGCCTTCATGTTGACCGTGTTTTTTTTTACAGGCGGAAATCGATGCTCCAGAGAGTGTGCAGGGGATGCTTCGTGTGATGACTTCCCTGACTGAGAAGCAAAACGGAGGCTTCCTGGATTATAAGGGCCATACCATCCCCTGGTAGCTCTAAACAACCACTTTGTGCTTCATAAAAAAAAAAGTCAATCACTAAATGACCCCAAGTGAAATAAACTAATATATGTTCTAATTACTTTGCTTGTATTGTGTTCATTTTACACACAAGCATGCACATCATCACTTTAAATGATTTGATTCATATTTGGGTAATTTCTTAAATTTGAAATACTCAAGTCCTTTGTAAGGCTTTCTCACATCACCATGTGGCGCTGTTCCACACAGCCACCTTAGCGGGGCAGATCTTAAGTGGTTTGGGGTTATTGCCATTGATGTTGGCTCCAGGACAGAAGAAGGGGTACATCTTCTCAGTGAAGAAGTCGTTGAAGGCGTAGATGGGTGTCATGCTGATAGGGTTGGAGAAGCTCACCTCTCCGGAGTCATAGTCCAGCTGCACCCTGACTCGGGTCAGCTCTCCCTCCACATGCAGCGTGGTGCTGGGCCTCGTCATGGCCGAGTACTCGCCCTCATAGTGGGAGATCATCCAAAAGCCGCCCTCGGGACAGCCCGATATACGACCTTTCCTGTCGATGGACTCCTTGACCACCCCGAGCATCCAGTCCGACTTGTCTCCAACCTCCACCTCCCAGGCGTGGCGGCCCGAGGTGAAGCCCTCTGAGCCCAGCACGAACACAAAGTGGCCGAAACGCTCCGGATTGGCCGGGAGCTGCTGGAGGGATCCGCTGTTGGTGACAATGGTCAGGTCTGCGGAGAGGGACAACCAGGAGTAGGCAGTGTTGGGGTCCAGGGTGATGGATGCTGAAAGGGAAAGAGAAAACACAGACAGTGAATTAGTAATGTGCACTGCTTTGTTCCAGCATTTCTAAAAAGCCTTCAATGACATGCCTACACACACACACAGCGCGTACTGGTCTTCTTCAGGGTCAAACTACTGACTAATAGTGATAGTAAGTGCTTACTGTACTGAACCAGCTCCATCATCTTCTCCCACACATTGTACTTGAGGGAACTGACATGCTTGGCCACATTGATAAGAGCACCTGACACCTTTTCTGGATCCTTCTGTGGGATCTGCGCTCTGTGAGAGAAAAATCACACACAGGAATCGATCAATACTTACCAATTATTATGCTGAATCTACTATAAGATGCAGAAGAATATAAAACTATATATAATCAATATAACTACTATTACCTTTTCTTTGTGTTGGCGTAATTCTGAAATCAAAGAAAGAGTATTACAAACTGTTTGCATGGTTGGATGAATTCAGAGGGAAAAATATATAATATATAAAAACTCTCACCTTAAGAAAGAGAGCATCACTGGACGCAATCTCATTCTCAATGGCAATGACAGCGTGAGAGAAGGTGAGGATAGCACTGGTGATGCTCTCTGACTTCCTTTTCACCAGCTCCTTCTTCTCCTCTTCCTCCTGCTGCAGGGCAGCCAGTCGGGCCGTCTCTTCCTTCTGCAGAAACTCCCGCAGCTGCTCAAACTCCTCTTTAATATGCTTCTCTGTGGCCTGAGTCTGGTTCTAGCACACATGGAAATATATGATAAAATAAAATAATTTCACTCATACTGATTTGTAGCCTGTTATCTATGTCAGTGTCGGTTTATCTACATCTCCTCCTTTGCTTGCCATCATTTAATAAGGTATAATTACTTAGATTTAACTCCCCTTTGGACATCTTTAGTAAGTGCCCCTAATATTTTGAACAATAAATGTATTCCCTGGCTATAAAACAAAAATAGAATCGCTATAATACCCTTTTATGACCCTGAAATTTCCTCATTTGCTATATTTGATACACCTGTTGGATTTAATCTTCTTTTCCTAGTTTTGCCATCTGTCTCTATACTCTAAAATATTCTACATTATAGTAGGCGCTGCACTAGTTCCGAGTTTAGCAAACAATGCTGATTCAAAAACCCTTTTATGAAAGTGTCAACTGACTTTGTGATCTTGTTTTTGAAGCAAACAGTGAATTACAAATGCTCTCGCTCTGACTCCTCCATAAAAACAAACCAGGTGGCCTTTCTAACAACTTGGCTGACATGTTTACACACTAACAGTGCGCAGCTCAACTTAAGTCACAGGTCATGTTGGTCCACTCATCGTTTGTGGATCTCTGTTTATTGATACCTTGATGTGCACAGTTGTGTCATCATACTCCTGCTTGGCTTCATACAGGCAACGCAGGTTTTTCTTCAGAGGAATCAGCTCTGTCTTCATCTCTGCCTAAAGGGTGAGGGTAGAGAAAGTGTCAGAAAATATGTATCCTGAAATCAAATTTGACATTTTGTTGACATTGAGCCTATAATGGTAATGTTTCTGATGTTCTTGGCTTTGCACACCTACTAAGAAAGGATGTTTCACAGCGGTGTGAAATTTTAAAACATTACAATGATTAAACCTTTCAGTAATGATTGAAGAGCCTGTTTAAATTCATATCAAACTGCAGCTAAACAAGAACACATTACCTTGAGGTCCTGAGCTGCCTCGTCCAAAGGACACACTCTGTGTCCCTGGTGCTTCTTGGAGGTGTGACACACACAGCAAAGTGCTTCAAAGTCATCCAGACAGAAGAGCTTTAGAACTTCCCCATGTGTTGTGCACTTCACCTCCACAATCCCCACTTGCTCCCCTGTCTCGCCGGCCCCTGCCCACGTTCCAGCTGTGCCCGTCTTACGCCCCTGCTCCCTCAGGAAGGTGTCGGACACATTCTTCAGTGCCAGGCTGACTGTGGGCTCCGTCAAAGAGCACTTCCTCCTGCAGATGGGACACTCGCGCCTGGCCTTCTTCTTGTTCCAGAACTGCTGAAGACAGGCTCGGCAGAAGCTGTGGCTGCACTTGAGCACCACGGGGTCCTTGAAGATCTCACAGCAGACGGGACAAGACAGCTCCTCTTCCAGCATGGAGCCTGACCGCGAGGAAACAGCCCGAGGTCGAAGGGCTGAAGCTACCTTGGGACTCTGGAAGAAGGAAAGTATTCCAGGCTGAGAGGAAGCACGTGGGCGCAGCGCCATGGTCGGTTTTTCCTGGTGGGGGGGCTGCTTTATAGCTGTAGTTGTTTGCTTCAGAAAGTACTGTTCCTCCTGCTCCTCTCTGACTACAGTCCACAGAGTAATCTGGACACAGTTTATGAGCAACCAGGGTTATAGATCAACAGGGGACTTGAAGAACAGGTTTACTTCACTTCTAGTAAATAAAGGACATGTCACACCTCATCTGCCAGCCACACCAGGGTTCCGAGGCAGACTCCAGCTGAGTCAAAAAGCATGTTTTTCCAAGATTGTTGCTCAAAGTGCTCTTGTAGCTTTTAATCTATTTTGAGTGAAAAGAACAGTAAATGCAGGGGGTATTGTAGTAGGACAGAGGTGATGTTGGAAGGGAAACAGAAGTCAGGACAGCTGTTTTAATCATTTAATATACAGTAAATGGTTTTAAAGGGAGCAATATAAGAAATAGCAACCTGTTGAATTCATAATCCAAACAAACAGGGTGCAGAAAATGAGAACGTAACCGTTAATTGCTGGTAAAGTTAGGGCCAGAACCGGGCTCAGCAACCTCCCAGTGAACACGGCCAGATTGGAGGGAATATAATACCAAGGTGATTTATAGTGGATCCAACCAGGACTCCGTGGCACAAAGACACGACGCTAGGCGGGGACAGGAGAGGCGTCAAGTATGAGAGGAGCGGGAGGGAAGTCAGGCATCCTACAGAGGCCTGAGCAGGGGCTCGGGTGGGGTCAGCCTCAGGGTGCAGGGAGCCAAACCGGGCAAAAAAAACTACCTCAGTATTGTTGGACTGAGGGCAGACTGGACGCTATTCACTCACTATGAACTCTTGAGGTACAAAGTGGTATTACGAGACAGGACAGGCAGGGATTAGCTAATTAGCATGCTAAATTCTGTGGATCTCTCTGCAACACAACACATAGACATCCATCATATAACATAAAAATCTGTTATTTCTTCATATTATTTTAATTTTTTATTAACTAAATTATTTTCATATTGCTCCTGTAAGTGTCAAACTGGGACAAATCTTCCTGGATTTTAACACGAGGCCTGTAGGTAACCCCATTGAGCTTGACCAGCACTATCAAGTTCACCAAAGTGTATCTTATTACATTACCTCTGATGGCCTGCTGCCACTCAAAGGGATTTCACTGTCTAGTTAAATGTCATGTATATTTCAGGAGGACACAGGAGTGAGAAGCAAACACAAACACATGCCCCCAGGGACGGTGTCTGCGAATGCTGGAAAAAGTCTCTCTTTACTTTGAACAGCAGAAAGCAGCTAAGAGTGTTGGATAATCTGATCCAAGCAAACACTTCTACAGACCAAACCAAAGTGTTATGTAATCCCAAATTAGCACTGTGTTGCGTTCAGGAAAAGACCAAACAGAAGGAAAACTGCCATGTCGATGTTATTATTGCATTATAATTGGACATTGACAACAGTGTAATACAAAGCCATCAGAATAACGTGTTCTTCTCAGTGTTACAGTGTTCTAGCATCAGTTTCATTACATAACCCATTTAGATATTCATTAACTCTGAAGAGTGAAACAAAACTACAAAATAGCTTCATACATTTGGATATACTGAAAAGGTTAACACCAAAAGGTTTGCTTGTTTTTTGTTTTAAGACGTGTGTTTACCTACGCTGAGTAGTTGGTGCAGCATTGCCTGTTTTTCCTCCCTATGAACAACACAAGTCACAAGACACATGATGGAAGTAGTTTGGTATCATTCTGCTCCAATGACAGGATACTTGATTTTTCAGCACCATGCACCAGAATGCATACTTCTTACAAGAATGTAAAAAAAAAAAAAAAAAAAGGGAAAAAATGCATGAAATGAGAAGAAATGAAGGCCTTTTGTTCTTAATAGAGTCATTTTCTTTCTTTTTTAGACACAACTACTCCATTTCACGACTTTCTCTCCTCTAATACTGCCCTCTGTAATGCTTCAAAACAATGAAGTAGTTGCGACACAAGATCATACTCTTCACCTGTTACACAAACCTTGTTTTAAAATAGACATCACATCACTTTATATAAAAACACTAACACTATATATATAAAAAAAAATAAGTCAACACAATCCACACACCTGCAAACCACTCCACTTCTCATTCTCGTATAATGACCTTCAATAAAAAGGTAAATTAACACTGATTTTCCATGAACCCTGTCAAATGTATGAAAGTATGACAGGAATGTGCTGCAGTCAACTTCATTACAGCGTGGAGTGTGACGGTGAACGAACACCACAGATCTTTTAGTCAGCGAGCTACATTTCACTATGACCCTTTTGAAACTACATTTTTTTTTTCTTTTACCAAAATAAAAGAACATAAAACCAGCAGAATTCATTATGAAGATTAAAAAAAACGTAACAGCACATGCTTGTAAAACTGATCCATAACAGTAACATCGAGTGGTTCAGGACGACGCTGCAATTCAGGGGAGGTCGACGCCTTGTACTGTGCAATAGCTGTGCCGCTCACCAGGTGAGGTACAGTGCATTCTCCGTTCACTTCTGTGGTTGGTTTACAGCGCAGTGCAACACAGTGAAATGTGGAAAAAGAAAATCACATTTGTTTTTATTCTAACCATCAAAGATCTACTTTGCGTTAGCCGTTTGTCTTTCATTTCTCCTAAATTAGAGATGTGTGCTGTCCACTGCCAGCAACTACAACAATGACATGCGGGGGTCACGTGATGCGGTCAAAGGGAAAGGTCATCAGCGTGCTTGTAGTTTCTGGAAAAAGCCGGAAGACAAATAAAAGCACTTGGGAAGTCATCACAGTCTTCTTCTCCCATTAACTGGCATAATGCTCTTTGTCTAGGCAGTGTCTCCCAATCGGGTACACTCTAAATGAAAAATAGTAGGAGTATACACTGGAATAAAAACAAACTCATGACGGTAGCGTTGTGTTTCCTAGAAGTGCTGAATGTTGTGGGTGTCACGCACGAACACGGGTTGCTGTGCTCCATTAGTTTCTGTGGTTACACCCGTCCAACCTTAGCGTCGCCGATGGCACCCCAGACGTCGAAAACAAATTCATCTGGGAAGGCGAAGTCTCCCAGGGTTTCATCTAAAGCCTCGGCAAACTCATCGGGGTTCTTTTTGTCCTTTCCCAGCTCCACCATGGTGGCCGCTGAGGAGAGAGAGAGAGAGAGAGAGAGAGAGAGAGAGAGAGAGAGAGAGAGAGAGAGAGAGAGAGAGAGAGAGAGAGAGAGAGAGAGGGGTCAGAGAACACTTAGTGAACACGACACTGCAGGTGACACAAACTAATTCTGACGCCTGTAGAGACAACACACATACCCAGCTCGCTGTCTCTGATGCCCATGTAGCTCTCAAGCAGGTCATCCACCTTCTCAATTGCCTTTTCCTCAAATGCGGACGGCTGGAGAGAACAAAATCCAACACGCAGACTCAGGCAATGTAACAGAACTATGTTTGCTAAACATTACAGAGACACATTATTATCCACAGGTGCTGCAGATGCACTCACCACTTCTTCCACAGTAGCCGGCCCTTTAGAGCGAAGCCTCAGAGTTCCCCTGCCGGTCCCCAGCTGAACCCCTGATGCTGACCTGGACCCTCCAGACCGCTGGCTGATCATATCTGCACGCAATGATGCAACAGAGTCAGATTCACTGCTGTTATTCTCCTTCTTTTATATTGCTGAATATCATCCCATGTCACACCTCAATGCCTCCCTTTTAGACAATCTCATCTCATCATCATCATCATCATCATCATCTCGCTGTATATGTCTGATTATTAGTGCTTCAGCTGTAAATGCATTTTCTAACTGACGAAAATAGACCCAGAGGGCACTTCAGCAGCTTAATATGCCACACTACGCTTAATATGTGCAGGAAAGACATTTTCATTAAGTCATACTCGTGTCTACTAATTGTGTGCAATAAGATTTTAGATTATCAACCATAACCATGGAATCAGCACAAGCAAAATAGGGTGTAAACAACATGTAGTACTGCGACTGAAACACTGCTTTCACAGTCTTGTGTGACAGTATTATTTACCATCAGTGACAGTGACAGACAGACTCCAGCAGCAGAAAGAGGCTGATTGATTGAGGAACTGAGATTGCGGAGCTGAACAAACAAATATCTCAATTCAGCTCGTCTCTCCTTCCTCCCACACCTACCAAAGGCCTTAAGAGGCTCCGTCAGCTTGATGGTGAACTCCTTCCCTTTGGGCAGCTCCTTCAGCATCTTGGCCACCTCGTAGTGTCGACAACCGATCAGGCGATGGCCGTTGATCGACTCAATCATGTCACCCACGTTGATGACCTGGATCTGGTGGATGACGCTCCCTTCGCGGATTCTCTGAAAACCACAAAATCCCCAAATATATAATTCCAATACACTATCCAGCTCATCGCTCTCTCCCACTACCACATTTAATTGATTCATATTTCACATTTATGGCTTTTCCTGTGGACCCTTGAGTTTAAAGAAATCAATTTCCTGTTTTAACATGTCTCACCTTAATGAAAGCGTAGCCGGCTCCATTATCAGTGATCGTCAACCCTAGTGCATCCTCTCCTTTGTACACCTCTATTTCCTTTCGCTGTCCTTTAATGTGTGCAAAAATAAAGTCCTCTAGCCCAATCTGACCTCCCAAAAGTTTATCCATGTCCACCTTGTGAGTGTTCAGTGTGCAAAACATAACCTGCGGAGGGACACAACACACAAAGAAAGATTTACCAAAATGCGTTCTCCCCTGGTGAGTTTAAGCCTCACACCCATCCCAATCAGCTTGAACTGGCTCACCTCAGACGGAGGTATCCCAAAGGCCTCACCAATCTTGGCGTAGAGCTCCCGCACGTTACTGAAGCCCTCGATGCGACCGGTGGGGCTGCCGTGAGCGAGCTGAGTGTGGAATATGAGGCGAGGTCGCATGCTGCTGGGAGGAGGAGGCAGACCCTCAGAGGTGGCACCTTCTCCCAGCCCGACGACGCCTCCATCTAGGCCATCCATACCTGGCACATTGAGACCCGCACGGATAGGCTCCGCTTCCTCGTTCTCCACTAACGGGGACGCCTTCTTCCTTCTTCCCAAACCCAGAGGCATAGTAGTCCTTACAGACAGAGCAGAGGTAGGGGAGGGGAGGAAGCTGCTCTCGGGGGGGGTTATGCTACAATCCAGGCCAACATACACCTGTTCAGCCAAATCAGCTGCAGGTCTGTTGGATAGCTATGTCGCAGCAGTAGTTTTGGTCCTCCAGACCAGCTTCTTAACCAGGTGCTGTATGGACTTAGAAATCCACACATCAGAGCAGATTACATAGCTGGATCTGTCAAAGTCCAGCAGCCTGCAGTGGGTGGTCTTCAGCTGGAAAAACAGAAACAGAAACTCTTTATATTTCATTAATATATACATCAAAGCAGTGACATCTCGATCATACCAAGATTAACAACGCTGTGTCACTACGTCTCCTTAAAATAGCAGCTATAAAATGTTGTTTGTTGTTGTTTCTTTTCTCTTTCTTCAACTTGGACAGTCAGGGCATCAGACAGAGCTAATACTAGCTGCTAGCTGTGAGGCATCCTTCACTAATAGAAACACAAACACTCACAAACTCTCCGGCAGCTAGCCACTTAGCACTTAAATCAGTGGCTGTTTCGGTGGTAGGAAGTGAACTTCCAGCGTGAGTGTGTCTGGGGTGGCTTGACCCGCTGAGGTTAGTTCGCTAGCTCGACCCTGCTCGCTACAACAGGAGGCAGTAAACATGGCAGACCACTCATTCTTACCGGAGCAGGAGTTTTAGCCAAACTGTCGTTAGCCCTTCCTGCTAGCCTAGCCTGCTAACGGTGCTGTGAGTTGTTTGGGTTTTTTTTGTTTGTTTTTTAAAACAAAAACAACAATAAAAACAAACGTGACGATTCCAGACAGAGTGCAGTATCTTTTGTTCCTCCGCTCCTGACAGGTTGACTCGACCTGGGCAGATTTGCGGGGTGAGAGCAGTGTCTGAGTGTCGGTATGCTGCTGAGGCTTTTAGCTTTCTGCCCGCCCAGCAGGGGTGGAACTGTGACGCCTTCACGTTTCCTCGTAAACCCCAACTTCCCGTTGATTGTTCTAAAAAAGAAAAGGGAAGAAAAACGCCTGTACGTCGTGCTTCAGCATAAGACGAAGCATATGAAAAAGGGGGGGGGATATGAGTCAGTAAGTGTGTTGTTGTGTGTTACTATTTTGGTTAGATGGACTTTAAATTAGCCCCGGTGTTGTTGTGTCACAGTCACACGTATTGTCTTTACGCTAGAGGTCTAAATTGAGGATTAAGACAAATGGGCTTTATTTTAAATTGTGCGAATGCAACTATGTCCTGTCCTAATGCTGAATAGAGTTGCTATTTAGAGCGTTCAGGGTCGTGATTATACAATGCCCCCTGATAGTCGCAGTGCATTACTTCTGGCGTTTGTAATCGTTTTATTTTGAAGGTTAGAACCGGAAGTGTTGCTATGCAATTCTGTCGTACTTGATGCTACTCACAGTGGCTACAAGAGGGTATAATGATTATACTTATTTTTGACAAGCTAGTCAAAGAAGGTAATCGGATCCTTTAAAGCTAGTTTCTTCATCAGTTTTTTTTTGTTTAGCTTTGATAATAATGTGTAGTTACAAACACGAGCTTTACTGCCCTCTAGCGGCCACAGTGGGTGATTATAATGGCACCAGTGTGAAGGCAGCCACAATAGCATAGTGATACTTCCGGTCAAAACCTTCAAAATAAATAAAGAGCTGTAGTTACGGACCATGGCCATTAATGTAGTTAGCTTGTGTCTGAAAGCAAGAGATTAAGTTTAAATTACATTTTTGAGTTACCTGGAAATGACAAAGACAGTGCTCTTTTTGAACAACAGTCGAAGAATGTTAACATATTATTTTGTATTATTCGTCCAGGTGGTTAAAGGAGATGTTTAGGAAATATTGTCAGACAGCAGTAGCAAAGTGTTGTGCAACCTTGTTTTTCTATAGACAGATATTAATATAGTTTTCAAAGGAATGGAGGGTCAGCCCTGTGACTCAAATTTGAACACACAAAACGCACTAAATGGAGTTATCCTACTGAAGTCTTCTGTTTCCTTTTGGGACCTGAGTTATATATATATATATATATATATATATATATATATATATATATATATATATATATGCAGAGTACAATGGCAGTGTTTAATTTTTAATGTTGGACCACAAACTAAATTTCAGAGAAATTATTATTTTATTATATTATACTTTTATGATCATTTGGATGGATAACCCTTTAAACACATTAAGATGAATTCAGTGAAGCCCCAAAAGATAATAATAATAATAATAATAATAATAATAATAATAATAATAATAATAATAATAATAATAATAATAATAATAATAATAATACAACACCCCAAAGCTCCAGTGGGCTGAGGCCCAATTAAACCCCATTTTATATTAATGTTACACAGTTTCAGTATAGCGCTGCAGTTTCCCAATGTGACCAGCAGAGGGCAGTGGACATTGTTAAGTATATGAACGGAGGTAAACAAACGAATCACATATAAAAGTTCAGGGCTGCTTATTGTAATAAATTATATGCTGCAGAGGTTTATGTTGGTCTATTAATACAGATGTTGCTTCAAACTTAACTGTGAATATTCTAATTGATACTTCTGAATTATTAATACAACTATAACCCATATTCATTAATGGTTTAATCATACCATTATTAAGTTGTTTGTAATATTCATAATAATAATAATATAATTATACTTTATATATATAATTTATAATAATAAATAATGAGTTAACTATTCACAGCCTGACATTTAAGTGTGCTAAATGATCAACAGAGGTTTCAGCTCTGTGGTTTCAGTAGACCTGTTTGTCAGATATTTCATCAATTTATTTATCCAGATAGTATCTCTTTAAATTAATATTGTTCAAATGTTGATGTTGAACTTATTTAAAGGCATCAAAGTTTGCTACAAACCATGTTGCTTAAACTTATAATCAGTAAAAACAATATGCTGCAGATGCATGAAGAAAAACTTCTTGAATCTTCTATTTTCAATCATAACCTCTATCAAGTGAATAATCACTTAAAAAGACTGCATTGCATACGTGAATACTCTGGGATCATGCTTTAATTGCCCCAAATAACTAAAACACGTAGGCCATAATTGATTAAATATTTGCCAGTCTCTTTTAATTTGGAAATGCAAATCATCACAGCATAGGAAAGATCTATTAAAAATGTCTCCTCACATTATCAATTCATAAAAGCTTTGTTCTTAAAAACCAAAATATTTCAAACCCCAACCTGAGGAATAAACATAAACAGGAGATTAAACAAAATAATGTTTACACATTTTTCCCTATAAAAGGAAAATATTTGTGAGAAAAAAACAAGAACTTTTTTTAAACAAAAAAAAAGATACACATTACAGAGATTACACATCTCTACATTCATGTTAAACCACAGGTTTGTGTCAATTAGAAACTTAAAATCCCAGCAGGAGCAGGATTAAGTCACATCACCAAAAATGTGAAAATAAACCAAATGATTTACTAACTTCCATCATCAATACAGTCAAAGGTGCACAGAGATCAGTAGTTATTCTAAAGTTCCCACTGAACTGTGAACACTACATATTTCTGTACATCTTGGAGTGAATGCTTTCAGGGATGAGCTATAAGAGAAGACATGAAATAAGACAGAACAATCAAACATAAAAAATATATTCTGGGGGGCCTCTTAAGTCTGGGGCTTATACATGTTTTCACGTGATACCAGATGAATGCACTGGGTTTATACCGTGTTGGGTAAAAAGAAATAAAGTCACTGGCTTTGGATTAAAGTCAAACAGACAGGATTAACATCAGATGAGGGGGGAACATAGTGATCGTTGTGCAAACTCAAAAAGGTAACGAATGAAGTAAACGGCTAAAGATGGTCAGTCACACGACAGGACACACACACACACACACACACACACACACACACACACACACACACACACACACACACATTATAATTACTATTATTTGGCACAAAAGTCTTCCCATAGATATTTTACACAAGTAACAAACTGTGTACTCCCAAATAAACAACATATTGTAAAAGTAAACATTTTGCGAGATGTGCCAGGGATAGACCAATCGGATTTATTCACCTCCTGATACTTTAACTTAAATATCAGAGTGCTCTCTCTTCCTTTATATTTAAAATCTGTGTATAATGCTACCCCCTCACTGGGAACTCACTGGAATCACTCTTATGTACAATTACAAAACTGGAAGTTTATATTTATTCTTAACTGGAGACGTCCGTACATCATCATTTCTAGGCCTGTGCATATTTTAGATTATATTGTTTTAGTCAGTTTGTGAGATGGCGGTGGGGCCGCAGTGTCTGCAGATAGCTCAGACGTCGAGTCCACGCTGACAAAGACGTTGTATCTAAGGCCGATCGATCACATGTGGCCAATACTGATTCATAAAGTCAGTGTTGGTGCTGAAGCCGTGGATCAGATCCTCGTTTAAAACTCTGGCGTTTTCAACCTCTCGGGATTCTTCCTGTATTTAAGCCTCGATTTGATCTAGCGGCAACAGAAGTCATATCCTGTTGAGTAGTGTAGTTATAGCTACGTTCATGCACACATTGCTGCATCTGAGGTATTATAAATCCTCACTCACTACATTTTTCCAGTGGTGCAATTTTAAAACACTCTGGTTTCTCCTTAGCATCACTTGACACTTAGTATGGTTATCTATATATACACACACACACACACACACACACACATCCACAATGTACTTCCTCCTATTTACTTTTTCTCCTCGGACCTGACATTGCGGCACGCTGTTAACACTGTTACTCAGCTGAATGAACTAAATGTAAACTCTGGTGTTCTGTCAGTTTCCAAGTCTTAAGACACTCATTAGACTGACTAGATAAGAAGTCAAATTAAACTCAGCTGGAACCAAATCTGCCCTGAGCCTCGGTCGTCCAGGCTAAAATACACAGGAGGGTGTCACTGGAAATGTTACTTTACTGTTACTTTTTTGGGGTTTTTTTTTTTTTGTCTTGTCATGGTGGAAGGACCTGCTTTAGTGCATCTCGAGTGGTTTGGCCCAGTTTGTCAGGAAATCTGACTGTAAAGTCCAAGATCATGTCGCCCCTCTTCTCAGGGTACTTGGACAGAGGGAGCCCTTCCCCAACAATGCGCTTTTTCATTCCAGGTTTGACAACATCTCTGGAAGTCACAGTGATGGTCCGGCCGTCCAGCGTCGGGGCGTTGACTGTGCAGCCGCACAATGCCTTTAGAGGGGATGGAAAAACAAGGTAATTAGACAGATACAGCTACTCGTGATTGGTTAGGGTTTAGAACATTTTTGTCGGCATTCACTTACGTCTCTGAGTGAGATTTTTGCAGGATAAATGATATCTGAGCCTTCTCTTCTGAATACCGGGTGGGGTTTATCTTTAACTACAAACACCACATCTGCAGGAATGTTGGCGGGAGTTTCATCTCCCTCCTTAGGAAAGGTGATTTTTGTCCCCTCCTTCCAGCCACGCTTGATGTCGACTGTTAAGATCTTGTCTTCGTTACGCATGGTGCAACCGTCGGGGTTCAGTCTCTTGCGGGAGATCTTCATCTTCTTGGTGCAGCCTGAGAAGACCTCCTCGAGGCTCACCTTCAGCTCGTGCACCACGGGCGGGTCCTTCTTTCTCTGGTGGGCTCTGTGAGGGCCTCCTGGGCGGGACTTAAAGGACCTGTGAAACCCACCCATGCCGCCCATTCTTCCCATGCCAAATGCTCCAAAGGGGTCATTGATGTCCATGTTATCATCCCCATTTTGTGAGAAGAAATCATCGAAAGGGCTGCGGCCACCAAAGAACTCGGCGAACATTGCATGAGGGTCTCCGTGGAAGGTGTAGTTGTAGCTTTGACCGCTGTGTCCTCCGCCTCCACCTCCGGCCGAACCCTTTAACCCTAAAGAGGAAGAGGCAAACATCAGAGCACAGAAGGAAATAAACCTCACATTATATATAAGCATGACCGATATTACTGCGAGCTGTAGGTTATTATCACATATCAGTGTCTGCGTATATGACGGCTAATATGTAACAAGAAATTACGTTTCAGAAGTGTGTCCCCAATTCTCTAAGAACCAAATTTAATTTTTAAGTTATTTTTTGGGCCTTATTATTGGCTTTATTGGATAGTGACAGCTGTAGATAGACAGGAAAGGTGGGTAGAGAGAGAGGGGATGACACGCAGGAAAGGGACGCAGGTCGGATTTGAACCCGGGCCGCTGCAGCAATTCCGCAGATGGGTCGCCAGCTCTACCGAGCTAACCAGGTGCCCCCAAATTTAATTTCAAAGATTCTCAACACACACAAAAACTTTTTAAAACTATGTTAAACATAATTATTAATTGGTATCTGCTTAAAATTAATCCAGTATTGGTTGGGCTTTACTGGGAAATAACCAAAATATCTGAAAAAAGAAACACGATAACCAATTTTAAGTAAAAATACCAAAATATGCTAATATTAACTCGTGTGTAATTTCTCTAGTAAAATATTCATCGGTTGCAGGACAGGTAACAATGTTTTAATTTAGTTTGTAGTGTTTTTTTCCTGCACTCAAACTACAACAAGTAGTCCATTCATTGATTAGTTGTCAACTGTAAAATGAATTTACAACTATTTTGATAATCAATTAATTGTTTAGAGTAGTTTATTAAGATGTAGGGATGCACAATATATCGGCCTATCAGCATTCACCGATATCAGTGGCCAATATTAATTGTGTCACAAAAGTTTTGCACTGGCTGAATGTTGTGTTGGTTCCAGCTCGGATACTGGAGTAATACTGGCACAAATGGCCTAATACCAATGTGCATCTCCCATCTTGGACCAGAAGAGAAAGAGGCAGAGATGCAACAAGGCAGAGATGCTTATCTTCTTAGATTTCTTTGTTTCCCTGGTACAAAAGCAATAAATAACAACAAAAACACATCTGTATAATTATCAGCTATTGGACAAATTGGTGTATCCCTAAAAAACAACAACCTAATTCTCTGATTTCAGCTTCTCAAATGTGAATATTTTCTGGTTTCTATGACAGTAAACTGAATATCTTTGGGCTTTGGGAAACAGTGATCCACATTTCACACCATTTTCTGGACTAAGCAACTAATCAATTAACGGAGAACATTCATTGATAATAGAAAAATAATAATAAGGTATTTAATTATCAGCCTTCACTATGAGAATGTGGACAGTGACATTGTTCATCAGTGCATTTCACAACTAGTGGAGCCATAATTATCACTGCAGTGACAGACTGACAGAACAGGGAAGAACTCGCAGTTTCCAGCAAGTTCTCCAGCTAACCCTATTGTACACACACACACACACACACACACACACACACACACCTCTTCACTGGGAGGCTACTGGTGCAGAAAGGAAACAGCAAATGACCGATTAGGAGGATGCATTAAAGTATCAAATAGATCTAACAGCATGAGAAAGTAGCACATACGAGGTTTGCTGAAGGTTAAAGCAAACATCACAACACCACAAACCACACGCAAGTTGCGGGGGAAGAGGAGTTCAGTTACCTTCCTCTCCAAAGCGATCGTAAATGTCCTTTTTCTTGGCATCACTGAGGACATCATAGGCTTCTGCGATCTCTTTGAATTTATCTTCTGCCCCGGGAGACTTGTTTTTGTCAGGATGAAAGCGCAGGGCCTGTTTTCTGTACGCCTTTTTTATCTCATCTTCGGACGCTCCCTTGGCTACTCCGAGCACTTTGTAGTAATCTTTACCCATTACAACAACCGGTCAGTTCTTCTTCCACTTCATCAAAACACCATCAACGCAGACGCTTCAGTTTTAACTGCACAACAAACACATCCAGCATGTCCAGTGTGTTTGGGCCAGCTCGGTGGACGGGCTGCTCTCCTCCGCCGCCGCAGCTGTCACTGCCGCTGCGGACAATTAGCTGAGCTAGCTAACTGTCAAGGTTAGCTTCCCGTCACTTGTCACAGTCCGTGGATAAGTTTCCACTCTTCACTCCGGCGAGGAGAAAAGATGTCACTACGCTTATCCCCCGCCAACACAAAAACACGGTGTTCACTCAGGAGTGTCTGTGTGCCGCCGTCGAGCCTTAAACCGCGAACGGAAACTTCTGGAAGAAGCTGCTGCTGCTGCTGCTGATGTGTGTGTGTGTGTGTGTGTGTGTGTGTGTCATCACCAACGAGTCGAGAGGACTCACTCCCAGCAACTTCCGGTTTCGTTTGAAACGCGTTAAACGTTAAGAAGTGGTCAGATGTCGCTGTAAATTAAACGCAGTGAAACACACACATAGCAGCAGCTCTTATGAATTATATTGGCTTTGTTTGGATAAATAATTGGATAAATAATTGGATGAATTACCGCATCTGCCCTTTTAGTAATGTTTTAATTTGAGTACGCATGCGCAGATGCTTTTGGAAGGGGGGGGCTGGGGCTTCACTTTACATACTGTAGGCTGAAATCAGTTATAGATTTATTGGCTACTTTATGTCCCTCATATGATTACAGACAAATAAACTTGATTGGCTGATTCATAAGATGAGAATGAGTACCTACAATCATAATCAACTTTATTTGCCAGGTACGCTCAGTTGCCAGTTTATTATGTAGCCTACACTTTACTAAAATGATTGCATTCCAACACTAGCCCATAAATCCTATCTTCGTGAAGGCTATATTGCTATTCAGTCAAAATATTATAAAACACCTCTGGTAACTGTGTGTATGTTGACCCACTGTATACTATACTACACTGGAAGAAATATAGATATACATAAACATATAGCTGTTATGTTCAAGCAAGTGGGCATGGAAATAGATCAGATTAGGTTATATACTGGGCAACAACAAGTATGTGCTGTTTATACAAGAACTGCATGTAAATGCTTGTGGTATGGTTTGTGCTGTACATACAAATAATGCGAGAATGTCTGGCAGTGCAAGGTATGCTGGAATAATATTCTACAGCTAATGTATTAGCCAATAAAAGACAATTTGTAAGTTCAGTGAGGTGGTATTCAGTGTTACTGCACAGGATAGGTGGAAGTCTGTGTTGGTTTGCGGAAAGAAACTGGTCTTGTGTCTACTGGTTCACTGGTTGTACTGGTTGTGAAGTGCTCTGTAGCTCCCACTAGAGGGGACAAGTTGACATTAGTTATGTCCAGAATGTGAAGGTTCTGCAATGATTTACCCACGCAGCCTGTTTCCTGGGTCAGGATGGGCATAAGTGCTGGAGGATAGGCAGGTTAGCATCAATCATCTTGTCTTGAATCAGACCTGCAGACTCCAAAATTTCCATGTATTAAACTGAAAGCTTTCTCACACAGTTTCAACAAAAAACAAAAAGCACCACAGATCCTTATTTCATGTCACTCATATGGAAGATAATACATTTACAAACATTCATCCAAAAGTTCTGAATTAGATGTATCTCTTCTTATAATGTCACATCTCCAATTGCATTAGGAGTAAGGGGTTATTTTGAAGACTCTTCAGATAACTCAAATTAATTGTGAATGTGCCAGAAGAAGAGAGTTTAAATGAATGTTCCTGTAACCACGACACTCTGAAGATCAGTGATCCCATGGAGTCCCATGTTACAACATTCCTCCTGTGTCATAGCTTAGTGTTACCGCCTTTAAAGAAGAAGTAGGTCCAGTTCAGCATATATGTGAGAATAGGTTTTTCCCATTTCATTGCTGTCTTTTTGATCATCAGTATAAAAAAGGATAAGGTTTAGCACAGGGATTTTTCTAACAGAAGACTCAAAAATGATCATGGAATACAAATAGTGATACTACGGCTTGCTGTTGGCTCGGACTGCTCCTGCTGGTTATAAATAGACCATAGAGTATAGATATGTAGTTGGCTATGTGCGATGATGAGTTGACCCTGTGCGACGAAAGGCATCTTTGATCTTCTCCCAATCAGCATTTTCTTCACCCTCCTCCCACCACAAACCTCCCTGAAGTATTTTAGAAACGATGTTGTCCATTTAGCACACAAACCTTGAACCACATGGGCCCTGAAATAAACATGTTTGCCTTTGTTCTGGAGGTCAGAAAGAGAAAAGAATACCAGCCACACAGGTGGTCTGGGGGAGGGGGATGTGTTGGCATGTGGAGGTCCTTCATCCTATGGATCAGCCTTTTATTGGGGGCCGTCACTGTGTGACCAAGCAAGGAGCAGAGCAGACATGAGATGTGTCTTATAGGTCTAATGAGAGCACATTGGCATATGTCACTGAGTAGGGCTGTATGTGGCTTCCCAAGGTTACCAAGCTCGTGCAGAGCAAATCAGGCGACTTATATTTAGCCTTGCAAATGGCGCACTGTGGATTATGTCTTGGGGCTCTCCGGTTTCGTCTTCAGTGCGTTTTGTTGCATGAAGGGGGGTTGTGGATCATGAAGAGGCTGGTATTCAGGTGAGGAGCAGGTTCACTTCATGTTCTTAGGCCAGCTCTCCTTCCACTTCTCCTCATTTTCTTTATTGCTCACTTGCCTCCACTCTCCTGCACACATACACTTCATCTGGGGGGGATAAAAGTGTTTATGGTCTCACATATTTCCGTCACTCTTCTTCTGGAGGTGGTGGGCTATTCGGAGAGTCCAAAAGACACCAAAGACGACACCCTTGAGTTGGACTGACAGTTGTGTGGAGGCAGAGCAGGGGGCTGCTTCCCATACCAGCAGAGGACAGCCAGCGTCACTGGACATATCACAGACTATTTCACTACTAGGCCACTGAGGTTTGGGATCAAACAGTATCAGCATGGATGTACTTGCCTTAGAGGCAAAGAGTGTAAATGGAGCTGATTCTGAGAAGAAGTCTGCGCCAAGGCCAAAACCAAAACCTCCCAAAAAGGCCAAAAGGATTGTTTACTTTGAGGTGGAGATCGTGGACTTAAAGACTAAAGAGAAACTGCTGCTGCTCGACAAGGTGAGTGTGTGTGTGTGTGTGTGTGTGTGTGTGTGTGTGTGGGTGTGTGTGGGTGTGTGTGGCTGTGTGTTGAATGGAGGGTTTCTAATTACACTCACCTTTTATATTGACCATAATAATTTTAGAAGACTGTTAATACTTCCCAAACTGGTGCATGATTCATTCTGATCTGATCACAAATATTTCAGTCCTGGAAAAGACACAAAGAGTGCTTGAGAACTAGTAGCATGCCATTGAGTTTACCCTCAGTTACTAAAGTTGAACACCACCCAGTTCATTCCTTTAAAGGTTCATGACGTCTTATGTCTGTTGTAGCATACGCAGAGACTGCAATTACTTTGCAGTGAAGTCAGAGGAAACATGTTTGTTCTAGCTCAAGAACTACACGGTCGGTGTGCAGACGGGTAATATTACAGGTAATCATCTACTTCACAGGCAGCCCGGTCGAGTGCAGCCATTATCAGTTACGTTTCTATTGAGCAAGGGTTTCAGTTAGAAGGTGAGAATTCCCTCTTCATCTGCCAGGATTTTATTTGTTCCAGCTATAGTACAGGCCCGTGCTGCGCTGGGCCAACAGACAGGCAGACATGTATAATTAGCAGCTTGTACAAATGTGAAGAGTTTTGTCAAAAAACAGGAGGGATTACATTGCAGATGAAAAGGACAAAATGCAAGTCTGACAAATTCCAAAAGCAATAAACACTTCTGCTGTAAAGGCAGCAATACAGATGACTTCTGCTTTTGTATTTTTAGCACGCAATGGCTTGTAAATTGATTTGTAAATGTCAGTATGTTAGTCTGCACACTCATGGTGCTGATAATAATATTATCCTAAGATTGTTTCTTTTTTTTAAATTTGATTGCAGGTGGAGCCAACTGCCACTGTTTTGGATATTAAAGCTTTGTTTCACAAATCATGTGAGTAAGGTTAAGACAAAATTGTCATTTTGTATTTGTTTGTATCCTAGTTTTTAATAAATGAGACATGCCAAGAATTAAGTTCCTCTCCATTTCGACAGATCCAAAGTGGTATCCAGCCAGACAGTCCCTGCGTTTGGATCCAAGTGCGTCTGCTTTTCCCAATAAATTCTGCTGTTTATAGGTGTTCTAAGTTGTGTGATGTTGTGTGGTCTTATCTGGCCTAATGGCTGTGGGTGGTCATGTTTCTCAGAGGCCAAATGTCTCAGGGATGAGGAAGTACTCCAGACACTTCCCGTGGGAACCACAGCCAGCTTTTACTTCAGTGACCTAGGACCCCAGCTCACATGGGGAACTGTGAGTCCACACATGCACAGACACACAGTATTTAGGACCATAAAGTGGTGTTGCATGTTTTACTAATTAATGACATAAGTCATGCATGCTTTAATTATAAGCTGTTTTCCAAATTATATTATACAACGTAAAATAATTCTTATTATAACAATCAACTTTCCAAGTTTCGCATGTGGTAGTTCAGTTTTGAGTATGTGTTGAAAAAATCTGCCTGTTGTTGACTTCAAGGATGCTCCAGTGTGCAAGATCTGATCCTCTGAGCAGCAACCGCTTTAGTGCCACAAATGATTAAATTCACATGGTCCTTTTAAAGTCCAAATTTGCACCCCTGCCTTCTGGATATGATTCAGCTACCACAAACTATAGCTCGTGGATGCAATATTTTTCATTAGCTGACTATCAGGCTTGGTCTGCAAAATGGCCTGCAAAGCACACGCGATTTGTACTTAATAAACTGAAACATGCGAAACCTTTGGTATGGTCTTTCAAGATCCTTTCTTTAAATATAAACACTCTTTCACCCACTCAATAACTCTTGAATATAAATATCAACCCACAGTGACACATCGAGGCGATTTGCTGTGGTTCGTTTTTCTCTCTACCCCTGCACCGCCTGTCCTCTGTCCTAGGACACATAATCTCACTGACCCATTTCTTCCAAAGGTGTTTATCCCCCTGACCTCTTGCTTGCTTTTCACTGCCCCCCTTGTTCACCCTTGCCCACCCACTCTCTGCATTCCCTGTCCTTACCAACCCTGGCAGAACCCCCAGCTTTCTGCCAGACTAATGTCACAGTGGGTGGAGGTGCATGAAGTGCCCCAGCAGAGATCACCAGTAGCTATCAGTCAGGCATGCTGAGCCAGGGCTCTGCTCGAGGTGCTGATTCAGGGATCGATTTCACTGTCAGCTGTGCTGCTTCGTTTGATCATATCAGTTGTGAAAAGCTGGTATTACAAGCTGTCTTAGTGTCTCATTTGCTCCATGGGCACATGTTGAATACTATTATTGTTATAGTGAATGGTTGTCAGTGCTGAGGAGTAGATGGAGTAGAGGAGTAGGTGGAGTGTTTTTACTTTAAGATGGCTGTGACAAGTGGGCTCTCAGAGTGCCATACTGGTGCGGGTGCATGTTTTCCCTTTGGCAGAGGGTTTAATTGACATGTAGAAAATATTAGAATTTCATTGGTTAGTGTATTTTCTATTAAAGAAGTTAATTGTAGTTGTTGGTAATACTGTTCATGGATTGCTTCACTGCTGGGTTTTGTGCTGCTTTCTTCTCATGCATCTGGCTACAAATCAAGAAAAACAAAACATAAACCATTTCTGTCTTTTCCTCGCTCACTTCAGGTGTTCCTGTCAGAATGTGTTGGTCCGCTGATCATCTACTTAATGTTCTACTTCCGCCTTCCCTTCATCTACTCTCCGAAATATGATTTCACCACCAGCAAGCACTGGATCGTACAGTGAGTGCCAGCTCGACTGTGTTTTGAGGGATTTGTTGCGATCAGGGTTTGGAGGGTTACTTTAAAAATGTAATCCCATACAATAACTAATTACCTGTGAAAATATGTAGTCACTAAGCTGATCCAAGTATCACAATATTGAAATAACGTAACTTGATTACATTCCGATACTTTTGGATTACCTCAACGTCAAACATGTAAATAAAGACCAGAGAAAAGAAATATCAATAAGATGACGATGTATTCTACAAGACAACTGGATAATGTAACCAAAAGAAAATGGGGAAACCCAGATATCTAGCATCAACAATGTGTAAAGAAAAACTTGCTTTTTATTAAGAAAATAGAGCATTTTCACAGCGGGGAGGCAGAACTTACACTGTTCTGATGTATTTTAAAACTGCTTATAATCTCCATTTTTACTACATGTAACTGCAATCTGATTATGTCATTTTGTCTTTGACGGATTATAGTTTCCTTTTTTTTGTATCCTGATTGTAAAACTCTGTTACATGTAATCCATTACTCCCCGAGCCTGGTTGCGATGTTGCAGAGGTGTATCACACAATCCCAGGCGTTGCACAGATGACCCCTCAAAATAACAACCACTCATGAAGCATATTGCTATGTTGACACTGAATCAGGGCCAAGTGTTATGGAGTGCAGCACGACAATGTATTAATCACAGCTCAGTATGTTAAGTGTGTGTGTGTGTATGTGTGTGTGTGTGTGTGTGTGTGCTTGTATGTCCTGTGGCAGCTTGGCCTGCATGTGTCACTCCTTCCACTACATCAAGAGGATTCTGGAAACAATGTTTGTGCACCGTATCTCCCATGGGACCATGCCTCTCAGAAACATATTTAAGGTGAGTGAGCTCTCAGAAATCTATGTGGTGCTCTATCTTGACACTTTGACTTATTATAGTCGTTCCTACTATTCCAGAACTGTGGCTATTACTGGTGCACTGCAGCTTGGATGGCGTACTACATTAACCACCCTCTCTACACCCCACCCTGTAAGTGCAGACCTCTACAATTCTCAGTTTAACTCATCAGTAGAAGCTGACTTCCTTCTTAATCCATTTTTCTGTGACACACTGACAGATTATGGGCAGCAGCAGGTGAATACAGGACTTTATATTTTCTTGGTAAGTGAGATGAGATTTATTTGACTTGTATATTTTTGGCTCACTAAAGGTCTTCCAGGTATTAAACCTAATGATCTATTGTTATGTAGATGATCCTCTTTGGATGTCTTTATGCCCACAGTTCTGTCAAGTAGGGAATTTTTCCATCCATGTGGCTCTTCGTAACCTCAAACTACCAGGTAAGCATTTTCAAACAATGCATATACTGTTCACATGAATGTTTTTTTAAGCAGCTATCAGTACAGGGTAATACAGTGTTGCATTTGTGTTTACCCATCATCTCTCAGGTTCAAAAGCCAAGAAGATTCCTTACCCAACAAAAAATCCCTTCACATGGATTTTTTGGCTGGTCTCTTGTCCGAACTACACATATGAGGTAAGCAAATGCAAATAAATTCACTCTTACATCATTTATTGAAGAAAACTAAGCATAATCATTTGTGAAATGGGTTCCTATGAAATAAATCAATGGTGATGTAGGAAAAAATTACTTCAAAGTCAGTTTAGTCAACTGGTCAGTGTATTAGTTTGATTAAGATTTGAATAATCTGTAAGTCAGTTTGGTTATTAGCTGCGTTTTGCAGCAAGTAATGTTCCACATTTCAACCCTGAAATACTGACGGCAACTGTTGTGTGTGTGCAACCCAGTAGCAATAGTACACAGTGCTTGTATTTTACCCTTGCAATATATGATGCACTATTGCTGCCATCTACTGGTTGAGTCCTACACGTGCCATACATCTCAATGACCTGTGTGTGTATGTGTGTATGTGTGTATGTGTGTGTGTGTGTGTGTGTGTGTGTGTGTGTGTGTGTGTGTGTGTGTGTGTGTGTGTGTAAACTTCTTGCTTACAGGTGGGCTCCTGGATTGGCTTCACAGTGATGACCCAATGTGTGCCTGTGGCTTTCTTCACTCTCGTGGCCTTCATCCAGATGACTGTGTGGGCCAAAGGAAAACACCGCGGCTACTTAAAGGAGTTCAGAGATTATCCGACCCTGCGCTCTTCCATACTCCCTTTCATCCTGTAGAGCCTGGCAGAGAAGACCACATGCTCACATGCATCCACACCCTCATTGATTGGGTCCTATTTTAAGGGCGTCTGCATCCACTGGATGTCAGAAAGCGTGTGCTGAGGTTAACAGCAAAGATGGATTTTGGTCATATGGACTCCATGTAACTTTTTCTTACATGTCATGTCAGTAACAAGGAGTGGCAGTCACAGTTCCTCTGAGTTTGGACTGGTGAATGCAGGACTGTTACAGGCAAAGAGTTAAATGCAGCAAAGTCTTAATTTAATGTTGTATGTGAGCTTGAAGATCAAGAAGATGAAATTTTTTTTTTTTTTTTTTGCTACTTTGGAAAGTAACATGTTTGATTGAGAGTGCTGTTACGTTTTTAAAAGAAATCCCATTATTTTCTTTGCTTTTGGCACATTTCTTAGCTTTTGGCAACCTGATCAGTGAAGTTTCCCACAAAGCTGGGAAACAAAGAGGCTAATCTGCATTGTCAAACTGGTGTGCAGCCTGGAGCTGACAACTTTGTGGCCTTGTGCAGTATTCTGCTTATCTGACTGATCCAAGTGACCTCGGTACTTGGTACCGAGACACTATGGTAGTCTTAGCTCTATCTGGATTAGAAATTGTATGCTGATCGGGGGAAAATCTTTTCTTTTTGTCTGTACATGGATTAAGTATTTTTGTGGTTAGGAAAAAAATTGAGAGGAAAAACACTGCTGACAGCATGCACAGACATGTCCTACAAAAGTAGACTTCTTGCTTACACAAGATAATTATATAGCAGTGCAAAATGTGTTCAATCTAAAAAGCAAAACGACCAAGTTTCAGACGTCAAATCATCATCAGTGAACTGTGTATCTAGTATAAGGTTTCTTTGCATTGTCAGCGTTGTGCCGATCTTTTCCCACTCAATTATGTTCGCGCTAATCTGAAGAGTTGTGCAGATGCAAACATGGACTGAAACTCGGTCTGATGGTTCTTTCCAAGATTGGATAGGGAGTTTATTCTCTGCTATTCCATTTTCACTGAATGTGCATTTCACAGAACGCTGCATCGACTGAACCTTCAGATTGAACGAGGAACTTTGATTTGATTTTTTTATGTCCTGCTGTCATTTTTGTGAGGAGAACATTTGGTGTTGAGTAGGGTTTTTATGTGAAGTGGAAAGTTTGTTTACAATATTTGATTGAGACTGAAAAGGGTTATCACTTGTCCTCACACAAGGTGACGCTGACCCTTAGTTTTATGGTGAATGTGTAATAAACTATCACAAAACAAGTGACTGAACAGAGAGACACGAGCTTTATTTGTGACTCTGGAAGAAATGTCAATGTTACAGATAAAAAGGGGAGGAGATACACTGGAGATGAAGACTACATTATGGAATGTCACAAAGAGGCTGACTTGGATCACACTGGACAAATTATAAATGGATGATAACAAAATATTGCATTTGATCAACATATCTGCTCCGTAAACAGACACTGAGCAGCTGTATTAAATTTAAAACAATATATTCAGTATTACAATATCATTTTCCCAAGTTTATTACTTTATTTTGCTTATGTATGAAAGCAAATTCCTTTAGGCTGCATATTTCCTGGTCACATATATCTGAAACTGTTGCCCAAAATCCAGTTGTATTAAGTTGGACCACAGTCAGACCTAAATAAGATATAAAAAGAAAAAAATAAAACACACACACAGAACATATTGCCTTGCCAGCAGGTAGTAGTATATCTTATTGGTTGTATCTCAGTGTTGCAGACACGCTGAAGACATAATCCAACATCAGCAGCTATTGTTGGCATGATAAGTCAGGAATCAGACTCTGGTAACTTTTGATGCAGATATGTAGATAGTCTGACTTCCCCAGCACTTTGATGACATTTAATTCAACTCATCATACAAGAAAAGGAAAAAGCACAACAGATGTGCTTCACGTTTATCTGTGTTGACGTACAAACACTTTCTGGACAAACAGAAGGTACCGTAATAGACACAACAGGGAGAATGCAGGGTTACATTTTGGAGCCACAGCGAACCAAAACATTTTTCTTGTGCATCCAAAACTGTGACAAAACTTTGCTCACAGCACAGTGATGTCTCTGTAGTACATTAGCCCATAGGTGGTCCACTTGCAAGGCTCAGTCCCCTTCAATGGCTGCATTGTCCATCTTTTACTCCTGCAGAAAGTTCATTGCTGCTCCATTTGAAAACATACTCTGAACGTAGCAGTCGAATGTAGTATTCCCTTGATAATGCAATCGAACAGCCACATGGGTGAAATGAAAACCATTTTAAACCAAAGACCATAATGAGAGGTAGGATGACTGTCTTTCAGTTTCTGGTCATTCTCACAGTGAAAGTTTATTCCACCGCAGCCTCCCCATAGACTCACCCTCTATATATTCTGTATATGAAGGTGGGAGGCAGGGTCCAGATGGGAGAGGGCACTGCATGCACGTTTGGGTCAATGCAGCATCGTCTGTCTGTCAGGTAATTCCCCACTTCACAGGTCTTCGTATTCCAGGAAGTGGGTTCTCTGCAGCACCTTTACATGCCGCTCATAGATTTTGAGGGCAGGGCCGAGTCGGATAGACAAACCAGTCAACACGTCACTGCGCTGCATTAGGAGAAGGGACTTCCCATCAATTTCCTGTTGAGGAGAGACACAATATTTTGCTCAGTTAGCATCACCCATAGGGTTCTGAAGGAATGTTCTGAATGCTTAATATCTTTTAATGTAACAAACGTCATGTCATTTTTAAATGCCCCCCAGGACACAACTGTAGACAGTTAAATTAGCTTTTAAAAACTCCTGAAATCATGAAAAAATAACAACTTTTATTAGAAAGTCTGGGATTTTTCCTAGATTACTTTCCTAGCAGCTTTTACCATGCAGCTTGATGCACACACATAAAAAGATACTGGTCCCAGCATACAGTGCTTTTGGATCGTGCAACACACTTTAATTTAACTATCTCTAAAAATGGCACTGGGTGATGAAATGTGTGTGGTTTCCAGTGTAGGTAATAGTGTATGTAGTGCCCCTCTATGGCAGTTTTGTGATGGTGCACTGACCTGTGTTCGAAAAGCCACAGCCTGCTCTGGAAAGCCTGCAGCTGAGAAATAACTGGCCACATCTGCCACAGTCCACTGCAACAAGTTCTGGCTCATCTTCTCCTTCTTCACAGCACTGGAAGAAGATGAAAAAGAGTCAAAGAGGGGAACATGATCTTGGGAATTTGCTAAAATGCCTTTCTAGTAGAGAATACTCACACTTCATCACCTTTACCACCATTCAGAAGACTGTCTTCAGCTGCTGTGAAGGAGGATATATCTATCTTATTCTTAAATGTACCTGTGAAGAAAATGGAAACACAATTACCACTGTGTTCTGCAAATGTTAATAGCTATTATCTAGGTATTCTAGGAGAAACCTTGACTGCATGTTGTCCGCAATATTTCTCAAATTATCCCTAAAACACAATGCAGAGTTGATTTCAAAGGTTTCAATTAAAGTGCCAGTTTGGTCACATGTAGGAGAAACACTTCAGTATTCTGTCATACTGCTGTGTCCCTGAAAGTGACAACACAACAGTGCCAAAAAGTGTTAGTCAAAAACATCAATGCATGTTATTTTCACAAGCATTTCATACATGTCTACAGCTAAGTGCATGTCTATCTTTTGGCCCTTAAATCATGTATAACTGTCCTGCAGTTGTATGCCTCTTCCAATTAGTCAAGTTGCAGTTTACATCCATGTCCGTCCACATTATATGGTGTTGAATAAAGGCCAAAAAAAAGTTTTTTGTCACAATTTAATCGTTGTATACAATTAAACATCTGTGTGAAATATTGTCTTAATTACTGCATCAATTCTTGAGTTATGACCAAGAACATGTTTGTCAAGGTCATTTTGAGGTCACAGTGACCTTTGACTTTTGAGTCAAAAGTGTCATCAATTCATTATCCGACCAATTGTGAAATATGGACATCAATTCTTGAGTTATGGCCCAAAATGAATTACTTTTGACCACCAAAATCTAATCAGTTCATCCTTGAGTGCAAGTGGACGTTTGTGCCAAATTTGAAGAAACTGCCTTGAGGCATTCCTGAGATATCATATTCATAAGAATTAGACGTACAGACTTACAGACAACCCTGAACACATAATGCCTCCAGCCATCGCTATTGCTGGTGCAGAGGCATAACAACTGAAGTATTCCTACTTTGGTATTATACATGAAATCGACAATTATAGGGGAGCTCAGTTCAGAGGACTCGCAATGGGAGCAAAGAGATGGTTTCATATGAGAACAATGGTTCTAACTTTTTCCAATTCCGCATCATGTGCAAAATATAACAGTAACATTTTTTATATTTTCTCTGGCGTTGTCAATGTGCAGCTTCAAAGTCTTCACATTTACTGGTGTGATGTTGAACAAACAGCAGCAGAGTTGTGATGAAAATGGAAGTTATGCTTTTTCCACGGTAGCAGTGTGCCAGGCTGAGGCCCCCACTGTCACGGTACAGTATGTTTTTCTATTAGAGTTTGTTCATGGTTCAGTACAGTGAATGAGTGTTGATACAGCACCATTACTATACAGTACCAGCCCTCTTTCACGGGATGCTGGCAGGACTGTCTTCATGCATGTGATGCATGAGAAGGATGAAGCCTCCATTTTTGAATGGATACTACTCCTTCTAGCCAAACCAGATCTAATCCTAGCATGAGTACAATGTACAGTAGAATGGTACTTGTTCACTGCTAAAAACATTTTAATGTTCTTTATTTCTGTTTAGCCACACTACTTATTTGCTCTGAGGCCTCTTGGTAATGTCTCACTATGGAGGAAAAATCTGTAACCACTTCTCATACAGTAAATGCCAGAAAGTCACAATTGAGATTTGCAAAAAAGAAACTGTGGGCACCCTACAGAAAACACAACAAATTGTGCCGGTTGGTATACACGCAAGCAAGCTACAAGAAGCTCTACCGGGAATCCAATCGTGTGTATCTGAGGTGTTGGATGACAACTTTTCCCTGTGGAATATTTTCATCAAGTCCAAAACTCTTAAAGTTTTATGTTGCCTTGCTTATCGGCAAACTCTCAGCAGCTGTCTGTTTATTACACGGTCCTGTGGCAATTTTTCTTGACCACAAAATAATGATGCATCAACTTCAGAACTTCAAACGGCAGATTTCCTACTTCTCTACATGACACTGCTGCTAATAGTGCAGTATGGCAGAGAGGCAGCGTGCTTTCAGCGATGACTTTTAACATTCAAAGTGAGCCCCACCTGGATGGAAGGTAGCAGGACAAGTTTGTGAAGCATTTTAAAAATCTAGAGCAAGCCTCGAGGCAAGTACTGGTAAAAATGGCAAACTGACAGCCGGAATGGTATTTGAAACATACGCTGTCATTAGTTAATTCCTTTAACATGGGTTTGTCTTATTAGAAACCAGAGAGCAGTCTAGCGATCAACTGGTTCTCTGCAAAACAGATGAAGGCTACATGGCAGCTTTAAAAGCAAAAAACGAGACACTATGTTACTCACAGTTGTCAGATGGCAAAGACAGTGTCTGTGGTCTTCCATCAGATACATTCTTGGTCTCATCCTGTTGACAAAACAAAAACGGAACAAAACAAAATATGAAAATGTCTTGTGTGAAGCACAAAAGAAGCAGGAGACACACTGGTGGTGTTGTGTGACACAAAAAGGATTAGAGGACAATTACCAGCCCTGCTGCATAGTCTGGTACCAGCTGGTCAGATGAAAGGCCACTATCCTCTGCCTTGCCTCCATCTTCTTTCTTCACGTTGTTCTTTAAAGTAAGGGGGCTCGTAGTTACAGAGTTGATTGCTGGCTTTGTGGCTTCTGCTGCTGCTAACAAAGAGTGAACCATTTACATTACATGCTGATACAATCCACATACGCAAAATGTCACACCTGACTTTATTCTTGGTAAATTCTAGTGCTAATTGAAAACTAATGCAGCTTAAAATTATTTTATGTGTGTGTGTTTTAACACTGTCCATTGAACCTGAATAACTGGTACAAACAAGCCAATGGATGACTGCATTTCTCACTGTAGGAACTGTATTAATGTCTATCTTACATCAATGAAGGCATTTCTACTGTTAAGAACCACGTCACTCATTCAGCTTCTATCCCTATTTCATATCCAATGGGTACTAAGCGTATGAAACAATATTTGAGTGCTCTATAATGCCGGGTGTGCATATTAGACTAGCAGTGTGAATACCTTTGTCTCTCTGCATTCCTGGGTGCTGGCGCTCCACCGGGCAGACAGCAGAATGATAGGCCCAGTCATTGTGTGCAAGGGCCCTGGGGCTGGAAGGGGGCAAGGAGCTGGGCCTCTCACCAGCCTTCTGGAAAGAGACACAGTCCAGACCCGAGCCAGGGCCGCAGCCGGGGCCAGGCCGAGTGCCAGAGGGAGAGCAGGGGGCAGAGATGGCTCTCACGGGGGCACAGTGCACGGCTGTATCTTCACACGTGCGGCCAGGAGAGGGTCCATCCTGCCCATCTCGGCTTTCATCAGCCCCCTCCTCATCCGCATTACTGTCCGTGTCCATTGCCATCGAGGTGTCCGCCTGCGAAACAGAAGCATAGGTGCAACATCTGATTTCCATCCTATTGTATTTTATAATTGTAATCCCTTAGGGTGATTACATGATATAGTATCTAAAAATATAACTAAGGTGAGTGCTGATTTAAACAAACATGCCCTAATCTTTGCTGGGATCAATGGGGACAATGAAAGAAACATTTAATTCAGTGGAAGAAAAGCCCTCCGTCAACAATTAAGTTATTATTTGACAACAACTTAAAAAGCTCTTAAACCTCGCAAGAGGGATTGTTGTCATGACTGATTACTAATTGTAGGCTGAGCGTGTCACGTGAAAACACGCTCGTACAGATGTCGCAATTTGACCGCTGTGGTGGTAATTTATTGCCTTTGAATGCCTCCGTCCCCTTTCCGCGGTGCAGTGTTCACTCCGCAGACAGACTGTGAGCCCCTCTCCACCACAAACGTGTTTCCACTCGAACATAATGTTATCTGATTGCATATAACTAGTTTTAACATACGCACTCGGGGTGTGGGTGTGGGGTGTAGGGGTTTAGTCGATGGCGCCCTGAGTTAAAAAAAAAAAAAAAATTACCTTGTGTGCGACTGCGTGTCCGAGAACCAGCAGTCGAGCACAAGAGCGCACTAAAGCCCGCCCCGCTCCTGTGACAAGAGCCGCTTGTATGGCATTCACCCAACGCACTGCATCTCACAGAACTTTTAACGACACACGGTCACACAAAAACACCATGCCCCCCCCAATCTCAATCTATAGTGATTTTCATCTCGCCTCGCATTAAAAACAGCCCGATGTGCTCGCTGCGTGCCGGTCTCGGCCTTCTTGATTGATCATTTTATCGCACGGGAGTACAGAAAGGGCCGATAGGAGGCGTTTTTTTTTTTTTTTGTTTCTCTCAAATTTCCTCCAAAGTGCGCATGGAGTTGGGAGCCGCGGCAAAGACCTCGCCATTGTGTCTGTGGTCTTTAACGGAGCGCTTCCCGGGGCCGAGCCACGGCAAAGCAGACCAGAGATTAAAAAAAACCCGAGCTTTAAACTCGACGTGCAGATGAACGCAGCACTCCGACCTGAGCGAGCACCACTCGCCTCGATTACCAGCCTAGTTTGGCTTTGCACCGGGATGTACAGTAGAAGCGACCGAACTAATGCAAATGAGCCCGTTATCGGACACGTCACTGTCCAAATTTGCCCCTCGTATTCAGGTAAAAACCTGGACAACAACCCCCCACCTCCCTCTTTTTTTTAAGCTCTCTGCTCAGAGTAATCAAACGGATTCGCTTTTTGTAGCGACACACACGCCTTTCTGGGAACAAAGTAAATTTGATCTCAGCTTAACCCAAATCGGATAGAGCATCCGCCAGCTAGCGCCGGACGAACAGTTTGCGGTCGCTTTACGTTAGTTCGGGTCTCTCAGTGTTACCGGCTTCTTACATATTTCATTACTTTGCAGTGCTGTGCCTCCTCTCGTGATACTGTCAACAAATAGTTGCCGGATACAGAGAAGTGATGGCATTACTGTACGGGACGAGAGAGGCCATAACAACGGCCGACACCAAGCATTAGACGTGACCGGGCTTGGGCTGCGTGTCCGACAATGGGTGTAGGGGTTCGACTTTATGCACTGCGTCGGCAATCGTCCATCACTCGAAAAAGAGACGCAGTTTGCATGGTTGAACTGGATATATCTTTATTGGGAATACTTTGGCACCGATTATAATCGATTTTGTTGCCGTCTTAAGGGACAAAACAGTGATGGGCATATCTTAAAGTCAGACGGAAGGGGTGAAATCTCGTCATGAGAAGAGAAAATATGCGTCTAGACGTGACTCTGGTCACATTTTGGTGTGTTGCCTGGGACGACTGCTCTCGTTTTTTCTCCCCGGAGAAAAAAAAACAATCAACAACCAAACAATGTCTCAACGTCCCCCATCAGGCTCCTACATCCGCGGTGTTTGAGACTTTTTTCCCCCCTTCACCCACTCCCACATTTACAAGCCAGCGAGAACGGACGCACTCGCTTCCAGCACCGTCCTTTCAAAATAAAAGTTTTCCTAACGTGCGCGTATTTTTGACGCTATTATTTTGAAAGCGAAAGCTGTCCAACTACCGGGCTACGTCTACTCGTCTCTCGCTAGCTTGGCCAAGTCCCCCTCCCATTCGCTCAACGCCGAGTTTGGGGTTGAAAAAGCGCTTTCTGCTGCCAATAATGGTGGCTCGGGTTGTTGCGGACGGTGCAACTTTTCCCGTCCTTTCGCGTCGCCCGTTTAAAGTGCTTTTCCAACCGGCGCCGTTTTAAAAAATGCCACACTCGCGACTACACGCGCACCTTCTGTTTTTTTTTTTTTTTTTTCTCCCCTCCGTCTCCACCTCGGTAGCGCTCGAGCGAGGTCCAACCGCCGCTCCCCGTCTGCGGCAGTTTTGGGTGCACTTGCAAATCACTCCCCTCACCACTCCCCGAGTACAGACACACACACTAAAAAGACATTTTGTTTTTTAAAGGGGGGGGGTACAAGAACCACACGCCACCCGTGCTTTGCTTTTTTATCTCCACCTGTTAATGTGACCAGTGTGTGATACGACATTGAGATGTGAGCTTGTTAAACATGCCTTCCCCCCCTCCTCCTCCTCCTCCTCCTCTCTCTCTCCCCCTTCTCCCCTCCCTCGCATCCACCTCAACATACCTCCAAATCCTCCTCGTCCTGGTCTACCGGACCGAAGGCACTGTCCCCGTTGCTCAAGTCAGAATGACTGGCTTCTTCCACCGCGCTCCTTCTCGCAGCCGTCGTTAACGTTACATCGTCTTTTTTTCTGCTTCTCCGCTGAACCTTGGCGGCGTTCCGGTACGAAATAGAGCCCTTGTAGTTAACTTTCAGCACGGTTTGTTCCTGAATCAGTTTCTCCAGTTCTGCGCAGGTTCGGTCTGGCTCGGACCCGTGTCGTCTCCGGACCATTCGGCAAATCCTCTCCAAGTCCGGCCGGGCTTTTCGCGACCGCAGCGAGTCGATAGTGTCCAGGATCCATTCTCGGTACTTGGATTCAGACATCCCTTTATTTTTTTGCTCGGTTGGTTCGCTTTCTCTTAGCTTTTTTTTCTTACCTTAGTGCGTCAACCTTGTACGTTACACACGGTGTTTTTTTTTTTTTTTTCGTGAGCCGCGGTCCGAGCCCAACTGAGAAGCGGAAACCTCGCTGTATGCCTCCTGCGTTTGCGTGTGCGCTTAAGGTGGACCGACGGAGTTACGCCGAAAAGTTTCACTAGAGAGGAGTTTTAAGGTGGAATCTGCAGTCCTGAACGGGGACGAGCGCGCGCACTCGGGCCCATGTGCGCCATAATGGGTCAAAAGGTGGCCTTTTTTTTTTTTTTTTTAAAGAGGAGTTAAAAAGTGTGATAGCAACAACTGCTCCGGTTCACCCTAGTTGATTAAATACCCGAAGCTATATCACGCCGTCCATTATCTTTAATTAAATTAGAGAACCAGAGGCGTAGCTGGGAATTTTGGGGTCGCCCTATCACAAGATTTAACTATTTAAGAATTCGTTAAGTAGGTAGGACGGTAAAAGAGGTATTAATACAAAAATATATATCTGTGCATATAATAAAACACATTTTATAAACGTTTTTTTTTTAAATATTGTAATTGAAAACAGTCCTTTTCATGTTAGCAAAAAATGTGATCCCACCAAAATTCAAAACAGAATTGGAGGCCTGCTGTGTCTCCCACATTTAATACATGAACTAACCATATACACAGTCTGTGTGAAAATCAGTTTTCTAATGTTCTTCATGGTTTGATTGCTTCAGTAATATTTGTTAGCACACTTCACAGGTCTCTATTGCCAATTATGACCAGATAAGAAATTCACAAAATGACGTATGCTGATAAGTCACCACTTTTGAATGGTTTTTATAAAGTCCAATAATTACTAAATGGATCTCTGAGGTAGGCCCATTTGTCTTAATGTATTTCTATATGCACATCTTCATTTTATTACATCATTCTTGGATTGATTTACTCATTTGTAGCTGTTTCAATTGTCTAATTATTGTCAAAGTATCAATTAAATCAAGCACTCAATAACTTTAAATTCTTTAATCGATTTCCATTCTTTGACAGATTTATTCATTATGAGGTCTTTTACTTAATCTTAATTGCTTTCCAACCATCTGGAAGGCTCTCATAGCCTTTCACATATAACTAATGCAGATACATGCAATCCTTAAAAAAAAAAGGAGAGCACCGAGGATGGGAATACATTTGGAGAGGGGTGCTGAAAGCTGGCTGGTAATTGATCCTGTTCTGTGACAGGATGAACACAACACTGCATTATTCAATTGCACCTGCCAGCCTCTTTAAAACATCCACAGTAACAGACAGGACGGTGAAAATACAGCATCCTCCCTCACCTACCAACACATCTGTTCCTCGGATCCAGCCAAAGAGAGTAGCCAGAAGCTGTAAATACCTTCCTCGAGATTTGCATATCATAAAAAAAAAAAAAATACATAATTTTTTTTTAAATGTGTGACATAGTGCAAGGTGAAGAGAGAGCTTACATATAACCCAGACATATTAGTCTTAACAAGTAAAAGTTTATTGGAATGATACATTTTGCAAAATATTACTTTATGTATATTTTTTTTAACATACTCATTGTGTTCTAAGGGTATCTGTCAAGTTCTCCAGAGGGTAAGATAGTTAAGACTGTCAAAGGCAAGGATATACAGTATTGTTTCCCAAAAGGTACAATAGACTACACAATCACTGTACCCAGGTCATGAGGAAAAGATTAATGTTCTGTTTTTGCTTTTTTTGCTTTTTTTTGAAAATACAATTAGAAAATATGAACGCAAAACATCTCAGATGTAAAAAGTGTTATGTTTGAATGGAGAGTGTGTGGAAACTTGATGAAAATAGAAGGCAAACACAGGAGAAAAACTCAAAATTAGCACAGAGCAGTTGATAGTGTTTAGTTGATAGAAGAGAATTACAGACAGTTGACAAGAAGTTGTGTATGGGAAACAAAAATAAAATTTAAAAAAAGCAATGTGATGGCCTTCGTGTCTGAAGTGGATCAAGTGGCGTTACCTTCTACCCACCAACTCTGATTTAGTCATTTGTCAGAACATAAAAGACCAAAGATATTACATGTGCTCTCTTCAAAGCATTACACTGCGTCTTAAAAGTTTCAAATAATTAGCACAAATCAATTAAATAGGAGATTTGAAAGGGTGTGGCATGTGCTTCACTATTTCCAAAAGACTGGACAAGTTGGTTGGTGATCCACTGCATTGTTCAACGTGATGCTCTAACAAATCAAAAAACAGGTTAAACAGTGATGAGACTGTCGGCTGTGGAAACAATGATTTCTCAAACATGTCTCAGGTCCAGGAGATGTCTTGCCGTTGGGTTGCTTTACCACATGCAAGAAAAACCAAGCTCACCAGAGAAACATGTATTATACAAAACACACGTCATGTTTCAAAACAGCATTGAAACATCTCCATCTGACAAATTCAAGACATTCAAAAAAGGTATCCTGCGTTTGATCTCAATTACATTAAGAGACTGCCAAAGTAATTACTCAAGCCTACTGAAATCATTTAGAGTCGAAAAACATTCTCAAAAATGTCATGTTACAAGACTTTATGACAAATAGATTGATGCACATCAAACAATTCACAGAAGCTTTTCAGTGAGATGGATAAAGTCTAGCACCTAGGGCCTATGGAGGGAGGGGAGGGGAGGGGATGGGGGGCGACGAACATCCTTCATCAAACCAAAACAATATGTTCAGTCAACAAACCAGCAATAAGATTTGGTCTGCGATTGTCTTGCATCCACAGAAATAAACTTGGCAAAAAGGGGATAGCTTTAGGACCGCTTCCTTAGTTTAATTTGTTACATAGAAAGCTGGAAAATGGAAACAAAAACACTCCCATCTCAACAGTCCCAAAAATTTGGTTGGACTGCAAATCTATCTGAAGGTATTACAGGTACGGTATATACAAGAGAAAGGGGAAGGGAGGAAAAAAACAAAAACAATTATCAAGGTGAGAAGCACAAGTTCAGTGACAATGATCATCATACTGTTGCCCTACAACTGAATAATGAACAAAACCCAGAAGATCTTTCCAACGTGTTTAACTGGGTCTTGCTCGTCTTCAAAATAGGGCAGCCAGGAGTCCATTTTAATAGTTAAGCATGTTATCCACGGTCTCAGGTACCTCAGCACAAATGAAGCATAATGCTCTGCCATCTTTCTTTAAAAGTGATATTGTACAAAAATAACATGCACGTTTTGTTGAAACGTTTTTGCTACTTTTTTGCGTATTAAAATCCATCACCGTCATAATTACATACAGAAAACTCTGCAATGTTCTCAGTTTGCAAATTTTGGCAGAATTTATATTTGTTTATTTATGAAATCTTAATTCAGTTTCACAGCCATGAGACAATGTTGAAAAGGATGTGTGTGTCTATATATATATTTTTTATACATATATATCTATATACATATAGATATATATATTTATTCTCAATATACATGTATAAATGTACTATGAATTAAATAAACAATAATCAGGAGTGTGACCACAATGTTAGTTGCTGCTAAATCACAGCTTTTTAAACCCACCCTTGAGCACTAAATAACACACAAGCACAGAGATCGACATAAAAAAAGGACAAAATGATCACCAATAGGATTCTTAAAATAATCTAATAAATTCAGCTAAGAGAAAGACAGACTTAAATGCAGACCTCATTGTTTACCATTTCTCACAGGCCCCACAAGGAGTAAGACCTAGATGAAGTTAAGTGTGATAAATCATTTTCACTCTGATCAAAGAGGTCACTGCTTCAAATGCAAGCAGTGAGTGCATCATCTACCCAATAATCATGCCACATTGAGCAGACAAAGGCAGGTGCAGAGAGATTTCAAGCTTCAAACCAAATGGGCACAAGGGCTGATGCCACCATGGCCTAAGCTGTGCACCAATGCTTTCGACACAGTTTTCCAACCAGTTGGCATTATGATAGGCACATCTGTTGGACTTGGTATTGCTTGGACAGATTCAGGATGGAGAGATGGAGGGGTGGGGTGGGGGGTGTGGGGAACCAGGGTGACAAAGATACAACAATCACTCTTTGAGAAGCTTGTAGAGGGCCCGTTCAAAAAAAGGAGCCTAGCAGATTCAGTACCTTAACAGAAAATCAATGCCTCAACCTGCAAAGACTGAAAACATGTCGTTACACCATCAGAAAGATACAAGTATAGCTGGACAGCCACAACCTATGTCTGTTCTCCTCGAGCCCCTGCCACAAACACAAGAGGGATAAATAAAATGAATAGGTAACAGAGAAACAATCAGAAAAGGCAACACTGCTGGTTCTGTTGGATCTTTCTTCACTTTGTCTACCTTTCGACTGGGGGGATTTTACATTGTTGTCGTCATTACAAATAAGCAAGTTAGCAGTCCACCCTAGCGCTTCCTTTCTTCTGACCCCCTTTTTCTTTCTAAATACCTGTCTCTCTCTCTCTCTTTCTCTCTCTCTCTCTCCGCTACTCATGGTTGGAATCTAGAACTCAGCAAACTCCTTTGCACACTTCTCTGTGAAGGAGACTCTGATTTCCTCTTCCTCGTAGTCATCAAAGTTGCTCGTGTCACCAGGGCCTTTGCACTTAGGAATAAAGGGAGCTTCCACCTAGAACACACAGGACAGTCAAATCATCAGAATGATGCAGTTTAGTCTAATAGAGAGCACCAAAGCCATAGCATGCACCATAAACTACTGGGTGACATTGGAATAGGCCCCCGGGAGATAAAGAGACAATTAAAATCACATTTATATTAATTTATAGTTGTACATAGTAAGTTAAAATAGAAGTAAAATAGGAGTTAAATTCATTAGATAATCAAGAAATCATGCTTGAAAGTCCATCTGTGACCACATTGCAGAACTAATTTTGTGATCATGTGTTTCCCCGAAGCCAAATCCTCTATTTCCAATTCGGTTGGTAATTTCCCAGAAATAATTTAAACTGCGTGAAAAACATATGAACTTGCATTATATGTAGGCAGGGAAAGTAAAATTAATACCAAAACTAAGCGCTCTAGAGCAAGATTTCTTTCCATTAAAATACATCAAGACAAACACAATGTGTGTGCTTTGAATTACATGTTCTTATAGTGTTTATTCTGTGTATTGTGTTTATAGTTTTTTATTGTTATCAGCGTTTAACCTTTGTTTGCACACTGCACCTACTACATGCCTGATTGCACTGGTAGGGGGACCCCTCTCTGTGCAGCATTTTCCCCAGCTTTTCCTTATGAGTCCAAGATTAGGCAGAGGTCGCTTCAATTTGTTCCTGTTTTTATTTTGTGAACCACCCTGACAACTTTAATTATGATTAGGCTTTATACAAATAAAACTCTTTTATGTGGACCAAAGAAACAGGGTTCTGTTTGTATTCACATTTTAATGTCAAATAAGGAAGGAAGTAGTTCGACTTTAGATTCTTTAAATGATTTTGCATTACTGTTGTAATCCTGCTAAACCCACCAGCTTTTGTGTCATGAAAGAAAAAAACTGAGGGAAACACATGTTTTGTGTGTTTCAGAAATATTTCCATTAGCCTCATCTGTGCAGAGGAAGCACAGATGGTGTGAAATTACCCATAGCCACAAATGTAGACTGAAGACTGACCAGAGTCTCATTAAAGCCATTTTCCTTAGTCAACATCCCTTTTCTTTTGCCCTTCAGATAGTGGGCTCTATTTGTATACATCACTACTGTACGAACCTTCCTCTGGTAGATGGCAATCCAATCAGTGGTGGCAAACCACTTGTGGCCCTTGATATCATTGACTCCATTCCTGAGGTTGCCAAAGCGCTTGGTCAGGTCCACCTGCAGCAAATTTCTTAACAGATCCTTCAGGTCTGAGCTGAAGTGGGAGGGAAAGCGAACCTGCACACAGAAAAGAAAGTGTGAGTGTGTCTCTCAAACCCAGCATTTTATACCTCATGCTATGTTTTCTAAATAGACTGCAGGCCCTACTGTTGTACATTAGGGCAAGCCTGTGAGGGATAGTGCTGAGTGGTATGGTCTAAAATGACATTGTGCCCACAAATGTTGAATTTGGACGTGATTTGCCCGTTTGTGACACGTCTGCCTGTTTGCACTATTCCACTTTGCTCTAACCCCGCTGACGCATAAGCCATTTTTGTCCACAGGATCGCTTACCACCGGTAGTTTTTCCTTTGTCGCCACCACTGAGTTACAACCACACACTAAAGCCAGAGATGACAGCCATTTGGGAGATGCTAAAACTGGCCTGTCTAACGTTAACTATGAGGTCACGTTCAAAGTCGCTGAGGGCACTTTTTTTCCTAACGCTCTGTTTAACACCAACTGATGCCAGGAATGCTTCCGGATTTATACCATTTATTGTAATAACATGATGAATGAAGTAAAAAAAAAAAAAAAAAAAAAAGTAACATAACATGTTAAAATAATAAAAATGAGGTGTGGTCATGTCAAGTCCTATTAATTAAGAGATATATAATGCACACATTATTTCACCAAGGACTCATGTTGGACAGTTACCCTTAACTTTTAATCTTTTACCTGCAAATCTTTCCCAAAACCACCACCACAATCCTCTTCATTTAATTAAGACTGATGTACTGTGACAATACTATCACTATTAAATAGTTTTCACAAATGAGAAAAACAGTGCTGGTATGAATTATAGACTGTTAAAGGGAAATTGTTAGTTTACAAACTATAGCTTGCAACCCACCCCCTCTTTTGAGGAACAGTGTGGAATTGCGCACTGTGCTGTGCAACAAAAACAATCAAGCAACAAAAACTAAAATGAAAAAGGGATTATTTAGGTAGGCTTCTCTAAACTCACCTTCCCTGATACAATCTTCTCGTAAATCTGAATAGGCTGGTCTGCAAAGAAGGGGGGGTAACCAGCAGCCATCTCATATATGAGCACTCCCAGAGCCCACCAGTCCACTGCTTTATTGTAACCCTGGAAAACACAAAGGAAATAAAATGTCAGATATGTCCTTAAACAAAACTCCTACACATATATATACACACACACACACACACACACACACACACACACACTATAATATATAATAGACTACAAGCATAAAATTGAGTTAAAGTCCCATGTTGAGCTGAGAACTCCCCTGCCCTTGTGAAATAAAGAGCAGTGGTGTTTACTATTGGCCGAGCTAAGCGCTTACCTTACTGAGGATGATCTCTGGTGCCAGGTACTCTGGGGTCCCGCAAAGCGTCCAGGTTCGGCCCTTCACCCTTTTTGCAAATCCAAAATCTGTTACCTGCATAACAGAGTGTACAGGTCTGAGCACTGACCACACATACTGCAAGAGCACAGAGACCGATGAACCATAATTGTTGTCAATAAGTAAGGAAAAAGATCCTTGCCTGTATGTAACCTTGCTGGTCAATGAGCAGGTTCTCCGGCTTAAGATCTCGGTAGATGAGATCCAGCGAGTGAAGGTATTCAAAGGTCAGTACAATCTGGGCTGCGTAGAAGCGGGCGTGTGGTTCACTACAAAACAGATCACGCACAATGTTTACAGTCAGTCAACCATTGGTGCATGGACATTTTTAGGAATCGAGTAAAAAGGGAACTCACCTGAATCTACCGATTCTCCTTAAGTGTGAGAACATTTCGCCCCCGGGTACGTACTCCATTATCATATACAGATTACTGTTGTCCTGTAGAAAGATGAGCAAAGTCTCACTCTGACATGCAAAACACACATTAAAAAAAGTTGTGAACAGGCTTAGAAGTTCATCTGTTTAGATGAACTTTTAAATGCATACCTTAAAAGAATGCTCCAGTCGCACCAGAAAGGGAAAGCTGACAGCTTGCAGGATACGTTTCTCGTTCAGTGTGTGTTCTATCTGCTTCAGCTTCACTACCTAGGGTTAGGGTTAAATAGGTTGTCAAAAGGGCTCTTCATACATATTATAGAAACAAGAAAAAGATACACTACTTGATTAAATTATATTCCTATGTCTTAGTACAACCAAACTAGCATTTTAACACAAATTCTTTCATCTCCACATATGATTTCATCTAAGTCGGACATAATCTGTAACATCAACATGCCATAAAGCCAGGAACTCTTTCAGTGACAATAAACTGAAGTGTATCTTCATGGCACATTTCAACTTTCAACAAAGTGATCTTTATCCCATTCCAAGACTGATTCTCCCATCAAAAGATGTGCTTGCAGCAAACCTAAAACAATTGGATTCTGTCACAGTCACTTCTCCAAAGAGCTGCTAGCAAGTGAGACGTCATAGATCAGAGATAACTGCGACATTATACTGGTGATGACGAAGGTTAAATAGTTGGACAATATTTCTAGAAAATTCAGTTTTTGTCGTCAACTCAAGTCTGCATACTTGTTAGTAAGTGTGGATTATTCCTGGCTCTCTGTTTCAAAGTTTAAGTGTTTATTTAAACACTGATTAACATTGTCCAAGTCTTGGTACACTTACTAATACAATTTCAAGAAAAACAGCATTAGCATCATGTCAGTAATACAAGCTGGCAAGCCTTCGTATTTATTTACCAAGTAGTTTTTCTCTTGAATGCTAGAAGTACTGTACCTTCTGTTTGTCAAGTATTTTCATGGCAAAATGCTGGCCCGTCTCTTTGTGTTTAACCAGCATGACTCGACCAAACGAACCAGTGCCTAAGGTCTTCAAACGCTCAAAGTGGTCCAATGCCGCAGTTTGCTGAGGGGCAGAAGAGGGTGTCAATAAGAGGAGAGGGTACATAACTTGCAAGCAACATTACCCTAATCCTACTTTTAGTTCACTGTTTTTCCTAAATACCTTGAGTAAAATGTACTGTCATGTCAATAAAAAGTATTATTAAGTAGAGTCCTTGTTGTTTTCATGTGAATTAAACACGTTGTTTTGTTTATTGAGTCTATATTAGAGGTGTACTTTTGGTCAAATCAAAACATGTATTTCACATCAGCCCAGCAGAGGGTGCTCTGCCCCTCTCAAATAAATAGGACTTGTGTTCAGGGGTGGGACTATTTCCATTAGTCTGCCTGCCAGAGTGAACAAGCATGTGAAAAAAGAACTCAAGTCTATTCAAGATTTATTATAAGATTATCACAGTAAGGTGTCTCAACACACACAATTAAAAACAATATTAGCAAAAGCACAATACCACTGTACAAAAATAATGTCAGAATAAAACTATTAAAATAATAATGCTTAAACAAAAAAAAGGAGAAACAATCCTCTTTCACTCTCTCACCTGTGCTGGATTCTCCCATTTCTTCAGGAAATCTTCTTTGGCTTTGGCAAGAAACTCCTTCACTGTAATTATGAACATAGTGCATATTCATTACAGAGGGTTTATACATTTTAAAAACCACCAAGGCCAGACTAAGATTTTGTATAATAGGCACTTCACTTCACTTAATCACGCAAAAAAAACTCCACAGTTTCAGTGTTTTTGCCAAAAATAAATGTGGAGGCCATGTGGAGATACTGATGATACACGTTGTCCAGCAATTAAGTCCAGCTGATGACAGACTGCATTCATCTGTCTTCTCAACTTAGACTCACTACTTTCTTTGATGTTGGGTCTAAAACCCTTGCTTCTACCCAAACCATAAAAGTGCATAAGATAACTAATAACTATCACCTGGTCGAACTGTGAATTCAACTAATGCAAACATTTATCTGTGTGAAGTGATTTTACATCAAATACACCAGTATCTGTAAGCTCCTTCAGACCGGAGTCTATTTCCTTCCAAAAACTATGATGAATGAAGACAAAAGGACGTTTCAAAAATAACTTGATTCACTGAAAGTATCAATCAGGGGAGGGGCACCAAAAAACTCCAAGCCACTGAATATCCTTTAGTGTATAGCAAAGGTCAATTATTTAAATACTGAATTGAGTATGACACAGCTATAAATCATTCTAGTGCAGGCTGTCTCCAAAAGTCTCTATGCAAGACAGGTACTAGTGATGATGGCCACCATGAGGCCCTATAGGTTTCTGTGGCAGAGGCGGGAGACATTATGTGTACAACAACAGTTAGCTGGGTGATTCATAAGCTTTATGAGAGAGTGGCAAATAGAAAACCACTTGAATGACATCTCAGCTTTGCCAGAAGGCATGTGGGAGACTCTGAAACAAAGTGGAAAAGGTTCTATGGTCTAATTAAACAAAATTTGGCCCTTTTAACCATCATAATAAATGCTATATTCAGCGAGCCAGACACTGGACATCACCCCATCATCCACAATATGATGGATGGTGGTACAAGCATCGTGATGCAGGGTTGCTTCTCTGCAGCAAGACTGTTGCAGCATGCGTGTTAAAATAAATGACTAAAAAAATGAAGCAAGAAAACCTGGAGATGGAGGCTTATTCTCCAACAAGACACCAACCCCCGAACATAGAGCCAAAACTACACAGGAATGACATAAACAACCTGGAGTGGCCAACCCAGAGTTAAAGCCTCAACCCTATCTAAATTTGTGACATGACTTTGATATTGCTGTTCAATTATAGTGCCCATACTGCTTGACACAACCTGAGCAGTTCTGCAAAGAAGTCATTAGGACTGTACATGCTGGAGGCAGCCACTGCCCCACACCACAAAACCCATGCTAGTGCATTATAGCCAAAATTGGATTTGCACACTGAGTGACCTATTTCTGAGATATTCCAACTTGATTTCGAATAGAAAAACAAAATTTTTAGTCTATTTCTTTCACATATGGTCAGCATTCTCTGAGATTTGACACTGTCCATTTAAAGTGGTTCGACACTAATCGATGCATCATTGTGGAATAATAAATTGATCGGTGCTAAGAATGCAGTTTAACACGAGGCTACGCTGCCTTGACAGGAAACCTACAACTGGTCTCTGAACACACATGCAACACTGTGCATACACGCATACATGCTATTATAGACTAACAGTCATGAATGTGGACAGATTTTGACAGCTTGGCGCACATAGTGTCATATGCAGTGGTTCATTTCTCATAGCCTCAACTTTATGGGGCCAATCACAGTGCTCTGTGGGAACATGTAGATAACCGGTCCTTCCTCATTCCTTCTTACTATCTGTGTATTAGTGTTGAGGACACTAGCTGCAATAGCAGATGAGGGAGTCGTTTTTTCTCCTGTTAGCCTGGGACACAATAAATGGTCGATATTGTAAAAATACATCTTTGTAAAATGGAAAATAGCTATTGTGCTTAATTACTAGAATAAAAATCAGGTAATTCTTAAAATTGTATACTTAACATTTTGGACACAAGATTTCACAAATATAGGACTGAGTACAAAATAAAAATAACGAATGGCACAGTTAAAATGACTGTGCACTTCCACTATTGACAGCTGACTTGCTTTATTTAATAACCAACTTTTGGATATTGAAAGCTGAGATAAATATTAGGAAAATGTCATAAACAAAAAGAAATTTCTCATGGAAACATCTGAGCATCTCTCACACATATACACTTGAAAACTACACAAAAGCTTAATCCTGATCTAGCTAATGTGATTTCCTGCTAATTCTCCAAAGACCAGCAGCTGCAACAATAGGATGGGAGAAAGCCAGCAAGAACGGCAAAGACCAAAGTTCGCATAAACACGTTGAGAGCACTGTTGCTCCCACAAGAGAGCAATGGAAGCAGACTGGTCAACTGGGAGAAAACTTTTCCCGTCAAAGTTGCTCAACTCCCACTTCCATGCAGAAAGAGCCACAAATGGAGCTATTCCTGTCCTAACTTGGAGCTGATCAGAGGAAAGATGTGGGCGTTGCTGAAAAAGTAGCTGGGAGCTAAATGCTCAAAATCAACAGCTGTCTTCGAGGAATTCCTCTGTTAGATTTAGGAGGCTTGGCTGCCATAACTACCATGGGAATTGCAGGTGATCCACTAAGGCTCAAGTCTCCAAGTCTCCTGTAACCCCAAATTCCTTACCATCTGGGATGACTATGGGTACCTCTGGTGCAGCACCATCTGCTGAGCGCGACCCTGATTCACTTGAGCGCGAGGATGACTCCCTCTTCCCTGCATGCCTTCTGGAGCTCTTCCTGTCACACATTAGCCCAGCAAAATCTCCCCTGTTCTTCTTCCTTGGCCTCTCCCTCACAGTCACTGACTCATGACCTATCCTCCCCCTCTGAGAGCACTCTGGTCAGATCAGCAGCCCCACTCATCCACAGAAACCAGTCAAGTGTCCTTGCCAGCAGGGCGTCTTCAGTCTTTCCTGTGAACGTCACTTTTGCTGGGGACCAAGTTCAAAAAGTAGCATCCACGTCCAGTACAGTACAGTCAAATTTAGCATGGACAGCAGCACTGCTCCCGTTACACTCACACAGATCAATTGGACCCTTGCTTTGGTTTGTATCAATATTTATTCTGTGCACAAAGTACTTTCTGCCGCTCCCTCCCATGTCAAACACACACGCAAACACATGCACACACCGAGGCTATATATTGATCTAAACAGGGGCATAATCATCAGGGGGAGGGGCATAAAACACTATCTGGTATATTTATCCAACCCAGAGAGGAAGTCCTATGGAAAACTAGGCCTAAGTGAAGACCCTTGAGATGAACGAGACACATCTAGATGCAACTAAAACTTTCCCTAATTAGCAGAGCCAATCAGATGTCACATCTGCGATGAAAAACTTTCAGGGTTGATCTGGGTGTTTTCAAAAACATAAAAGTGGCTTTCTCAAGAGACACTAGCAAAGCAGCAACGCACAAACCACAGTGAAACTTTTTTCTCCCTGCCCAAATGCACCAGAGAGTCTGTGTAGTGCCAGTACTGAATCGATCCTCCCAAAATCAATCCTACATCTCTCCCCTGGGCCTCACTGGCCCACTCTGACGCAGGAACAGAGGGGTTATATTAGGGCGAGCTGACCGACATTTAACTGTGAAGCGCTCCATATCAGGTCCCAGTATACACCAGGCCTTGTTCAGAAAGCATACATTCCCATGTGGTGCATAAGAAATCATTCAGAGGGCAAACAGAGTTGTTGTAAACTAGGAAGGTGTTTTCATTTGTGTAAAGGGGAGAAATCAATTGTAGTCATCAGCTCAATACTGGCAGTTGATATTTTGCTGTGACTCAGTGGTCAGAGATAGAACAAATATCCAAGGGAGGCACAAGGCTTATAGCAAGGGCAAACCGAATTACTGGCAAGTGGCAATGTAGTTGTGAAAGTGAAACAATTCGTTGGTATGCTCCTCAGGATACATTTTTGATAATAAACTACAAAAATACTGCATTCTCGTCGCTTTCCTTATAATCTTACTAAAAACTAAAGAAATCAATTCGGTGTAAATAAATGCAGGGACACACACTGACTGAAATGCATCCAAATGACAGAAAGCCACATCCGCTTTCACAGTAATACTTTAGCCAGTCCCTCCTCTGGCACCAGGCAGCAAGAAAACATCTCTTCTTACTCCTAAACAAGCTCATAGGTAGGTGTGGAGACTGACCTGTTTAGGCCCATCTCCTCCTAAATCATCCATGGTGGTGTCAGTCTCAACACCACCGTCAGCCAGGCGGGTTGTAGCATTAAGAGGAGTGCTAGTAGTATCTGATGACACTGACAACAACTCAAAAAAGTGACACCATCGTCAACTCTTGGCTGTGAACTTATTGCTGTTGAGCCAGTCAACCCCTTTCTCAAATTCATGGCTGCAATCAGAGTTTGAATAACTTAAACTCACCTAGACCAATTGATAGACTTTTGGTTTTCAAAACTTTTATGTTCCACTCACTTGTATTTGAATGCATGTGGAGGACAGGTAATGTGCATGCATCCATCTGTCTCACTGAGTTACTGTTGAGTTTTTTTTGTATAGGTTAGTGAGTATTTTAAACAGAGGTGTATGCTTAATATTAAATAGTACTTTTACATTTACACATAGTTGGTTTTTACACTATGTGTCTACTTTGTTATTAGAATAATGTCAGTGTCAGATTGATTAAGTATGGCTTGAGGGTGTTTCTGTAGCATGGCATTATATTATTACCCTGAATTCAACCTATACGGTACTTTTACAGCTCATGGACAAAGTACACGGAGCTACGAATGATAAGAAGTTTGCACCTGGTATTTCTTTTAGACCTCTCCATATCATGACACCATTAACCATGATATTTTATTAGCAAAATTAAAACACTATGGTTTCCAAGGTGATATACCAAAGTTACATGAGTGAAAGAGAGCAATATACACAGTCATGTGTAGTGTTTAGGAGGATCTACTGGCAGTCATGGAACATAATATTCATCAGTAGGTTTTCATTAGTGTATAGTCACCTGAATACAAGAATTATTATGTTTTTGTTACCTTAGAATCAGCTGTTTTTTTTCTACAGACACCGTGTGTTGCCTCCTATGGAGTCCACCATGTTGAACCGCCATGTTTCTATAGCCCAGAACGGACAAACCAAACACTGGCTGTAGCCGTTTTTCGCGTGTTTTGCGTAACCATAGTTTCTCTTCTTTACCTCTCCTGACATGCCTTATTTTTTTTTATTATGTGGATTATGTGTCTGAGATGTATTTGTTGCAAGTACAAGTGATTTCAGTATTACTACCTGTAAACGCAACTGCTGCTTTTACAGGCCCAAAAGTCAAGGATTACCACTATGTCTGCTGTCGTTGAGACAATCGAAAGGAAACTACAGTTCCTTTTCCGATCACTGAACTCCATCTTCAGTTTTGCTTTGTTTGCTGCTGTATTTCACGTCTCAGGATTGTTACCTGGCCGTAGTTCAGTGCTACAAGTTTATCTGCAGTGGCTGATTGGCATTTCAACAGCAAGGTCCACTGGTAATCAGTACAGGCTTATGACAAAGTCCCTTTAACTGGAGAAAGGAAATGATGACCAATCCAAAACACAAACCTTTCCCTGTTACACAAACCAGCTGCGTGCAGAGCAGGGGCAGGACATGAACCAAACAGATATTTATAGATAGAGGGAGTTGCACTTTGACAGGGTGCCACATATTCAAATCACACAAGATGCAATACAACAATCCCTTATGACATAATATACATATTTTCAAGCTATCAAACACTCATACAAGGTAGACTCACAAGAGCTCCCCCAGTGACAAGGTCACAAGAGCAATAGTACGTGTGTGTTATTACACTGCTTAACAGTTTAAGGCTGATAGCGTTATGCTGTGCAGCATTGGCGCATGACAGACACTTCCAGAGTAACTGAGAAATGCCTTCCTTTGAACTGCAAGTAGAAAACAATAGGCAAGAGAGCAGGGACAAACAACAGGCTGCTCTCTGTGTGTATGTGTATACATGGAAATGGACACACACACACACACACACACACACGTACGTCTTGGCTGCTAGCCGTAAAAACATTTTTATATATATAAAGATATAAAAAGATCACCAAGGCCAATAGACACTTAACTCACCAGGTCATGATTTGAATACAGTAACATTATCAAGAAAAAAAAAACGAATATCTGTTAAGCGTGTGATTGCTCAGTCTGTCTTTAGCTAAACTGGTGTGACATAGCATGGACCACAGCTCCGTCCCTAACCCATGCTCATGTCCAGCTCCAGAATGAAAACTCACTCCAGCAGCAAGCCTCTAGCTCCTCCTGTGGTTGGTCATGTCTGCCTTCTCCACTGCCTGTGTCCCCTAGACAGGGCCCAGCTCGATGAAACAGCCTTCCTGCCAGCCTGTGAATAACAGACATCATACAAGGCAGGAGGAAGCCAGCTGATAGCCGGTACAGAGTCTCAAAAACTGAAGTATGTCCGGAGGTCTTTAGCAAGCAGCAAATCCAGAATATATATAACGTCAACCGCGTCTTAAAAGGCCAAAACTTCAAGCTATCCTGGCCGGCTGTGTTTAGTCTGTAGAGCAGTAGAGGCGATGACCAACTGTGCAGAGCCTGGGCTGGACCTTCCTTGCTCCTTCACTTCCTGCTGCAGTTCACAGTGTCTGTCCACCCTGCTTCCTCCTGTGGGCCAGAATTCAGCTTTGTGTACTAGTGCAGCAGCAGCTCTCTACTCGTCCTCTCCGGCCTGGAAAGTACAGGGGAAACAGACTCTTTGCACCTAAACGAGCTCTTAACGCTCTCTTTCCATTTTCCGTAGAAACCAAAGCGCGCTGCCATGTTGTCCTTAACTGCTCTGTGGAAAATTACGCTCCTGGGTGTGGGCTCTGGACCCCTGTTCTGCACCTGTCTCTGGGGATCAGGGTGGACCCTCAGTGATCAGGCTGATAAGGATGTGAAGCATGGCATGTGAACAAATCTCCCACCAGCAGTGCCTCCCCTGGCCACGCTTCTAACCTACTAATCCCCCAATTTTCATTACTTTTTGAGCGTTGAAAAAACAAAACTTGCATGCTGTAACACTTGAATGTCATGGGCCTTGTTACAAGGGTTACCAGTGATGGGTTAACGCTACAGAGGGACTGGACGCCATTCTTCACACATACTCTCTACCAGCAACAAGGAGCTGACACTCATTTTGCAGATACCTGTTCAGACTTTGCACTGTTGAGTGTTATTTATAGTGTCGTGGATAAAAACATAAAACGGTGTCCTCCCAGTTCTCACTAGGACAAATCTAAGCAATTGTTTCGAGTTAACAAGCATCTTATTAAGAAACAGGATGATTCTTTCCACTCATTTAGTAGATGAAGGTAACTGTCATTTACGTCGTTAACTTATACAAATGTTCCCCTTGTTTCTCTTTTTTTTTTTATGTTCTAGTAATAAAAATGTATGTCAAGAAGGGGAAAAAAAAAGTTGTGGGGAGCACAACAGTGCACGAAGGAATTGGCAAGAGCATCTCTTCATCTTTACCACATAAACAAAAGTATGCGTGCGTGCATGCTCGCGCACACACATATACACACAGTGACACATACAAGTGCCCTTGTTCTAAATGCTGCTCATCACATGATATTCAAGAGACTCCTCAACTCCCAAGTTTCTGCCTGGAGAGGATCACCCTCATGCATCATATGACCCCCATCCTGGTGGCTTTTTCCTTCTCTGATAACAACAAACTGGCCTCTACTCACTCACTGGCAAACGCAGTCAGTGGGACTCAATGCTCAGGTTGCATTGCATTAAGGTTCAACTCATCACCTACGTAAACACTTCAAAATATGTGCATGTCCACTCCTTCTTTAAATCTCGGCCTTTCTTAAAACACACTTAAATAATGATTAAAGTGCACCAGAAGACTCCACAGCAGGGCTTAGCTTTGCAACGTTATCGCAGCTTTTCACAACTTTATGTGAGGAAAAAAGGGGGATGGTGGTGGTGGTGGTGGGGGGGGGGAGAGAGAGAGAGAGAGAGAAAAAAACCTTCTCAAACACATGACCCACAAAGAAAACCTATGACTGTTGTATAAGGTTAGTTGTTGTCATCCTCACTGGTACCTCTGAATATAACCTCGGGCTTTAAATCACGAGCGTTTCCACAAAATCGGCGGAGAGAATGAATAACATCCTCTGCTGTTCAGTCGAGATGAACATGGAGTCACAGCAATAATACAAATAAATAAATAAATAAAAAAAACCCTGCTTGGCTCAAGTTCATAGGTGGATGTGAACGGCCATGGTCCTCTAAGGTTGACAACACACTTCTCCATATTAGAACAGGGTGTCTAAAGCAATGTAATATGGTGTCAGTGTGGAGGGTTACTCGGGCCTTGGTGCAGCACACATTACACAGGTGCTTTGAGGTTGTACTTTTTTTTTTTAAATTCGCTGCCATTATAGGAAACAGGAAACAACGACCCAACGACAAGGCGGCATTATATACTAGCTAGCTGCTGCAGCTACGGGTTAAAGGGTACTCACCGCTCTCCATCTCATTGCCCTTCTTTGCGGTGGGCGTGTTGCCCATGATGGCAGGCTGATGGTGGAGTCCCTGGGCTCGGACTGATTTCTTCCTTTACAAGTCGCTGAGTGATGCTACACCGCTAAAAAAAAAAACGCAGTCGCTGGGCTCAATGAAGCTGACAGCTGGCTACTAGCTAACCGCTATCATTATTGACCAACGAGTGCAAATGTATTTCCTCCAACACCTTTAATTAGTGAGTTCAGAAACACTCCCAACCCAAGCGAGTATATCCAAGTATGCAGCTGACACTAACGCTCTGGGTTAGCTCCGGGCTAAGCTAACTCTAGCAGAGATGGCCAGTGGTTGTTAGCTTTGCAGTGTTTAGCTCGTCAGTTCCCCGGCGAGCAGCGGCGACTCAAGATCTCAATCGACTGTCCTTTTATGTCCAGAGACGGCTTCGGTTGATCCAGAATCAAGTCCAGAGCATTTGACAGATCGTCGACAGGCTGTTTCCGTCTATCCAGCGAGCGAGCAGGCTAGCGTTAGCTCTTTAGCGTCCCTCGCAGTCGTCTCCTGGCCTGAACCAACCAGGTGCTCTCTCTCTCTCTCTCTCTCTGAAGGCAGGCCTCTTCTGTGGAGACTAACAAAAGTGGAGTCCGGGTTATTCGGTTTTTTTTTTCCCCCCCGCAGTTGGTTATTTCAAATCGGATACCTCTCCATTCGTTTATAGACCAGGCATCAAGTGCAATGGCTTCCTGGGACCGACCATCTGATAGTCGATTCCTAAGATCAACAGACCCCTTCCATTAATCTTCAGACCGCAAGGGAAACTCCAGTCATCCATCCAGCGGGTCCCGCCCCTGGCAGGCTCTGATTGGCTACACACACAGCTACTTAGCCGAGAGACGTCGCTGATTGGATAAACGTCGGTACAGCCAATCATTGCCTTGCTGCGATTGGTCCGTCAAATTAATAAGCCCCGCCTCCCGGACTTGCTAGGATCCAATACGCCCATGACTGTATCTGTATGTTTCTTTTTTCCTTTAATTCATCAGCTGTTAATATTTATGAGACGTGAGTTTCGTGCAGAACATAAATCAAACGCAGTCGCATCTTATGATCCTCATCCTGTTTGCAAAGCAGTATTTTACAAAGTCAGTGCTGTAGCCTAGCCTCCCCTTTTACCCGACCGATCTGCGATTGGATGTGACGTTAGCACGGGCTATTTTTAGTAAAATGGGAAAAATATAAGGGGATACTTGTACTGATATTTGTGTTACACAACTGGCACTGTGTTGCGTTCAACCGTATAATGAAATTAAAGGTTTTGTTTGGTACATTACTAACAAGGGCAATAGTTTTCAGTACAGATGCATCCAAAAATAGGGTTTTTATTCTGTTTTCCTGCTTCTGTTATCAAAAATCGGGGGGAAAAAAGTAAAGATGAGCTAAGATAAGTACTCAGGAGGAGCACAGTTCTCACTCTCAACACAAACATTCATACACAGATAAATAACAAATACAATGTTCTTTTATTTGGAACACAACATTGCAAAAAAAAAAAAAAAAAACAACAACTCAAAAATATAAGTGGGAATAAGCCTAAGTGCAAAAGGAATTTGAACACAAACATAATGGCAGATTATCAAATTCCTGTACAGCAACATATTGGAATTTATTTGCCTATTGCTTGCTTCAGTGCTGAAATCCTGGGTACAAAAACAGTTCTGAACCAACATAAGGAAGGAAGGTGAATCACACATCAGCTTTCCGTTCTGCTTCAGTTCAGCTGTATCTGTTTATAGTTACCGCTTTCCCTTCTGTGAGTTAAACTACTTCAATACTGCCTTCCACATCATGGTGAGGAACTCCCATCTATAAGTGACGATTATTCTGGTGGTAATTGGTTCTTAATCCTCCTCTAAACAAACACTCATCAGAAGACCAAGGAGAGAGTTCACTTTTGACTTAGCTTCAGTTAAATAACGACTGTAAGGCAAAGATGTCTGTACATCCACGCTAGAATGTCCACAGGCATTCTTCCAAAATAAGGTCTTGTGCGGCGAGTCATCACCTTTTGGGGGCGGGGGTTGATTCTATAAGCAGTCCATAGAGTTATCTGGTTGTGACCCCAACGGCGGGGCCTTGCCTGGGAGACAGGATGGAGGGAGCATGGAGTTTGACGTGGGATCGACATTTTCAGAGTCTTCCATTCTCTCCGCACAGCCTTCCCAGTTTATATGGAATCTGGTAACACGTGGGTTTGATGCCAGAATATTTCTCTGGAGCTGAAAAAGAAAAAAGATCGACATATTAAGTGCAAGTAAAATGCAGTCATTAAGGAGTATATGCATATTGCTGTCATTACGTTGCAATGCATCCTACTTCATTTGGCATTTAGACTCAGATTCAAAAAAAATGTGAACCCTGTAGATCAGAATGGGACAAAGGTACCAAATGGTATTTATCCAACAATTTATAATCAAACAACTACATAATAACCTACATTATACTAGAACGTTGCAACTGCAATCACTGATTCCAATATTGTCTTTTACGCGTTACGTACACACACACAGTCGCTTTTTAAAAGTTTCATTCCAAATGTCAACCACCTTGAAAATGTGACAACCACAAACAAAATCCTTCGTCATTACAGCAAAACTCATTGCAGCTTATTAAGGAGGTTTCCATCTGAATCAAGAACATTGCTTACAGAATAGTAAGTTGTATGCTTAACTAGTTATATAACAAAGGGAATGTGATAGGATTATAAGTAATTGTTCCAAAGTGCAGGCTCAACAGAAATGAAAGCTTCCATTCTACAATGTATTAGTGCACCGTGCTACTTGATGACTACCTTTGTTCTTTGCCATTTGTTCTTAAAATTCTAGGGGTTGTGTAAAAACGCTCAGGTTGTGTAGCGTATTAGTGATTTTTGAAGAGTTTTGAAGGAATTTTGCCATAAAAAGTCAACCCACCACCACTATACAAACATTAAATATGATCCACTGTATTATTTCAAAACAGTGAAAAAAGTATTATGGGAAAAAAAAAAAAGTTATGTGATGCAGACTCGCTGCAAAGAGAGAGAGACAGAGACATCTCATGTGAATGAGCAAGAGAGAGAGAACGTGTGAATACAGACAGGAGTGTGGATGTGATAAAAACTCTTTGATCATGAAGCCTGATGTTACTCACTATTCTGTGGTGTATCAGTGAAATAAATGAACTGCTGTGCAGACTGGCGTCTCTGTTAACAGTGACAGACAGATCTGGATTATATACGCTCATCATGTCTGTGTGCCCAAAGTGTCAAAACAAGGTGGTGAGCTTTCGTTTTTTCATTTTTAGCACCAGCTAATGTGAAATTTCAGCTTTTTACTGCGCTTATGTAATATGGTTAAGTTAACATCTACAGACTAAAGCAGGCTGTCAGGAATATATATATAGTATAAACATAAATAGAAGACTCTTCCATTTTTAAAATTGCCGAGCAAATCTCCGAGGCCCATGTGCATCACTTACAAGCTGCTCGCACGCCCGGTGTAGCAAGTTCTGAGTCCCCGCACACATAACGGGTTCAATGTAACCTGTCCATTAGTCTCACCTGTGTGTAGTCTGGCTTGATCGGTGGATTTTCTCGAAGCTCTGGGTCTGTGTACTCATTGTTCACATAATAACCAATACGAATGAACTCCTGGCCACGATACGTGCAGGTGATCAGCACCACAGTTACACCAACAGCATCACTTTCAGGAATCAATCCAGTGTTTGGGGCATCAGCCTGTTAAAAGATAAGATAAAATAAGATTGACTTCATTGATCCCACACTGGGGAAATTCACTCACTACAGCAGCTCCAGATACAACACAACAGGGAAGAAAATACACATTTTATAAAAATAGAATAGAAAAATACAAGATATAATGAAAAGAGTATAAGAGTTGTATGTACAGCTGTTTTTATACAGAAAAGAAACAACACTAAGATGTGCAAAAATAGAATTTTTTTAATATAAACAGTCTACTTTTTACTGGGGATTACGGCACCAGGACAAAATCAGTCAGTGTCAAAGACAGGCTAGTAAAAATTCTGATTTTATCACAATTTATCGATTCCTCCAACTAGGAATGCATTGATTAACCGGGCAGTAATTGGTGTTGATATTTATTACAGATCACTATAAATACAGGTGAAGCAAATACATTTACGACACTCAAAATGTGTTTCCATTGAACATTTTATAATGTCCGACTGTTCCTACCCCACTTAGGTTTCTACGGCAGTTTAGGATCCCATGGTCCTGCTGACCAGGCTGTCGGAGGTGGTCTGTGTTAGCTTACTATGAGCAAACAGAATTGTGTTTTTGCTAAAATGAAACAGGAGTTTCATTCTTCTCACATTAGTTGTCAGTGCATTATAATCAGATGCTGAGTAACCACTGTAGTCCGACTGTCATTTCTGAGGCAGATTCCAATATCAAAAGTTTATTTTCTTATACCATAACAAACATTTATGACAAGGTTCCCAAAAATGTGTTTTTTAATAATTGAGACCAAGACATGTACTAGGTAGGACATTATATTGAGAAATAAATGTCACTATCCTCTGGTGGCCAAACTATAGAATGGTGACACTGTTTCAAAATATTTAAAACTTCAATTTCTTCATTTATCAGGTGACATATATGGCAATACATATATATCTTCATTGTTTTAACGTCAGTTGATATATTAGTTGGGCTCTACTTTCTTTACACACTGCGTCTCCTCCAGTTTTATGGCTCCAAAAAAATGCATGATGTGAAACAACTATGGGGCTGCATTATTGTCACATGATGAACAGGTAGTGAGAAAGGGAACTGCAGTACAGTCTCTTGGTTGTTTGAAAGACGTAGACATGGCTATTTATACAATAAGAAAGCTACACAGGGGAGAAGGAGAACTGTCCAAGGGGATGCAATTGGTGATTTTGAAAAGGTTTAACAGAATATAAATACTTGTGTTTCCACTATATACTATATCTCTAAAGCAACAAAAAACATTAGTTTGCCCCTACGAAACATACCTGAAACACAAACATATGTCTCCCAGCAGGTACTGGACCAACCAAGACAGAGTCGAGGACTTGGTCATACTCTTCACTCTCTGCTGAGCCAACGTAGATGATCTTCCATTCAAGGTCTATAAAAAAAAAAAAAAAAAAAAAAACAAAGAAGTTATGTTTCACTAACATACAAAGTTATGAAAGCAGTACTGAGACAACTAGTCCATTAACCAATTAGATGATTAACTATTATTGATTACACTGCAAAGCTTCTCAAATACGTTAAATTCAAGTATATGCATTACATGTGCAAAACTGCATAAACAATAACAACAATAATCCACTACTATGAATAATTAAGAACACAGCAGAGTTGTTGCTGTACTATTAACAATGTAAATATACAATGTACTAATGCTAAATACTTTTACATCACTAAATGAAGAGTAACAAAAGCTGGGACTAACCTGAAAGCTATGACATGAACACACTTTAGGCTCCGCTTGCTCTCGTTATCACCGACAATTTTAACAAGTCTTGTCCGCATTAGCGTGCAAGTTTCACGGACATGACCGAGAGACGTGTGCACCATTGGGGAACACATTTAGTCAAGCTGTGCAACATTACTTTCGCCTTCAGCTACCTTGTAACGTTACTATTAACAGAGAAGAAGTCAGCTAATGTAACGGTAGCTAACCTAGCATTAGCTGTTAGCAATCTCTGGTACATTACAGCTACTGAACTACGCTTTGGCCTCAAACACACACACACACACAATTATTACTTTTTTTCCCGCGATGGTACCTACCTTCGGGGAGGTCCTCCATACACTCAAACGTTATTTCAAACTGAAAAGGGTTTCCGAAAGGACTCGGGTTGTCTAGGACAGCCACATTCAACACCTGTACCTTCGCCATTGTTGCTGAAGAGCTACACACAAAAAAAAAAAAAAAAAAAAGACCCAGAAAAGAGGCTAACCAAAAACAAAACGTTCAAACCAGTTTCCCGGGGAATGCTTCAAAGCAACAGTACAACGACACAGGCAGTTAACAGCATTACCTGTCAAACACCTTTGATTTTAACCAAACGTAACCCTAAATTACACCTAAATGCACACTACTCACTTGTAGTAATGTGCAGTATAACTAGGTTTTGTTAAATTTGAGGATAGATGTGCCGCTCTCCCGCCGCTTTCAGTGTCCTACCCAGGCTTCACCGCGTCTACGGCAAGCGGCGTGTGCAAGACAGCGTATGCGCCTCCATCTAGGGAAAGGCACAGTGTCTTTACCGCCTCTTAGTGGCAAGGTGAGGGAGGCCTGAGCTAATAACAAACTATTTTAGCCATAAACAAATAATTCCTGTCCTGACTGCCCAAAGCACTTTAAAAGTTGAAAGTATTTTTGCAACCTGACATAAACCTTTGATCTATCAACTCTCAGGTCAATCTATAGGCCTATGTTGCAGGTATTTTTGCTATTGTTGTAATAACCACAGTTCCACATAGTTACCTTGGGCTGGGAGGTGCAATAAAAATTTTTTAAAAAACCGTTGTGGCGTCCCACCCCAGGAAGACAGGTATATTTCACAATATAGCCTAAAGCAATAATACAACACTGCGCAATACATTAAAAATAGTTTGAAACTTCTCTACTGCACAAAAATTGGTATGTGTGAGCTTCACAAATATTTATTGCAAGACTATTGACTTGACTGTCATTGCACATGTGACATTTCCACTCCCTGTGTAAACCATATTCCTGCAGTCATGGGACGACTGCTCAAAACAGGCTTTCTCTCGTAAAATGTCCATACTGCTTAGCAACCTATAGAGGACAACTCTGTACACCAGGGAGAAGAATGACAATCACACAGCTAAAGATGTATAGATTAGTTGAATGTGATCTTCATTGGCCTCCATTGGTCTTCCAATCTACACAAATATGCCATCTTTTGATTCAGCAGTGACTGAGACATACAAATACATTTATAAATAGAAAAACACAGCAACATATATAACTAGTTCATAGGTTTTCTTCATTAAATACAGCAAAATTCATGCTAGTGGGCTTTCTATTTTTTAATTTAATGAACTATTATTACATTTAATTACCTATTACCAATGAAATACCCTTCAATTTAGTAATTCAGTGGGCCATATTTTCAGCTCCTAGTAATACCATCATTGCCCACCTCATTTCTTATGCATTAATATAGAGTTAGTTAACTAGTCCCTGACTCATAATCTGACTACTCTCACAAGAATACTGTAAATACCACAGCAAAATATAATTCCTGAATATTATATTAGCATACTGAACATACATACAGTACTGTAAGACAGTCAAAACACAAATAAACAAACACAGAGACGCACACACAAATGGTTTGGTCTTAAGCATCTCCACAGACTGACTCACTGCTGTATTATAGGAGTAATTTTCCACCGCAGCACTCTGCTTTTCAGAAAACGCCTGACTGCTCTCACACACTGTCCAAATGATCTGACCACCCCAGATTAAGCCTGAAGCAGCCTACATTTTCTTTGCCCCTCTGAGTCTGAGAAGGGGAGATTAGGTGAGGATTAGAGCCCACTGGACCAGCTGGAACCGCCGAATTCATCCTTAAAATATCTCAGGAATGTTGATATCCTTTCACATGTTGAGTAACATGAAACCTGGCGGAGGCGCTATTTCATGCCTCCACCACCATCAGCCCAGGTTGCTAGGTAAGAGCTGGGCACCGAGTACAGTCAAAACATTGTACTCCTGCAGGTTGGAGCAAATAGGAGTAAATTGGCACCATGGATTATTCAAACAAAGTTCACTTGAAATGGAGTATCAGGCGGAAATGAGGCATAATGTGACACACAGGTGAGTTATTTTTAGATGATATATAGAGTCTATTTTTTTCAGTGGCAACAGGAGGAATCGGCTCCGCTCTGCTTCAGTAAACTGCGTTTTTCGTCGAGTTTGCACAAAGGAGTGTCTGTGCGCTCTGCTGCAGGTGGATAACTGCGCTCAGGTAATGTAACACGAAACTGAACCATGTGACCAATGGCGATGTGAAAAAAAAAAAAAAACTACTTTACATGAAAGACCAACTGGTAGTGCAGTCGAGGATGTAGTCCGGTGACCTACAGGGGTCCTTTCAAGTATTTCAGTGGCACGGTGAACCTATTTTTTTTTTTTTTTTTTTGGGGCTGTCTTAAGATGTTACCTGTTATTTTTCACTGGACTAAACCATTTGTTGCGGTTTCATTTTTGACAAGGTGAGGCGGAAGCAACATGGTTCGTGCGTAAAGAATCAACCTGCTCCATGTTTCCCGTTTTGCTTCAAACACCTGAAAACGGCCTAAGGGTATGTGTCCAACATTAACTTTAAAACATGTTATCTTCTTCCCTCTTAGAAGATAATAATATTGTTGCAAACGAGAAGGGGGTTGAACTTTAATGCTGTATTTAGTTTTTAGTACATATGCTGTTATTAGCTTATTATATTCCTCTGGTCTGGGCAGGTTTTAATGGTGATTCAACATCAGGCTGAATATGTGACTCAGTGGTTGTATGGTGTTAGTCTCCTGACTCAACCTCAGGTCCAGTGAGTCTATATGAGGGTCAAAGTGAACTCAAAGTGTAAAAGAACAACAACATTGGTCTTACATTACTGACAATAATGTGTCTTGCAGCTGTTCAAGGGAGGTGATAAATCCACACAGTGAATGCTGGACGTAACGAAATGGACCCAAGCTGATGCCCCAAAGTCCCATTCTGCCCTCAGTTGGCCCTGCTGGTCACAGGTAGCGATGGCAGCGTGTCAGGAGGTGCCGGCCATACCTGGAGTTGTGGTTGGTGGTGTTTTACTGCTGGTACTAAGCAGTAATCCGGTGTGGGGTGAGTCAGTAAACCATCCCTTCATCGTCCACACTCCCACTCAAATAAGACAGACATCCTTCTGACCACACCTACACACACACACACACACACACACACACACACACACATAGATAGATAACCGCTGTTAAATCCTGCAGTGATAAACAAATAAAAAAACATAAGGGATCATTCCAGAGTCTGAAACATGCATGGGCTTGTCAGGATGTTGTAAGAGCGTTGGACTAAGAAATTAATTAAGAAACACTCTTGCCTTAAGAGAGGAGAAGGTGTATTTATATCCGGTTTTAGCTTATCAGTAATTAAACAACATAATACGATTCAAAACACAAAACATTCAGCTTTTTTTTTTTTGGAATAGCTGCCCCTCATGTAACCCCTGCTTTATCAAGTTGTACTTGTGTCCTTGTAAAGTTTACTATTTACCCAAGTGAATGATTGACTCAGAAAATGATAAGGCAGGGTATATATTTCCATAGCAAAACCTTCTTATTGTGTTACAAGTGATTCTCTGCGCCTTTGTAATGCTTAACACAAAGAAAGAAACAATCGATGTGAGTTTTTATACTCATTTCAAACAAGCGCCTTGTTCGACTCAGCTGACTGTACACTCTGCATTCCTGAGCTTCTCCTCCTCCTCATTCGCTCTCAAGTCGAAAAAGTTAATATGTAGTTTTGTGATGTCCCTGAGGAATCACTTGGCTGGTCATGGATAACATGACTGGATATCTGGTATGCTGCGTTTTGTGTCTGTTGCCCTGAAAAGTGTGCATGAAGCTGAAAGCTACTTCTGCTGGACTGTCGGTTCCTCTTTTTTCTACTTGTCTAAAATAATGGCACCACTGCATTAAAAAAAGGGAGTTTAACTTGAATGTGAATAAACTGCACAGTTTTAATGCTCATTGTAGTTTTAGAGCGGCCTCCCGTCACTCACTTAACCGGTAACTTGTCAGTTTGTACAAGTCAATCAAGTCAGTTAGACAGTTTGTGTGTTTTTGTCTTTTCTTTAATCTTTTGGAGAGTGCAGAGTGACGGTCACAACGCAAGCAGTAAAGTGCAAACATATTTTGTACTTGTACTTACCCAACAACATTCTAAAGATCCCTCTGCATTTTTCGGTGACTTTGTTAACATTTAAACTTAAAGGAAAGGTTTGATATTTTTGTAAATATTCACTTTCTTGCCAAGAGCTAGATGGGAAGATTGATACAAGCGTGTTAGCTTTGCTTAGCAATGACACTGGAAACAAGAGCAAGCAGCTATCTTGGCGATGTCTGAAGGTAAAAAAAAACTTCTGGGACCTTATATCTCATTTGTTCATTGGTAACCTGTTCAGGGTGTGCCCCACCCCTCGCCCAATGTCAGCAGTGGTTATTAAACTGGGGTCCGGGAACTAACATGGGTCCTTGAGTGGATTGGGTCTCTGCAAAATGTATAATTATTCCTTTAAATGTAACCAGATTACCCTGAGAAACATGTATCCAAGGCATAAATTGGATACATGTGCTAGCAAGAACCCAAGTTTACATGCATTCATCAATTAAACAACTAGTTAAGGAAATCCTAGATTATTGGTTAATTAAACTTTCTTTAGCTACTGGAGAGCCCAAATAGGTTAACTGCAGTTAGGAGATAGTATACACATGCAAGTGGTTAGAACAAGCCTGCATTTGCATTGTTTCAATGGTGTTCCTGACGGTTTTGCTCTTTTCACAGGGAATTATACTGCTGTTGAAAGTGAAACCGGTTCTAATACTACTGGTGTGAGTAAAACATCTTTATTATGACCATTAAATGACAACCAAAAGTATCCAGTGTCACCTGCTTCATCACTGTCCTGTAATTGTTTCCATTTATAGGGACCCAACATTGCAGCTATTGTAGCCCCTACGGTCATCTTGGGTGTTCTGGCCATAGTCTTGGCTGTTCTCGCCTGGCTCCTCCTCGTGGTGAAAAAGAAGAGACAGACTGAAGGGACGTATAGACCCAGTGCTGAGGAGCAGTCCGGTGCAAGCAGTGTGACGGCACCAGATGCACTAAAGTTACCAAAGGAGGAAAGACTCATTTGAGATTTTGTGCTGTATGTTTTGGACAAACTCCTGTAACGACACAGGCTGCAAACGTTTGCATGACAGCGTTCCTGTGTGACAAAGCTCTCTGCCTTGAGCTGATCAATGAAAGAAAATCTCCCTGTGTTTCTCAACAAGCTCTGGGTGGTTCCTGCATGACACTTTGAAGAAAAGCACCTGGATGTTTGGATCTAGTGGATTTCAAGGACAATTTCAACATTTCAAGGAGGTTTTGAACATTTCTTCTGCACAAATGAAACAGTATTTTATCACCACTAATAATTTTAGTTTAGAGATGTTTTTTTTGTTTTGCTTTAGTTGCCTTAATATGCCATTTACCATGTAGCTGTAGTTGATTTGATCCAGTCTATTATGAACTAATGTTACCAGCAAAATCAATACAGATCTTTTACCTCAAACTTTTACCTCTGAGAGCTCTGATGAGTCCATTGCATTTAAAATTGAGATAGTGAGTCATTTTAGCCCAATAATGAGTGTTATTAAGACAGCTAAAAATAAGGTTATACTGACGAATTATACTGACCAAAAGCAAGCGATTGTTTACAATTATTCATTAAGTAATCAAACCAATTTAAAATCACATTATTTCCAATTGTCCATAATTTCATCAGATCAACAATGCAGTGCATAATGCATCATAATCAAGCAGATATGTTTTACAATGTCACATGCTTATGCTGTTGTCAAATAAATAACAAATTGTTTGTAAAATAATAGTTGAGTAATTAAAGTTTACTAAGCATTGAGACTGTTTAATAGCATCTCTGAGGATATTAATTCTAATGTATGATTATACTGACCGTATACAATCCCAGTTTAAATAAAATTCAAAAAATATCCAAATCATTGGTAAACATTGGGGACATTTAAAACAAGTCCATATTTGTGTATCTGAGTCTTACTGTAGGGTGATAAAACAGCTAGGCAGGGCTTGTTAGTCAGAGAGAGTGAAAAGTTCAGTTTCTGCCACAACAGTCAGACTCTACCGAAGAAAGTCACTGAAACACTGAAGCCATTGTTAGTCTCTCTGTTATCTTGCAATGAAAAAATTTAAATAGAGACTTATGTTTTATGTACAGGTATTTATATTATTCAAATTCAGTCAGTGGTGGATGTTAAATATAATATTGTAAGTAAGTCTGAACTTGTAAGCAACTTGTTGGTAAAGTATGGGAAGGTCCCCACACTCAGGCTCCACCCTAATCAGCGGATTTTAAGGAACCAAGGAAGGAGAATAAAGAAAATGCATATATATGTGTAATTAAAGTAGTTTTTTCCTGCCATCCACACACTCACACACTCTTAGTACTAGATTGCCAGTTATTGACTCACAGTACTGGAGAATCATATCTACAGTTCAGCTGATTATTAGCACAGAAGAGGTAGAGCTTATATAAACAACCCAGACTGTGGTTTCACAAGAATTGTGTGTTAAAATGTCTAAGAATAATTTATTCCTTTCTTATCCACATGAACTGGGTTAGTCTGTTTCCTGACTTGTGTCTTTCCACTGGTACAATTTTGAATTAATTTAATCATGACATCTATTGCTTTTATGGTAAATACTCCTCAATGTTGAGTCCTAATTTATGAGTCAGTGTGAAGTTTTATTTTATATTGATGGACATGCTGGTCTTAGATTGAAAAGACCATTGTGCTATTCAGTGCAAGAGTAGTAGTACCTGTGGCTACTCCCTGCAAACATGTCATACATTTTTCTGGGTTTCACCTTCATTCGTCATCTTTTCACTTTTTAGATTAATTGTTCTATAAGTAAGAGATTTACAGTCTACGAACTGTTCAGTATTTAAATATAAGAGGAAAGCAAAAACATGTTTGAACTTCAGGTTGAGAACTACTTCCCTTGTCAGCAAGTTGCAAAACTTCAAGACACAGTAGTAGTGCAGTAAGATCAATCAATAAAAACTCAGAGTCAGTAAAAATGGCCTTTTAATCAGATTTTAATCATCCTCTAATTTCAAGGCTTCACAGTTAAAATCGCTTGCTTTTGAATTCCGCAAGTCAATGACAGGATAAATGTAAGGATGGCAATATTTCAGTGCGTTCACAAAATACAAAAACATTTGAACCAAAAACATCACTAGTATCAGTTAACATCAATGTCTTACACTAGAGCAGCAGATATCTAGATGGTAACCATTTTTCAGTGTGGTGGACCATTCATTTAATGATGGAGAGGGATGAAAGTAAGCGGGGTGGAGTTGGGGGATGGGTGAGCAAAAATAAGATTTGACAGCTGGGTAGGCTGAGGTTTTAGGCGACTTCCTCCTCTCCCTCTTCCTCAAATTCACCCTCCTCAGCGGTGGCATCCTGGTATTGCTGGTACTCGGACACCAGGTCGTTCATGTTGCTTTCGGCCTCTGTGAACTCCATCTCATCCATGCCCTCACCGGTGTACCAGTGGAGGAAGGCCTTACGGCGGAACATGGCGGTGAACTGCTCGGAGATGCGCTTGAACAGCTCCTGGATGGCCGTGCTGTTGCCGATAAAAGTGGCAGCCATTTTGAGGCCACGGGGTGGGATGTCACAGACGGCGGTCTTCACATTGTTCGGGATCCATTCAACAAAGTAGCTGCTGTTTTTGTTCTGCACATTCAACATCTGCTCATCCACCTCCTTCATGGACATGCGGCCCCTGAACACCGCGGCCACGGTGAGGTAGCGGCCGTGACGTGGGTCGCAGGCAGCCATCATGTTCTTGGCGTCGAACATCTGCTGGGTGAGCTCGGGCACAGACAGGGCGCGATACTGCTGGCTGCCCCTGCTGGTGAGGGGGGCGAAGCCTGGCATGAAGAAGTGCAGACGGGGGAAGGGCACCATGTTGACAGCTAGTTTACGGAGGTCGGCGTTCAGCTGGCCGGGGAAACGCAGACAGGTGGTCACCCCGCTCATGGTGGCAGACACCAAATGGTTGAGATCTCCATAGGTGGGGGTGGTGAGTTTAAGTGTGCGGAAGCAGATGTCATAGAGAGCTTCATTGTCAATACAATAGGTCTCATCCGTGTTCTCTACCAGCTGGTGGACAGAGAGAGTGGCGTTGTAGGGCTCTACCACAGTGTCAGACACCTTGGGAGAAGGCACCACGCTGAAGGTGTTCATAATGCGGTCGGGGTACTCCTCGCGGATCTTGCTGATGAGCAGCGTGCCCATGCCAGAGCCAGTACCGCCACCCAGGGAGTGAGTGAGCTGGAAGCCCTGGAGGCAGTCGCAGCTCTCAGCCTCTTTCCTCACTACATCCAGGACAGAGTCCACCAGCTCGGCTCCCTCAGTGTAGTGGCCCTTGGCCCAGTTGTTCCCGGCTCCACTCTGACCTGTAGTCAAGAATATCACAGTTCACTGAAACACAGGTGAGCTATTCTTATGGGGGACCACAGAAGAAAATCAACACACTTAATTCTGACATGATTACATGTAAGTGCGTCCAACTAAATTCACATATCTTACCAAAGACAAAGTTGTCAGGTCTGAAGATCTGTCCAAAGGGACCAGATCTGACTGAATCCATTGTACCAGGCTCCAGATCCACCAGGATGGCTCTGGGCACATACTTTCCACCTGAAATCATGTAAAATGGATCAACAATGTCATTCCTTGAGAAATCTTTACAAGCCTGTAGAGCATGATGCAGTTAATGTAAAACACTTGGATGCAAATCTTTTTGCGTTGTAGGAGAGCTGGGTAGGTGAGGGAGGACAACAGATGGCTCAGTTTCCTCTGTTGTGTATTATAGCTGAATCTGTAGTTTTACCTGTGGCCTCATTGTAATAGACGCTGATCCTGTCTAGCTGCAGATCGCTGTCTCCATGGTAGGTACCGGTGGGATCAATGCCATGCTCATCGCTGATCACCTCCCAGAACTGAGAAAGGTGGAAGGAGAGGAAGGAGAGACAGATGTTAATTAATTTAACCCACAGTAATACACACACACACACACACACACACACACACACACACACACACAATAATGTAATATGCTGAAAATAGACAACAATCCCCAGATTCTCAACACCCTGAAATAGCATACTGCTGTTTTTAAACATGCAAAGCTGCAAGATTAATTCTCTAGCTGGATGCCGGTTAAAAGTGCAGTCTATTAGTCTGACATGCAATCTGTCTCACGAGTAATCAAGCAGATGGCAATAATCTGTTAAGTAACAGTGTGTCTTCAATGCTGTAAGGACGCACTATTCTATCAAGGGTCAAAAAGCCTGAAAATACTAAAGATACAATGTTAAAATAATAAAACATTTATTTTGAGAAAAATACCTTTTTTTAACAGCAACCGGCTTTAACGGAGTCATAAGTAAAAATAGGTCATAAATGTGGAGGGGGAGGGGAAACTGCTGCTACAGTGGCTATAAGACTGTATTATTACTGCCATCAATCCTTCATATAGGCCTACCTTTTTGCAACACTCCATAAAAAGGCAGAAAAGCCCAAAAACTTTATTTTGCACGCATTTCTTAAGCTGTTTTTGAACTGTTGTTGCACAAATCAACGCAAAGAAAACGTACATTAGCCGAAAATAAGTCCTGCAGAGAATTTAAATGAGCAAATAGTCTGTGGTTCATTTTTATTCACTGCACGAAGCTTCAATCAAGACATCGCATTGGGTTTATTCTAGAGAATTCTTGGAGGATGGATTAGACGCCCCCCCCCCACACACACACACACACTTTTCGGCGTCACCTATCCCTGCGCGAAAGCCTGCAAAAAAAGTCTCATCAGAATTAGAAACCGAGCAGAGAACATGAAAATGTCGAGGAATACCTTGGCTCCGATCTGGTTTCCGCACTGACCGGCCTGCAAATGCACAATTTCGCGCATTTTCGCTGGGGTACGAGGACAGTCGAGTAGGAGAGCAGCAGAGATTTAACAGGATGATGGTTCCTGCGGGCGAGTGTCCGGGATTTGTTGCGCCGCCTCTAAGACCGTCTACTGGGCTGAATCGGTGGTGCAACTTTACGTCATCGCCATGGCAACCAAAGACCGGAGGAGAGAGGGAGGAACCAAGAGCCGTGGAAATGGCGGATAGGACGCGAGGAGCTGCATCAGCCATCAATACGGCTCTCATTATTCTCGAGGACTGAGCGCGCCCACACACCCTCAACTCCACCTACACACAGGCACGCACACACACACACACACACACACACACACACACAATACACACACACACACACACACACACACACACACACACACACCAAGCAGACATAAATGATTGAGGCCTAATTTTAGCTACACACTTTAGCATCAAGGACAGTTTCAACAGTAACAACTTTAAAGGACAAGGACATTGACTTAAAATGTATCAACTGGAGTGTTTGAAGTCGACTTTGTAATTCTGACAAGTATCAACTTGATACTATCCCAAAGTATTAAGGACTTATTCTGGAGGTCTGCAAGTTCAAACAGGACAAAATGATTGAGTAATACCTAGGCTGTGCAGACATATGGGGTCAAGATGTGAAAGACATGCTTTACTGCCTTTAAAATGCTTTAAATTATATGCAGCCCATTTATTTTTCATAATCTGAAAAGGATACAGAGAAAAACACAATATACATATGGTTACACAAGAGAAAACCAAACAACAGAAAACAAGTTAGAGTGATGGGCAGATACACATCAGTCATAAATGTAATTTCATAAATAACTGTAATAATAAATAACTCAAGTCCATCATCTTATAACAGATGGGCTGTATTTGTTATTAATAACAACTATATTAAATAGGTTTACAGTTGTTCAAGTCTGTCTCTGTCTACAGTTGTTCAAGTCTGACAGGTTTTTCTTACTGTAATCATTCTTCTTGTTCATACTGGCCATTAAAAGATCCCTTCCTAATGTGCTTCCAGTGCAAATGATGGGACACAAAATCCACAGTCCTTGTTCTGTGCAAAAATATGTTCCAGAATTTAACTGAAGGTGATATTTTAAAGTTAAACTCCTTTTATTATGAGCAATCACAACAATCTGTTAAACAAAGCCAATATGTGGATCCTGAAATATTCCTTAGGCCTAAAAAGCAGACACTTTACTGCACATGGTTGGCTTTTTACATTCAGAATCAAGGAGACTTCTAAAATAAGATTATTCTGAAAACCTGTCACTTGGAATAACAACCTACCCACATGTGTAAATGTGTTGCTTCTTCAGACTTACCAAAATAGGTTTTCATATTAGATGTTCTCTGTGTTGTTTAATCTATTTTCAGCTGCCACCTAGTTCACATTCTGCCTTTCAAACAAGAAAAAAAACATGTTTTCTAATATGTGGGGAAATATTGACCTGCAGCATAAATGTGTGTTATTATGTAAATTATTAAGACAAACACCAATTCTGTAAAACACATACATATTGTCATATACAGTAAATTAACACAAGTTTTATTTGATCACGTGTTGGTTAGTTAATATCTATCTAGTTAGTATAATCTTTCTGACTGTTCGGAGCTGGTTTAGCCACTTTGGGTCAAAACCTACTGGTTAAAAGATAGAAAACACACTGTGAACACAACAAGTCACCAAATTCACTGATGTATGAAATAAGTTGCAGTATAGTGTTTTAACCTGTACACCCCCCAGTTAAGTGGACAATAGCCAAGTGACTTACACCATGAATTAATTAGCAGGTTAAAAAGTTTGCGTGTGTTCAGCTGGATGTCAACACTGAAACAATCACATCCACATCCTGAATGATGACATTCCAAACATGCAGCAAGTTACCAACCAGCTTAAGCTATGAGACGGCTGGCCAATGGGGCTTTATTTCCTGTTTCCCAGCACTGCTACGTACAGGGTTTTTTCACACTGCTGCATGATTTAAGTTACTCCCACAGTCGTGCACAGGAAAAACAAGAACATTTGCTGCTTCATGTCAAGAACAATACAGAGGCAGTTAGTGTGCTCTGAAGTGAGTTTAACTAGGCACGTTAAATTATGTTGTTTAGTTGCCGGTGGAATCATTAAGGACTTCAACCTGAGGACAGCTGTTTTGAACTCTGGATTTACAATATTGTACATGACACACTGCTTGTCATGTCTCTCCCAGAGGAGGATCTTACATGCCCAATATGCTGTGACATCTTTACAGACCCTGTCTTGCTGTCATGTAGCCACAGCTTCTGTAGGAGCTGCCTGAAGCGCTGCTGGGACACAGGGCTACGTGAATGTCCAGTATGCAGGAAAAGAGCCTCCAAGTCCAGCGCTCCCTCCAATTTGGCTCTGAAAAATGTCTGTGAAGCTGTTTTGCAGGTCAGGAGACAGAGTTCACTGCTGGAGGAAGAGAACATCAACTGTAATCTGCACGGGGAGAAGTTCAAACTCTTCTGTCTGGTTGACAAGCAGCCCATCTGTGTGGTGTGTCAGTCTTCCAAACTGCACAAGACTCACGACTGCTCGCCTATCGAAGAGGCATTGCTGGACTGCAAGGTAAGGGGAAATAAACATGTTTCCCAACTACACTGTTACAGCAACCTGCTAAACTGACTCTGCTATTTTTGTTAGCCGTAGGTACTTAAGGCAACACCTAAAGGTAGAATGCTGTCCTACTAGTCTGCCCTGACTGTAACCCACACTGTTACATTTCAGTGATGAATCCAGGCCTAAAATATTCAGTGTCAATGTCCTTCTATTAAGCTATCTGATCTCTGCTGACTCAGGTCTGCTTTATTTTCAGGATGAACTTTGTTTATCCCTCAAGAGCTTGCAAGATAAACTGGACACACTCAAAAGAATTAACATAATGTCTGTGGACATGGTCAAATACATCAAGGTAACCTGATGAGAGGACAGATATTTGGTTTTTGAATAAAAGTATCTGGTAAAATCAAGCCACAATTTGCAATAATTTCCCTCAGAGTCAGGCGCTGGACACACAGAGATTGATCAAGAGCCAGTTCGAGCAGCTCCATCAAATCCTCTACCGAGAAGAGTCAGCCGTAATTGCAAGTGTGAAAAAAGAAGAAGAAGAGAAGCTCGCGGGAATGAAGGATAAGATTAAAGAACTTTCCGCAGAAGTACTGTCCCTCACAGAGACCATATCTGTCATACAGGAGCAGCTCAAAGAAGATGATATGGTCTTGCTGAAGGTCTGTACAGTTCAGTATACATCAACTTTCTAATCTTTTCACAAAAACTTCCCACCTTGACAGTGAATTATTTTATTTTCCAGAATTTTAAAGCTACTCAGGACAGGTAGGTCAACAAAGTTATGGATTTACACTCTTTCTTGCTTTCACGCGTTGACATATTCTGAAGATGTCTCTTATCACAGAGGAAAAAGCATCACGCTTGGTTCAGACAACATGTCTGGGCTACTGATTGATGTGACCAAGCATCTCAGCAACCTCAAGTATAGAGTCTGGGAGAAAATGCTGGACCACATTGACTATAGTGAGTACACATTTTTGTTATTTTCTTCGGGTTCAGAGGCTGAAAGATTAGAATTGTACAACCCAAACCCTGTTTAACATCACAACTAATTTCCTGTCTTTTAGCTCCAGTGACTTTGGACCCAAACACAGCACACCCCTGCCTCATCCTGTCTGACGACCTCACTTCCCTCCACTATTCAAAGAAGCCTAGCTGTTGCCCTGACAACCCAGAGCGCTTCCACATAAGCGCTGAAGTGGTAGGGATGACCGCGCTGGGCTCAGGAAGTCACCACTGGGTCGTGGAAACAGGAAGTAATCAGGACTGGCTCCTAGGTGTGGCCTATTTGTCTGTAAGTAGGGACGCTGAGATCTCTGCTCGGCCAGAGAATGGCTTCTGGACTTTGTGTTTCCGGGAAGGAGAGTTCAGGGCAATGACCTCGCCACCCACCTCACTGACAGTTACAAAAACGCCCAAACAAGTCAAAGTGCAACTGGATTACAACAAAGGGATGGTGTCTTTTTTTGACCCTGCTGATGACACACTCATTTATGCATTTACACACACATTCACGGAAACTTTACTTCCATATTTTTATACACAGAGCAGTCATCCGTTGAGAATAATGCCGGAGAAGGTGCTTATCACAATGTTGCGTCAATAAGTGGATAAAAGTTGGTGTTTGTAGATTAGCCTGTAATCTGTAATTGTAATTTCTCCCTCAGAGGTCAAGTATTCTCTATCCAAGTCATTTTGCAGCTTCAAAAACATGTTACATTGGTTTTTGTTACCTCTTTGCTTAGAGTTAAATAAGATTTATACCACTCACGTCTGTATGATAAATATGAAGCTATCAGGAGGAGCCAGTTAGTTTAGCTTAGTGTAGCATAAAGAATGAAAACAAGGAAAACAGCTAGCCTGGCTGTTGTTTGTTTAAATTATACAAAAGCAAAAGGGTAAAACCTTGAGACAGAGTCAGGCTGCTAAGCTAACTGGCTGCTGGCTCCTACCACATACGCTACATATCAGACAAACATGAGAGTGGAATCAATCTTCTTATCAAGGTTATGAGGATATATGGTGTTTTATGCTATGTGGTTTACTGTAGCCTATTGTAGAGCTATTCCTTTAACAGCAATGTTCAGATAGTCACATCCCTGAATAAACCATTAATGGTTACTACTGTATACGATAACTATTCTGTGTAGTGTAAGTGGCAAGTGGGGCTCATCCAATCATTTTTTTCTGTCATACTTCCTTAAGTGTTTCATTATGAAATGTTCTTACTTTTAAAACAAGCTGTTGAGTTAAGTTTGCATACAAATCAGGGATAATTCCTAAATTGCTCATATAAGTGGCTAAATATACGTTACTCTTTGTGGTGGATGAGGAGAGAGCTCAGTTGTATTTAATGAAAATGTTTGAATAAATATAAAGACGTTTATGGTTTGTCCATGGGTTTTGGTGAGTGCAGCAAGCTCTGTCTTCATTTTTTATTCTTTTGAATTGTCTGTGACTTCATCAGAATGAATGATACTGCTGTGCAGGTTTTTTTTTATGATTCTTCTATTGATGATAATCATATTATGTTGACACATGCATGCACACACACAAACACTTAAATTTAAGTGGTTAAAAAGAAGCAACAATTAGAGACTGTACGGTGCAGTTTATTGACTCTTTTGAACACATGATGGCGCCAAAGTCAAACAAATATTTTGAAGGATTTCATTACAGCGAAAACTACTTTGAATACACCAATATCTCTGTTGTTTGTAGCAATTAATCTTACAGAACATAATTTGTTGATTGAGACTAAAATGATTAAAATGTTGACTTTCAACAACGTTCCATTCGTTATTGTGGCATATACAGATTTTTACAGAAAATGTATCCTTTTTTCAGGATTGCTTTAAGAATAAGAATCTATTCAATTAAAACATGCATTTGGAAAATAATGGAATTAAAGATAAGCTTTCCTCTGTTAAACTGAGAATCCATGAGGGTCAATATATGGATTAGACCTTCTTAAACCTGTGCAGGTGGGTTTTGAGCAGGTGGATTTTCAGTAGGTGGGGATTTGTTATTCTCTGCAGATACACAGGGGCAGAACTTCTTAATGAAGGTGTCTGCAAGGAATGACACTTTCTCCAGACGAGACAGAGAGACAAGTGGCTGGATAGTGCTGCTGATGTTGAGAAAAGCAAAGCCTACAGGCTGCACATAACAGCGAAATACATCGGGAGAGTAATAGTCTTCAAAAGGAAACAGCGCTACAGGTGGCAGGTAGTTATACACAATAATACAAAGGATATACAGCACCATCTTGAAGGCCCTCTTCTTCATTGGGTGCATCTCATCTTTCCCTGCACCCCGGGACCTCTTCAGGGCCCACAGGATGCAAACATTACACAAAACCATCCAGGTAAATGCTGCCAGGATCTCACCAGTAAAGACCTTCTCAAAGTTGGGGAGACCACCCACAACCTTGGCGGCTGAGTAAGCAAAGGTGAGGCAGAACACCAGCACTGAGAGGCTCACCCTGTACTTGATGTGTTTAAGCTGCCCAAACATCACTGGAAAGAGCACAGCTATAAAGCGATCTAGGCAGATACAGGAGAGAAACAACGGGCCACTGGTATCTTTCACACCATAGGAGAACTTAAGAGCAGACCACACCTCCTTGCTTTGCCACTGGTAAAGGTTAAGGAAGCTTATAGGGGTCATAGCACTAAAGTAGATGTCCATGAAGGCCAGACAGCCCAAGAATATGTCTGAAGTGGAGGGCTCTTTGCGATTGCTGATGAGGATTGCAATGACAAGTACGTTAGCAGGGATTCCCACCACTACGTTGATGCACTGCAGGGTCAGGTCAAAGAGAATGCCCTCTACCTGATGATCGCAGCCATCAAACACACTGAAGGGTTTCACTGTGGCATTGATGTCAGCGGTGGTGTTGAGAGGCGGATTAGTCGGAAGAGAGGTTGATTTGATTGGTGAAGAAATATTTCTCTCCATGATTCTAAAACTGCAAAACCAGGACTCTGATGGGAGAAGATAAGAATAGTGGTGATCAGGGTTCAACATATTTACCATCTTCTGGACAGCACTCACTCACTCACTCACTCACTGACTCGACCACAATGATACAATTTCCCATTAAAGCCAGGTGAACTTGTACTTCAGCTTGTTTTCCTGCTCTATGTCACATTAAAATACACTGTTGTTCATTAGATCCCTTCTTTTTAATCTGCTGAGAAGATCAGAGTCTCACTAGAGTTTAAACTAGCCGCAGAGTAAAGCGAGACAGTTCTCGGAGAGCAAAAACATGTTACAAACACCGTTAGGGCTTACTCCTCTGGCTGTTATCTTATTATTATGTCTGGGTGGACCTTCCCCTGGGAACCGTAACTCCCTGTATGCAGGGACACCTAATTCACTTAAGGGACTCATACTAAAAGCACCACCCTTTCACAGCAAAATAAAAGGGCAGCTATTTCCAAATTGTAATGGCAAAGTTTATATTCTGCACATAGACAATTTCTTCTTCTTTCTCACTAGAAAAAGATCATAACTTGGAAAATAAATGGCTAAACTGACTTGAGACATGAAGCTAATTATTATAGGCATCCTAGATCTTGAGCTCACTGTCTCTGTCTTTGGCCCCTGCATGAGGACTACAAATGGAAGCTTTTTTTTTTTTTTTTTTTTTTTGCAGTTTGTCTAATACAGGCCCTAAATGTCAGATTTTGTTCTGGGCTCCGGGACTATTCACAGCGGCTTTGAGTCAGGCTGATTTGCAAAAACTCTTTAAGATAGTGAGAGTCTTCACATGCAGTACACCTGAGCTCCCTCCACTGAATGGACCACTGGAGCCAGAGGCTGTGATTGTTCCTTGTACAGCCATCAAGGGGCCTATTCTGGTTTAACATGGACCTTTCTTCCCCTTGCTCCCTAAGTGAATGGTGTTTCTCACCTCTCACTGCTGCTGGCTCTACCTCAGGCCACACACACTCCTGTGGGACTAATCACACTGACGGAGGAGTGAAGATCTTTGCCAAGATGCTCGTCCCTGGAGATGGAAGACTTAATCAATTGTGTTTTTATTCAGGCATATCTACTGAAAACGAAATAAACAAAACAGATTATTAAACAGTATTTTGGAGCATGTAATTAGGTGCTGAATACCCTACAGTATAATAACTGCTTCACATGTATTCATTTAAAGTTTCAAAGCTAAGATCAACTAGATATTTTGTATGTTTTACTAAAATTTAGAAGCATATGTCATTGAAAGTTGGAAACAAGAGTATTAGTAACAAATTTGTATTTCTGTATTACCGTTTGTAATTGAAAACAATTAATCACAGTAAAACATATAAAACTCTTTACCTGTCATCCGTAAACACTTTTTTGCATTTTATATGGTTTTAAATCCTTCAGCTGTTTCAGTTTAAACAATATTCAGTTACGAATTCAGTTATCAATACTTTTGGTGCTTTTGTAAAATATGATATGTCCAATTAAAGTACATTATGTTCTTTGTAAAGACACTTTTATGACTGAAGACACATTAAATACTCTAATCTGCTATTGAATACAATTATACAATGCACTAAGATCTTCATCAGTGAGAGCCTGAAATGTTTCTAGTCACATGTCCTGACTTGGTTACGAGGGATGTGAGGTTAGGGGGAAACCCCCTTAAACTCATTCCACATTGTTTTATCCACAGTTATTTGTAAAATGGAGTCTACCACTTATCCAAGCTGATATTAATGTTAATAAGATACATATATTGTGTTTATCTCCGTAAATAATATAAAACTAATTGAAATGGAAATGCCAAACTAGGATTTAATAATTAGTCCTGCTCGTTAGAAACAACTTTGAAAACCAATCTACAAAATCAAATTGTTCTGTGGAGCTTTTTAGAAGTTCAAACGATATACAATATTGTTCTTACTCACCAGAGTAGAATATTCTTCTGCGCTGTTTAGTAAGCGTGTGTGTGTCAAACATCAGTGTGTGTTTCAGGAGATTAATTTATAAGTGTCGTGGATTTGACGCTGACCACAAGGGGAGGATCTCCTGGAGTTTTTGATATCATGAGGGAATAGTGACTCTTCCAGTCAAAGCCGCTTTATTAAGATATCTCCAAGTGTTGTTAGCAGCCATTCCGTTTATTGAGAGATGAAAAGTACCTACACATTAACATGTACTGGGTTAAAACTGTTTCCCACATTGAGAGGGACTGTTTAAGCAGAACATGTACTTTTGATACTTGGAGTACATTTACTTGTAGTCTGTCTATATTGTTCCACCATTGTCGAGGTGCTAGAGGTTATAGATATGTTTGCCACTCTCTTATCTGTCTCCTGCGTTGTCAGACTTGTCACGGCCTCAACTGTGAGGTCATTTACCCTTGTGTTCTTTCTTCCCTCTCCCCTGTGTCTCCTGTCTCCCCCTGTCACTCTGTGTATGTTTGTGTTTGGGGCGTGGGTGTGGCTTCGCCCTGGCGTTCCCTCCTGATTACAGCATTCAACTCACCTGCTCCTATCTGCACACTAGCCAGCCATCATCTTCACGGCAGTATATTAGCTCTGGTTTTCCATCCACTCATCTTGGCTTAGTTTGTTCGAGATATTTTGTGCTTTAACTTACCATCTCTGATTTGTACCTCCAGGATCACCACTTCTTGATCACGCTGCGTGCCCCCTGCACTGCCTGCACTGCTTGCTTGCTCCCCTGCTACATCCATGACTTTTCCCAACCAGCCATCTGCCATCGTCATTTCCCCTCTGAACTTTGCAATAAACCTTCTTACTCTAAATCCCTCCTGTCGAAATCTGTGCCTGAATCTGTCCTTACTGATTGGAACAGAACTGATGTGGACCCAGCAGAATTAGACCACCTCTGCCAAGCCCTCATCTGTGATGTCAAGGAAAACCTCAAGGCGCTCTCTGTTAACATGGTCTCCACCCAACCAGCTGAGGAACACATGCAATTGGCTATGGCCCACCTTTCACCAGCTGAATGCCTCCAGAAGATTGAGAGCATCTACTGCAGCCAAACTGGCCATTTCCTTGCTTCCTGCTTCTGCTGATAAAGGAGTTGGCTCATCAGTTTCAGTGGGGGTGCTGGGCAAAAGTGAGCCAAACCACCTCCTCTTCAGTCAGGATGCAGCTCAATGCTTATGGGGAACCAACAAACCCTTTCGCTGTGTTCTTTGATTGATTCAGGTGCCAATGAAAATGTCATCTCTACCAGGAAGACCGCATTCGATACCCCTCTTGGACACTTTCAATATCTGGATGGTCGTGGCTCAGTAGGTAGATCGGGTCATCCACTAACCACAGGGTGTGGTTTTGGTTGATTCCCTGGCTCCCCGTGTCCATGTGTCGAAGTGTCCTTGAGCGAGACACTGAACCCTAAGTTGTTATCTGGCTTCCAACAGCTGCCCACCGCTCCTAGTGTACAGGATGGGTCAAATGCAGTGGACAAATTTTGATTCAGTGTATGTAAAATACTGAGAATTTGGCAATAAAGGCTGAAAGGCCCTGATTTTCCTTCTTCTGGCCATCCCACTAACGCTACCCTAACCCTCTCACTTGTCTGTGGCTTCAATGGCAGGTTCAGGGTTAGCAAGCAACACTTGATATTAGACAGGTGTATAGTGGTATGTTAGGACTGTATTACCCTTTTTTCAGCGACTCAAACAGTTGTTGCAACCACATACAACCTCCATTGTCCAGGCTTGTTTTTGTAACATAGTGACATTTCTTAACCAGAAAACATAATTTATGTAATCATCTCAACTATACATCCAGAGTTTACATGACCTTTTGCTGTTGGACTAATCTCTCTTCAAATATTAACCTTGCATACAACTGTGTGTGTGCTGTAATGTGGACAGAAAATATGGAGAAAGAAAGAGAAGGGGGGGCGCCTGGATGGCTCGGTTGGTGGAGCTGGCGACCCATGTGCCGGGGCTGGGTCCTTGCTGCAGTGGCCCAGGGTTCGGGTCCGACCTGCGGCCCTTTGCTGTCCCCTCTCTCTCTGCCCCCCTTTCCTGTCTGCCTTCAGCTGTAATCACTATAATAAAGGCAATAAAAGCCCCAAAAATATATTTATAAAATAAATAATATTATATAATAATAATATAAATAAATAAAGAGAAGGGGAGAGAGTTTAGAGGAAGACAGAGGAAGAAGAAGCTGTATTTTAATATTATGTAATGTTAATTCAGTTGTGTGTCTCACTGTGTTAGCATTGCCTCACTGCCTCCCTCTGTTGGCAGAAATGTCAGTTAATCTGGTCTTTATTGCTAATCTCTTTGTGCATTTCTTTAACAGAATTATTCAAGCCAAAAATCACTGAGGTTAGGATGTGTACAAACTCAAGTTAATTTTAAACAAATATTTAACATTACATATTTAAATTTTATCAAATTAATCATATGCATCCTGTGCTGTATATTAGAAACATGTGTCTAATACTAGGTAGACTAAACACATCAGTGCTTCTCTACACTGAATACAAAATTATTTAATTGTTAGGGGAGTTAATAGGCCAGGAGTGATTTTGATCCTAATTAGACCCACTTGGGCAGCATCACGCTGGTGAGAGGACAACATGTGGTCTCGCAGTCCCTCGTGCATCTTGTATTCCACTGTACAGAGCGCAGTTAATAAATGTGCCTATTGTTAGGTAAACACCTCTCACATAACTAAACAAACATATTCATTACTACAACAACACATCTGTTGCACTGATATAAGAGATGCAGTTTTTTTGCGGCTTCTTCTTCCAGCAGGGGGCAGCTGCATGGGCTGCAAAGAAGTCCAGTGGTATTGAGTCTTATGGAAAAATGCAGCAGTGAAATGTTTCCTAATGAGTTTATGGTCTCAGTCATTTTGTGATATATGATCTCATTAAGAGTAAACTGGACCATAAAGCAGGGTATGCTTTAGGGCGTGGCTACCTTGTGATTGTGAAGTCATTCTCCGGGAGTTCAGCAAAACGCACAAAACTTAAATCAAACAATCAAACTGGACAGTGCTGTTCAAATATGAATCGAGATTATGTTACTGCATTGTCCCTTTATAATCTCAAATCTTTTCATTTTAGTGTACTAAAAGCATCTGAACTCGCAGTATGTCAACACTGCTGGTAAAAAAAAAACGACGACCATAATGGTACGCCACAAACCAATGGGTGAAGTCAGGTTGAGTTCACACTTGAGTGTAACTAAACCCCTAATGCTGCATTCACTTGGATTCAGGCAGATGGTAGACGGCAAACCCGATACGATTTTAGTGGATGAGAGCAGGATGGTAAACATAGGTGAGGCCAGTAACGATAATGGTAGACCCGTGGCACCATATACTTCAGCTACCTGCAGATCAGCCAATAGCAAAATTCAGTTGAAATAGCCAGGTTTCACTTCTTCACACAACTTATTTCCTGTCTTTTAGCTCCTGTGACTTTAATAATAATAATAATACATTTTATTTATAAGCGCTTTCTAAATACTCAAAGACACTTACATAAAAAAAAACAAACATAAAAGCACCAAACAACATCAAATAGTAAAACATTAAAAACACATCAGACTTAGCTAAACATTAAAAGCAATTTTAAAAGGTGAGTTTTGTCAGTGATTTGAATATGGAAGGTCGGTACAGTCACGGATGGGTTTGGGGGAGAGTTCCAGAGGGAGGGGGCAGCTACAGAGAACGCTCTGTCGCCCCAGGTTCGGTGCTTGGTCCGGGGTGGAGGAGTCAGGAGGTTTGCTTCAGATGAGCGGAGGCTGCGGGATGGATTGTGGCGATGGAGCAGGTCAGTGAGGTAGGAAGGAGCCTGGTTATGGAGGGCTTTGTGTGTAAGGAGGAGGATTTTGAACTGAATGCGCTGTGGAACTGGGAGCCAGTGGAGGGTCTGGAGGACGGGAGTGATGTGATCACGGGTGCGGGTGTGGGTGAGCATACGTGCAGCGGAGTTTGGATGTATTGTAGCTTATTTAGAGTTTTGGATGGTGTGCCATAGAGGATGCTGTTGCAGTAGTCGATTCTGGAGGTGATGAAGGCGTGGATGAGGGTTTCAGCAGCAGAGAAGGAGAGTGATGGGCGAAGACGGGCAATGTTCTTGAGATGAAAGAAGGCAGTTCTCGTGATTAGGTTTGGACCCAAACACAGCACGCCCCTGCCTCATCATATCTCTCTTACTTTACTCCACTATTCAAAGAAGCCCAGCTGTTGCCCTGACAACCTGGAGCGCTTCCACGTCAGCGCTGAAGTGGTAGGAATGACAGTGCTTCGCTCAGGAGGTCACCACTGGGTCGTGGAAACAGGAAGTAATCAGGACTGGATCCTAGGTGTGGTCCTTTTGTCCAGAGAATAGCTTCTGGACTTTGTGTTTATGGGACAGAGAGTTCAGGGCAATGACCTCGCCACCCACACACACAATTACAAGAACGTCCCAACAAGTCAGAGTGCAACTGGATTACAACAAAGGGATGTTTTTCTTTTGTTTGTTTTTTACCCTGCTGATGATACACTCATTTATGCATTTACACACACATTCACAGAAACTTTACTCCCATATTTTTTATACACAGAGCAGTAATCCATTGAGAATAATGCCAGAGAAGGTGCTTATCACAATGTTGCGGCAATAAGTGGATGAATAATTCATGAAAATAGGATCGCAACACTGTTTTAATTGAAATACCTTTAAATAAGAAGATTGATACTGCTCATATGTGTCTGTATGATATATAGGATGCTATCACCAGGAGCCAGTTAGCATGGCATAGAATAGCATAAAGACTGAAAACAGGGGGAAACAGCTAGCCTGGCTGTTGTTTGTTTAAGTTATACAAAAGCAGAAGTATAAAATGTCTAGCCAGAGTCAGGCTAGCGGTCTCCCCCTGTGTCAGGTCTCTGTGCTAGGCGAAGCTGACTGGCTGCTGGCTCCAATTACACAGGCTTTTTATCAGACAAAATGTTTAAATAAATATCAAGATGGTTTAGGTTCATCCATAACTGGGTTTTGGTGTGTCCAGTAAGCTCTGTCTTAATTTATTATTATCATTCTTTTGAATTGTATGTGACTAATATCAGGATGAATGCTACTGCTGTGCAGGTATTTTATGATTTTTCTATTATTATTATTATTATGTTGGACTGGGATGGGGGAGATGTTTCCCACCCGTCCAGCATCATGCACTTTAAGGAACATGTCACACAGACACACACACACACACACACACACACACACACACACACACACACACACACACACATACATATTCCTCATTGCTTGAATTTATAGTTAATTGGCGACTGTAAGGTGCAGTTTATTGACTCTTCTGTACACATGATGGCGCCAAAGTCAAACAAATATTATTATATATATACAAAGATTTCATAACAGTGAAAACTACTTTGAATACACAAATGTCATGCTGTTTGTAGAAATTAATCTTCCAGAATATAATCAGGTTATTAAAACATATAATTAATGATTTTATACTTGTTGACTTATTATTGATGCATAATTAATGTTTTTTCTTTCTCTTTTTTTAGGAGGGCTTTTTTGACATTATAAGCTGTTCAATTAAAACAGAGCTGAAAAATTAATCGAAATTGCAATAAAATATAATTTTTTGATAACAGTAAAATGTGTGACAAAACGGCATTATAATGAAATTCTGTAGTGCTCCACTGGCCTACAAATCTGTTCACAGACCCAACCAAATGCTCACATCATCATGATATTAGTAGTTCTGTCAGTACAAATGAAAAGTGGAATACAAAAATTATAATTCTCACTAATCGTGAATCATATTGTAATCATAAAATCTGTCAAAACAATTGCAATGGGATTTATTTGCCATATCATGCAGCCCTAAACTAAAACATGTATTTTGAAAATAACTAGCTTTTCCCTGTTTAAATGAGCATCCATGAGGGTCAATATGTGGATTAGATCTTCTTAAACCTCTGCAGGTGGGTTTTAAGCAGGTGGGTTTTGAGCAGGTGGGTTTTGAGCAGGTGGGTTTGGAGCAGGGGGGTTTTGAGCAGGTGGGTTTTTGTTGTTCTCTGCAGAGACACAGGCGCAGAACTTCTTAACGCAGGCGTCTGAGAAGAAAGGCACTTTGTCCAGACGAGATAGATATACAAGTGGCTGGATAGTGCTACTGATGTTGAGGAAAGCGAAGCCCACAGGCTGCACATAGCAACGAAACACATCAGGAGAGTAGTAGTCTTCAAAAGGAAACAGCGCTACAGGTGGTAGGTAGTTAAACACAATAATACAAAGGATATTCAGCACCATCTTGAAGGCCCTCTTCTTCATTGGGTGCATCTCATCTTTCCCTGCACCCCGGGACTTCTTCAGGGCCCACAGGATGCAAACATTACACAAAACCATCCAGGTAAATGCTGCCAGGATCTCACCAGTAAAGACCTTCTCAAAGTTGGGGAGACCACCCACAACCTTGGCGGCTGAGTAAGCAAAGGTGAGGCAGAACACCAGCACTGAGAGGCTCACCCTGTACTTGATGTGTTTAAGCTGCCCAAACATCACTGGAAAGAGCACAGCTATAAAGCGATCTAGGCAGATGCAGGAGAGAAACAACGGGCCGGTGGTGTCTTTCACACCATAGGAGAACTTAACAGAGGACCACACCTCCTTGCTTTGCCACTGGTAAAGGTTAACTAAGTTGATAGGGGTCATGACACCAAAGTAAATGTCCATGAAGGCCAGGCAGCCTAAGAATATGTCTGAAGTGGAGGGCTCTTTGCGATTGCTGATGAGGATTGCAATGACAAGCAAGTTGGCAGGGATTCCCACCACTACGTTGATGCACTGCAGGGTCAGGTCAAAGAGAATGCCCTCTACCTGATGATCGCAGCCATCAAACACACTGAAGGGTTTCACTGTGGCATTGATGTCAGCGGTGGTGTTGAGATGTGGATTAGCCAGGAGAGAGGTCGATTTGAGTTGTAAGGATACATATCTCTCCATGATTCTACAACTGCAAAACCAGGACTCTGATGGGAGAAGAATAAGAATAGTGGTGATCAGGGTTCAACATATTTACCATCTTCTGGACAGCACTCACTCACTCACTCACTCACTCACTCACACTCAGCCACAATGATACATTTATTATATATTCCCATTAAAGTCTGTTGGTGTTTATCATGGGAACTTATATTTAATATTGTTTTCCAGCTCTGTGTCATGTCAAATACACTGTTGTTCATTAGATCCCTTCTTTCTAATCTGCTGAGAAGTTTAGAGTCTCACTAGAGTTTAAACTAGCTGCAGAGTAAAGCGAGACAGTTCTCGGAGAGCAAAAACATGTTACAAACACCGTTAGGGCTTCTCCTCAGGCTGTTATCTTGTTATTGTGTCTGAGTGGACCTTCCTCTGGGAACCGTAACTCCCTGTATGCAGGGACATCAAACTCACTTAAGGGACTCATACTAAAAGCACCACCCTTTCACAGCAAAATAAAAGGGCAGCCATTTCCAAATTAAAATGGCAAGGTTCATATTCTGCACGTAGACAATTTCTTAAGACTATTGTTAGCAAGGGCAGTGGAAATTTGGTAATTTCCTGGAGCTCTTAAAAGCCTGATTCTGACATTTAGCTATTCCTAAAGCTAATTTCTCAACAGAAAAGGACGATAACTTGGAAAATAAATGCAATAATGGCTGGACTGATGGAACAATAACTGGAGTCAGACATGAAACAAACCATTATAGGTGTCCTGGTCCTTGAGCTCTGTGTCTCTGTACTTGGCCCCTGCATGAAGACCACAAATGGAAGTTTGTCTAATACAGGCCCTAAATGTCAGATTTTGTTCTGGGCTCCGGGACTATTCACAGCGGCTTTGAGTCAGGCTGATTTGCACAAACTCTTTGAGATAGTGAGAGTCTTCACATGCAGTACACCTGAGCTCCCTCCACTGAATGGACCACTGGAGCCAGAGGCTGTGATTGTTCCTTGTACAGCCATCAAGGGGCCTATTCTGGTTTAACATGGACCTTTCTTCCCCTTGCTCCCTAAGTGAATGGTGTTTCTCACCTCTCTCTGCTGCTGGCTCTACCTCAGGCCACACACACTCCTGTGGGACTAATCACACTGACAGAGGAGTGAAGATCTTTGCCAAGATGCCCGTCCCTGGAGATGGAAGACTTAATCAATTGTGTTTTTCTTCAGGCATATCTACTGAAAACGAAATAAACAAAACAGATTATTAAACAGTATTTTGGAGCATGTAATTAGGTACTGAATACCCTACAGTATAATAACTGCTTCACATGTATTCATTTAAAGTTTCAAAGCTAAGATCAACTAGATATTTTGTATGTTTTACTAAAATTTAGAAGCATGTGTCATTGAAAGTTGGAAACTACGGTATTTGTAACACATTTGTAACATCTGTGTGTTACCATTTGTAATCAAAAACAATTAATCACAGTAAAACATAAAACTGTTTTTAGAAAATAAATATTTGCTTATCTGTTTGTTATTGTGTTTAGTTACTTTTTTAATCCTTCAGCTGTTTCAGTTTAAACAATAAGAATGAATTCAGTTATTGCTATCTTCGCAGGTTATGTAAAATATGTCCTTACTAAAGATAAGTATGTTCTTAGTAAAGATTTAAAATGTAAATCACTTTTACGACCGAATACACACTAAATACTCTAACCTGCCATTGAATATAATTATACAATGCATAAAGATCTCCATCAGTTGGAGCCTTAAAATCACATATCATGATTTGACGGTGCAAGGGATGTGAGGATAGGGGGAAACCCCTTTAAACTCAAATCATCCACATTGTTTTATCCACAGTTATTTGCAAAATGGAGTCAACCACTTCTCCAAGCTGATATTCCTGCATGTATAATAATATTCAATAGCAGATTAGAGTACTTATTGTTTTAACATGAATATCAGCTTGGAGAAGTGGTTAACTTCATTTGTGTTTATCTCCGTAAATAATATGAAACTAATTTAAATGAAAATGCCCAACTAAAATTGAATAATTAGGCAGTCCTGCTTCTGTTTTAAGGACATGTATTAATTGAAATGCTTTCATTAGAAACAAACTTTGAAAACCAAAACCAATTTACAAAATCTAATTGACCTGTGGACCTTTTTTAAAAGTTCAAACGGTATACAATATTATTTTTACTCACCAGTGAGGAATATTCTTCTGCGCCGTGTAGTAAGTGTGATGCAGTGTGTGTTTCAGGGATTCATTTATACGTTCTCTGAAGTGTCGTGGATTTGACGTTGACCACAAGGGGAGGACCTCCAGGAGTTTTTGATATCATGAGGGAATAGTGACTCTTCCAGTCGAAGCCGCTTTATTAAGATACCTCCAAGTGTTCTTACCAGCCATGTATTGAAAAAAAGGGGCAGGTCTGGGGACCTGATACTGAAGATCTGGTGTTGAATTGCACAGATGGAAAGTTCCTGCACACTAATCACTGAGTTAAAAGTTGCTCTATTGATCCACACTGACTGTTTTTCTGTAGAACGTGTACTTTTGATACACTCAGTACATTTTCTTCTCCTTCTAATGTAATTCGTACAGTAGACATTTACTTGTAATATTTCTATAATATGGTAGTGATCTGAGTATCTGGCAGCTTCTTCCACCACTGAACAATTGTGGCAGATATATATATATACACACACATATATAGGCACTTACAGATATGCCACTTGGCACTCTTTCATTCTCTTGTCTTCTCGGTTGTCAGAATGGGCATGACATGTAGACTGAGGGAGCATCATGGGACTGGTCTGGTGATGCTGTGGGTTTCCTGGAGCGTTATGTGTCATCCTCACTCAGCCCTTAATCCTTTCCTCCTGTTACTGGAGACGCAGAGCACAGGTGCACAAGAGCAATATAAACAGCCTAGGAGCAAATGTCAGTGGTGTCCAAGGTTGTTTTGTTTGGTTTTACTACATTTTTCATCAGTGTGACTCAAAATAAAAGCATCCTTGCTCTGTCTGTGTCTTAAGTGTTTAAAAAAATGCTGCCTGAGTGGAGCTAGAAGACTCCCTCTGAAGTGTTCATCACTTAACAACTGGGGGCGGAAAAGGACACTGTCTGTAAGCGTGTAAAGTCTGTGTGTGAGTATGTGTCAGGATGTATTTGGATTGACTGTCTTACAGGGGTGCTAATTAAATTGTAACCTCTCCTTTGGTGAGTAGAACCCAATGTTCTGTTCCCATGTGAACAGACAAAACTCACATTGATCCATTGTCTTACTGATGTGTAAATTACCACAGAGAGAGAGAGAGAGAGACTCAAAGAACAGCACAGTCTAATATGGTTGCTTTACCACTTTTTTGTCTAGGGGGGCAGTAGGTGTCTGCACTATGCTAGATGTTTGACGTTTCACCAAAAGAACTTTGAAGCTTTTGCCGACATGACACAATATTTACATTATATTCAGTTCCCCGGCACAGTCTGAGGTCTGTCAGGTCTGCTTTCTCCCATTCAGTAAACATTTTGTCTAATTCCTAGAAGTACCGCCAAACAGATGAAACACCTCATTTTGTTTCACATGTATAGTATTTTGGATTAAACACACACCTTTAGTTCTTAGCAGTGACAGCTATGGATCCAAACAGGCACTGAGCTTTTTACCAGCTTCAGTTTTATTTATAACACAGTTTGAAGTAAAATAATTACATATCCAAAGGAGAATTTGTTTCAAATCAAATAAGACAAACCACACAAGTTATGAAATCTACTTCAATTTGATTGAATCAAGAACAATCTATTTATGTAAAAAAAAGGCTCTGGAGGAAAGAACATATTCTGGCTTGCTGCAGTGGCTCATATAATTGTAACATAGTTGAGTCACGTCTTACATAAACACATTGTAAAATCATGCTGTTAGGAAATCTCTCCCCCTTTCTCTTATTTTTCGGTCTCAAATGTATTAATGTTAGCAAAAGGGAACAGTTTCAGTTTACAGGATCAGAAATCTGCATTTATTTCGCTGCAGGCTGTCGAGATGCCAAAGCCAAAATGACCACATGGATCTTTAGTTCACACATAGAAAACTGTTTATATTATAATGAAACTAAAATGTTATTTAAATTTAATAATAGTTGTTACTAAATTTCACAAGCAGCGTTGTTTTTAATAACATGTTAGGTCACATAAAGTCCACTATAAAAATGTTATTGTTAACATGAAATACAGTTTGCACAGCACAGGAGTCTTATTTGCCTCTAAGAAATTCAAGTAACTTCTATCACTTTATCAATCATACACACCACACACACACATAGGTAAACACAACAAATACGCAAAGGGAAGACAGAGTACAAAGTGTCACAGTGCTTAACATCTGGCATCAGAGTAAAAATGAAATATTTTTACCCACACTAGAGGCATGGATCCTGGGATGGCAATATTTTTTCAGACTGAAACATCTCAACAACTATGGTTTGTCATGGAGATTTGAACAGACACGCATGGTCCCCAGAGGATGAATACTACCGTTTTCCCCTAGTGACACCAGAACATGAAAAGTTTTCACATATCACATAAAACATATCAACACATAATGGATTGATTGGTGATTGATTCATGGTCCACAGAGGATGAATCCTAACAACTTTGGTTACCTTTCCTCCAGCACCATCATGAGGATTACATTTGTGGTTTTAAATGAAGTATCTTGACATGAACTATTGCATAGATTGCCATGAAGCTTGATAAAGACATTAATGCCGCCTTTAGGATGAACTGTAATCACTTCATGATCCTGTCACTTTTCATCTATTGCCACCATCAGGTCAATTTGTTTCTACAAAATACCTGCAAAATAACATTTCCACCAGCTGTAGCCTACTTGGTGCTGTGTTTGGTGCTAATAAGCAAATATTAACATGCTAAGATCCCAAACTAAGATTGTAAACATGGTAAACATTTTATGCTGTTATTAACATTTAGCTCAAAGCACCACTGTGCCACAGTACAGCCTCACAGAGTCACTAGCATTCATGGCTGTACTCTTAGAGTTGTTATTAGATCATTACAGATGAAATCATTGTTGTTTTTATGACCTGCACAACCATGGCTCGCTCTCTTTTCTTTTTTTGGTAAAAAAATAGTTTTAATTTTGTAGTTTTCCTCTGAAACTTTGTGGCAGAGGACGCAGCCTGAAAAGACAGAACAGAGGCCTGCTGTTGTACATTATGTGTCCATGGAGCTCAAATCTGTTGTCCAGTGTTCATTGAAATCATATGTCTGAAATTAGAAAGGAATCCAAAGACACAACAACAGAAAGGTGGAGGATGAATTATCTCACATGGTCAGATATAAACACGAAACAATATTACACAACTCTTGTGTTTTTAGCCCTCTTTTCTGTCATTACCTGTTGTGGTTGTAAGAGATTAATTGGCTGTGACTGAAACCTACGTGCATCATGGGTGTCGGGAGAAAGAGAGCTGGAATTGGAAACAGGACTGAAACTTTTCTGTAAAAGCACACACCCTGAGAAACCGTCATCAATCAAAAACCCTGCTGTCTTCAGATGTGTGAGAGTAGGGAACTGAAACAGACAAAAAAAAGCCACAGAGACCAAGAGAGAAAAGAAAAAGAAAACAGGAGACAGGATAAAACTTCTACCGTCATCATATATTTACAACAGATTGTCTCAATATCAGTGTTTTAACTGCATGTGCTGTGCTCCAGAGGATAAATAGACATTTGTGTGGGGTGCAGCTACTGAGCTGACTCATTTTAATGGGATTTTGATGTATACAGTTCAACTAACTGAATGGCCTGTAGCCAAAATAGGAAGAATGGGCATCCCATCTTTCCACCCATTATTACAACTATGCCACTCTAAATATGCAGTAATCACCATAATTATGCCCCCTTAGTCTTGGGGCTGTGAACCAACAAAAAAAACAAACAACCCAGAGTTTAATTTAGCAAACACCTCTTAATGGAATTAATTATGGACTCAGACAACAGGATGTGAACTTTTTAAAATGCATAAAGAGCTCCAAGAAAGAATAAGCTCCTAAATTTAACTCTTATGTCTCCATAATAACCTAAATCCAGTTAGCTGATTAATGTCAAATAAAGGTTTTGTAATTTTGTAAGGTTTTTTGGATTTTATACTCTATGTGTTTATTGTACCTTCTTGGTCGGCATTAACGTTTTTTTTTTTGGGCATTAATTTTTTTTTAAAGGACAGTGTTAATCAGTTCAGTGTACAATTAATTATCAGTATCCTAAATTTCAATTTGTTTATGCTTTTATCTGCTCTTCCCACTTTTCACATATAATTACATTCTCAGTAATCTCATTTACACAGTGCCTTTTAAGTTAAGCAGTGGCTCAGTTAAGGTAGCTGTGTTTGGGTGATGAATTTAAGGTCAATTGCCACTTAGAGTAACACAATAAATATTCATTATTTGAGTCAATACAGCAGTTATGGGATGATTTTGAATGCTGTTGCGCTGCTTGTAACTGATGGGTAATGTTTTTTGGAGCATCATGCTGCCAACAATTAATAATTTGGCAGCTGATTGTTTTCGGTTTGCTATGATGACAGGATATACAATAGCAGTCTGCAACTGTTTGCAGAATTATTGTTTAATCAAAACAACAAGGAGTGGTTCTCTCATAAATACAAATGAGCTTGTCCAATCTGAGAATATAATTATACTCTAATCTGTACAATTATAGATCAATTTTTGCAGTCTGGCAAATGTTTGAACATGCTGACATGAAATAAGTTCTGCCATTTTAAAATAATATGCTGTTTGTCTAAGTTCAACCAGTTCAACTCTAAGTAACAAGACGAAGCTGCATAAACTCTTGACTTTTTTAGGCAATTTTATATGAATCACTGAACAGAATTCAACTGGAGCTGTGTGAAAAACAAAACACTTTTATATGCTGAATATATTATTCAAAATAACAAACAATAGGGTTATTGTTTATTTTATAATATCATATGGTTGGCTAACTACGGAAGCCAAAGACGGCCGTCCTTGCAATAACATTATTAATGCTTTCATCTTGAGATCACAAGTTAATTTATCTCGCTATCTTGAGAAAACGAAAGGCTGTAATTTATCATTAGAAAATGACTTGTTTTGATGTTGAACAATTATGGAGAACGCAAAAATAGTTGTTCATTCACCTGACTTCAGCCTTCAAGATCACTGTCATGACTGTCGGGCAGGATTCATTCATTCATTCAACTGAACTAAC